TTGGGCTAAGAAATTCTATGATGATTTAAAACGTAAATATTATGTTACTCCAACAAGTTACTTGGAGTTGATAGTAACATTCAAAGCATTATTAGGTGAAAAGAGAAATGAAGTAACAGCTTAAATAAGTAAATATAGAAATGGTTTAAGTAAGATTACAACAACAGAAAATAATGTAGAAGGAATGAAAACTAATTTGATTTAATTGTAACCTAAATTAAAAGATGCTGCTGAAAAAACAAAAATAAAAATGGATGAAGTGCAAAAAGAAAAGGTTCAAGCTGATAGTCTTAAAGCTGGTATTCAATCAGAAGAAGCTGTAGTACAAGAAGCTGTTGATAAGGCTAATGCAATCAAAGAAGAATGTGAAGCTGAATTATCTGAAGCAATGCCTGCACTTAAAGCTGCTCAAGATGCTCTTAATGTATTAGATAAGAAATAGATTGAATTTTTAAAATAAATGAAAGCTCCTTCAAATACAATTAGAAATATCTTAAGAGCATTATGTCTCTTGTTATATCCAAACCCAACTGAAAAAACAAAGGATAAAGATGGTATTAGATTAGTTACAGATTGGTGGGCTGCTTCATTAAAAGTATTAGGAAGGTCTACACTTTTAGAAGATATGGTTAGTTTTAATACTGATACTGTTGAAGAAAAAGTTATAGTAAATTTGGGTAAATATTTGTAAGATCCTGAATATAAGGATTCATTAGAATTATCTGCAGCTGAAAATGCATCACCTGCTTGTAAAGTTATAATGATGTGGATTAATGGTATTTACAATTTCTATTTTGTTAATAAGAAGGTTAAACCTAAGAAGATTGCTTTGGCTGAATCATAAGCTTAAGTAGATGGTTTGAATGCTAAGTTAGCTGTTAAATAAAAAGAATTGAATGATGCTAACGACAAAGTTAGTAAATTAAATAAAGAATTACAATAAACTATAGATAATAAAAATAGATTGGAAAATGAATATGAAGAATGTTCTAAATAATTAGAAAGAGCTAAAAAACTTATTGAATCTTTAGGTGGTGAAAAAGGTAGATGGGGAGCTTTTGCTGAATAATTAGAAGCTAATTATGTTACTTTGACTGGAGATGTATTAACATCAGCAGGAATGATAGCATATACAGGAGCGTTTACTTAAGCATTCAGAATTGAAATTGTTAAAGAATGGGTTGCAAAATGTGTTGAAAAAAGTATTCCTTCCTCTTAAATCTTCTCATTACTCACTGTATTAGGAGAACCTGTTAAAATTAGAGCCTGGAATATTGATGGTTTGCCTTCTGATCAATTTTCTATTGAAAACAGTATTATCCTATTCAAAGCAAGAAGATGGCCCCTTTGTATTGATCCTTAAGGATAAGCTAATAAATGGATTAAGAAAATGGAATAATCTCGAAAAATTGCTATTATTAAATTATCAGATTCTGATTTCTTAAGACAATTAGAAAATGCCATTTAATTTGGAAAACCAGTTTTATTAGAAAATGTTCTTGAAGAATTAGATGCTTCTCTTACTCCTATTCTCTTAAAATAAATATTCACTAAAGGAAACACTTCATATATCAAATTAGGAGAAAGCACTATTGAATATTCAAATCAATTCCAATTTTATATCACTACTAAACTTAGAAATCCACATTATCTACCAGAGATTTCAACTAAAGTCACTTTACTAAACTTTATGATTACGTATGAAGGATTAAGTGATTAACTATTGGGCATTTTGGTAAAGAAAGAAAGACCTGATCTAGAAAGAGAAAAAGAAAGACTTATTATGGAAGGTGCTAGCAATAAAAAGTAATTAGCAGAAATTGAATAAAAGATATTAGAAGTGCTATCTGGAAACAAAAATATTTTAACAGATGAAACTGCAATAGAGATCTTAACAGCATCTAAATTAAAATCAAATGAAATTAGTGAAAAATAAATTATTGCTGAATAGACAGAAAAGAATATCGATTCAGCTAGATAAGAATACGTGTCTGTTGCATAATAAGCATCTTGTTTATTCTTTGTTATTTCAGATCTTAATAATATCGATCCCATGTATCAATATTCGCTTGTCTATTTTATTGATCTCTTTACTCAATCTATTATAAAATCAGAGAAATCTGACAATATTTAAATAAGATTAGAAAATCTTAAAAACTATTTCCTTCTTTCTTTGTACAGAAACATCTGTAGATCATTATTTGAAAAGGATAAATTATTATTTTCATTCCTTTTGGCAACAAGAGTTATGGAATTCCGTAAACAGTTAGATTAAGAATCTTTCAGATTTTTAATGACGGGAGGATTGTCATTACAAGACAAAATGCCAGATTAACCAAAAACTGATTGGGTGTTACCAAAAAATTGGGGTGAAATTACAAGATTGAGCTTATTGCCATCAACTTAAGGATTTCATGAATACTTTTATAAGGAGGAATATTTAAAGGGATTCAAAAGAATATATGATTCATTATAACCATAATCTGAAGATTTGCCTGGAGAATTAAAAGTTAAATACACAAACCCATTAATAAAGTTATGTGTTTTAAGATGTATCAGACCAGATAAATTAATCCCAGCTATTTAAATATTTGTTCATGGATATTTGGGAGAAGAGTTTATTTTGCCACCAGCTTTCAATTTGGGTGAGATTTATGAAGATAGTTCTTCAGTAACTCCATTGATTTTCGTTTTATCACCTGGATCAGATCCATTTGCTTCATTAAGTGTTTTTGCAAATTCCAAGAATAAATCATTTGCTTAAATTTCATTGGGTTAAGGTTAAGGACCATTAGCATAGAAATTAATATCTGAAGGAGTGATCAATGGAAGTTGGGTTGTATTATAAAATTGTCACTTGGCAGTTTCTTGGATGAATACATTAGAAAAGATTTGTGAAGAATTATCACCTGATCCTAAGCAAACTCATCCTGAATTTAGATTATGGTTGACCAGTTATCCAAGTCCTTAATTCCCTACTGCTATTTTATAAGCTGGTATTAAAATGACTAATGAACCTCCAAAAGGATTGAAAGCCAACTTGTAAGGATCTTATTTGACTGATCCTATATCAAATGATGAATTCTTTACAGGATGCAACAAACCTGAATGGTTTAAGAGATTATTATTTGGGTTATGCTTTTTCCATGCTGTTATCTAAGAACGAAGAAAATATGGTCCTTTAGGATGGAATATTCCTTATGAATTCAATGAATCTGATTTACGTATATGTGTTAGGTAATTAAGAATGTTTTTAGATGAAAATGATCAAGTGCCTTTTGAGGCTCTAAGGTATTTAACTGCTGAATGTAATTATGGTGGTAGAGTTACTGATGATAAGGATAGAAATCTTATTAAAATTCTTCTTGAAGATTACTATTGTCCTTAAGTTATAGATGAAAGCACAAATTATAACTTTGGCTATGAAGAATACAATGCACCTCATTATGAAACAAGAGAAGAATATTTGGAACATATCAAATAACTTCCACTTTTGACTCCACCATAGATATTTGGTTTCCATCCTAATGCAGATATCACTAAAGATATGAATGAAACAAACCTTATTTTAGATTCATTATTATTATGTTCTGCTCAAGGTGGTAGTTCTAGTGGATAGTCTTTTGAATAAGTACTTGAATAATTAGTTAAAACTATTATGACAGATTTTCCAGAAGAATTCAATTATGAACAAGCTACTGAAAAATATCCATTCAATCCAAAAGAATCTATGAATACTGTGCTTACATAAGAATTAACTAGATTTAATAAATTGATCAATATTATTAGAAAAAGTATGGACGATCTAAAATTGGCTCTTATGGGTAAAATTTTAATGAGTCCATAGCTGGAAAGAGCTAGCAGACAACTATTTGATGGAAAAGTACCTGATCTTTGGATGGAAAAATCTTATCCATCTTTAAAACCACTAGGAAGCTATGTTATTGATTTGAAAGCCAGATTGAGCTTCTTCTAAAAGTGGTTGGATAATGGAATTCCCTATAATTATTGGTTATCTGGATTCTTCTTCACCTAAAGTTATTTAACTGGTGTACTTTAAAATTTTGCAAGAAAATATGTTATTCCAATTGATGAAATTAAATTTGAATATAAAGTAAGCTTATAAAATATTGTTAGATTATGGATTAATCAATAGATGAGCATATTTAATCAAGACCAGATGATGGTGCATATGTTTGGGGTTTGTACTTAGAAGGTGCTAAATGGAACTTTAATAGCATGGAACTTGATGAATCAGATCCAAAAGTATAAATTATAAATAAATTAGGTCTTATTTACTAAATGTCCAACAATTTAATTATGTCCACTTCATATTTCAAAAATTAATCCTCCTCCTAACTATAATTGTCCACTCTACAAAACCAGTGCTAGAAGAGGAGTTCTGTCAACAACTGGTCACTCTACTAACTTTGTAATGTATGTCAGGCTATATACTTCTAAACCTGAGAGATTCTGGGTTAAAAGAGGTGTTGCTTTACTTACACAATTGGATGATTGACAGTATTATAAAAATAAATAATTATTAATTTATTAATCTACATAGTTTTTTGAAGATGTATTGTTCAGTTTTTAAAAACAAACAAAATTATATAAATCCATTTCAAAATTAATTTATTACTTAGCCATTAATTGAATAATCTATTCTTCAATTTAGAATAAATGAATGATTCAATTTAAATTTAATGAATAATGAAAATATTGGAATTCATTTTAATAAGTTCTTTAAATTAAAGATTTTGTAAAATGAATTTATTTCATTCAGATTTTTTACTTAATTCATTAAGATTTAAGAATTAATTTTTTTTTTAATTTATGAATAATTTAATTATTCTATACTCTTCATTAATATAAAAGAATTTTTAAAATGAATGTTTTCTGCTTTTTATTTAAAATGATATACTATTTCAGATGAATAGTTATATAGATTGTAATATTAATGTTATTTAAATTTTTTTTTTAATATATTGTTATTTTATTAATTTAATTATAGGATGTCAGACGAGGAATAGCCACAATGTGATTATCAAAAATTCCTTAATTAACTTCAAACAGTTAAAAAAATGGATGATGTTGAAATTTTAGATTCTAGTGATGAATTTTAAATGGAAAAAAATGAGACTCAATATAGTTAACAAAATATATACCATTCAGAACTGGATGAATTTGTTATTCCACCTAAAGAATAAGACTCAGTTTCAATTGATACCAAACCATACGAAAGCACATAAATAACAAAGCCAAGGATTTAGCCCGTCTAAGTATTTTGTTTAAATTTCAATTAGTTACCTCCTTTATCAAAAAAGATTAATAAAGCTATAGAAAGAAAATTTTGTTTTAAAAATGTGGAAATCAATTAGTAATTATTAAAATATGAGACTGTTTATTATGAAATTGAAAGTTATATTGATGAAAATGATAAAGCTCTTGTTACAAGATAATATTCTGATTTTGAATGGCTTTTTGAAGAGCTTGTTGAAAACTTTCCAGGTATTATAATACCATCCATTCCTTAAAAAAATTTACTCGCTAAATTTAATATAACTGGCTATACTAATTCTATTAGATCATAGCGATAAAAAGGACTTGAAGAATTTTTAAGAAAAATCCTTAATCATACTTAACTAAAGGACTGTGAAATAATTGAAAAGTTTATGACATTATAGGATTAAGACTTTAAAAAACTTGTCTAAAACTATCAAGCATAAAAATAACAGAAATTATTGATTAATGTCAGTAAAAATATGGTTGTAAATGCACTTGGAAAAATTGGAAATATCTTTTTCAGTATTTTTTATTCATTAATTATTATCAGATTCATAAAGTAATGACAACGAAATGGAAAAGTATTGTTAAATTGCTGTTTAAGAAATTAATATATAGAAAGTTAAAATTAAGAATATTAGGGATTTATTAGAGAAGACATTTCTAAATAAATTTGAACAGAGCAAATAATTTATGAAATTATCTACACTTTTTGATGAAATTTAGAATGATATTGGATATAAAGAACATATGAATTCAAAATGTGAAACTATATCATTAGCATTAAGAGATTCTTTTGCCAGTGTAATTCCAATTATTTACATGATTGATGTAACAATATATTGAAAATTAGGCTAGTAATACTTATTAGACATGGAAGTAGTTCTAAATAGTGTGAAATATCGGGCAGATTTACAATAATTAATAACAGATCATGCAGCAGCTTTAACAAGTGCTAAATATACTGTATTATATATTATTAAATATATAAGCCTGAATAATAAGCATTAATCTAAACATAATTAAATGAACATTAAAAAAACATGAGTAAATTTGTTGAAAACTTTAAAAATGAATACGAAACATTTACGGATCAATATAATAAGCATTTTAATAACATGATGTAAACAGTTTTATCAGTGTGGCAACAAATCAATACTCAAATGTAAGAAACTTGGCTTTGAATTTTTTTTAATTAAAATAATTGAATCAACTAAAGAGTATAATAATTAATAATATTATTCTCTAATATTCAATTATTACAATATGTCTTTTTGTTTATAAATATTTTTTATGAGTAAAATATTGTAATAATTTAATGATGCCTAAGATCTAAAAAAACTTAAGTAATCCAAGATTGAATGCATTTTTCATTCTAATTTTATTGAAAGATTTATTAAAGTAGTTTGCGATACTTAATGAATTTAATTTTACTAAATTTCCCTTTTAGATTAGTTTCATTTGAAATAACTATATAATAAAAGATGATTGGTATTGTGTTTAAGGGTAATAACTAAAATGAGGACTAAAAATACACATAAAAGAACTTTAAAAAGCCTAAAGTATATAAATGTGTTTATATTCAAATGCATCTTTTAAAAGTTTATAGTTTAATTGAGTGTGTTAAAAGTAATTAATATTAATGGATTATTTATGAAATAATTAAAAATAATTTGGATAATATAAATTATAATCAAAGTCATTAATTTAGTTTAATTCTTTTAACAGAGGATTCTTTTTCTGGATCTTTTTTCTGAAACTCTGAAATGAAATTTCTAAAATTAGGTCTAGCTTATGAATTGCCTTTTTTAAAATATTATTTCAATTGAAAACTATGATCTCCATTTAATGGTAAGAACACTTCATTCATTTAATTAATTATGACTTCATTTTAAGGCATAACAGTTTCTTTGTCTTCACATTAGAAGAATTCATGAACAATCCTATCCTTTGTGATAATGTGATAAAAATACTTTAGCAGTATTAAACCAATGAAATTAGTTAAATCTGCATATGTATTTCTTGACTTGATAATTGGAATTTTCTTTGCATATGAGTAAATGTTAGATGAACTAATCTATAGATTAAAGTTAGTGGGATTTATTAATTGGACATAAGTAAACATTTTTTTCAAGGGAATCATCATAATATTCTACTTCATAATTTTTTAATTTTTTTTACATTAATTTTAAATATTAAAATTAAAAGTTTAAGTGTTATAAATAAATAAATAAGTGATGTTGTAAAATTAAGGTGAACAATTTATTTAGATAATAATCAATCTTGGAATACGTGTTGAAAAAATGGATGATGAATAAGTTTTCTTAAAGGGACTCTTTCTTCAGGATCAATTCGGAGCATTTTTCTAATTAGATCAATAAAGAGGGCATGTTTAGCTGGGATTAATTCTTCAAAAGTTTTCAATTTCTTAACTCTTTCAATAGCAGAATCACTTGGTGCTACCGAATTCCATTTGAAATAGGATCGATGCTAATCAAAGTACCTCTAATTTCAATAAGTGTACTTTTAATCATAATTGAAGAATGTTTTATATTTGGAACTCTTGAAATGACGGTATTCCATAGGTCCAATAGCTTTTTCAATCATGGCAATATGTTCTAAATCATCTTTATTTTAGAAATACAATTCTCCTAAATAATAAATAATTCTATAATACCTGTATATAATTCAAGTAAAACACAAGCAATACACCAAATGTCACTTCTTTCATTCCATTTTGGATAACCCATAATAACTTCAGGAGCACGATATTATCTAGTATTTATAATAGTGCTGTGATATTCATAATCAAAAGTAGCTCCTCCAAGATCTATGATTTTAAGAATTTCTCTTTCAGGAACCCAAATTCTAATTTATGAGATATAAATTATACTATCTTCCTTTAAAAGGAACTTATTTATATTCACAATTGGTAGTCAATATATTTTCTGGTTTTAGATCTGTATGAGTGAGTTAATTTTGATGAAGGAAAGCTACAGAGATAATTATCTATTTGGCAAATGATTACACATATTTCATAGGAAAACCTATGAAGTTGTTCTATTTTATTATGTCATATAATGATTTCCCTAACTTAATGATTATTTTAGAGATACCCTCTCAAAAACCATGAAATAATTGTCATATCTTTCAAAAGATGTAAATAGTCTCACAATATTAAATTGTCCACTCTTATCTTTCTCTTATATGTACCACAATATTTTGGTTTCTATTTTTGCTGATTCTATGTACCTTTCTACAGCCCTTATGCACTTTTAAATCCAAATAATATTACTTTCATGGCATAATAACTAGTACAATTTTAAACTTCCAATACACGACCAAAGGTGCCATCTCCTAAAAATCGTGTGATAACAAATTATCCTGCTTTTATTTTCATCCCAATTTTATATTCAAAATGGCCAGCATCTTAATCTCCTTTTTATTTGTTTTTTCTTCTCTACTTTTTGTGAGAGTATCTAGATGAAGATGATGAACTTGATGAAGATGATCTTGAAGAAGACACCGAAGATGAGGAACTAGATGAAGAACTCATCAAAAATTAATTAAATAAATTATTATTTAATTTCCATTCTAAATTTGGGATTATATCCTACCTTTTTTATCATCTCATTCTAATTATTCATTTTTATTAACTACAAGATCTCTTCTTTATAAATATTTTCTAATTATCTTCACCTTATATATGATTCCATCATTTAGCTATCAACAATCAATTCAAATAATACACAAATCTTTACATAATCTAAACTAAATATTTATTTTTTTCTTTCTTTATAAATTGCAACTTCCCTAAATTACTAATCTACTTTTTTTATTACAAATTGTAATACATTGTAATTATATACTAAAAATTAAAAATCAAATATTTCTTAATCATTTATTCACTTTTTTAGTTTTCTTCTTTTATTTCTGATTTAAACTAATCAAATTTTAAAAGACTTTCATTAAGGAACTATTTTATTTTATTTAAATAAGAAAAATATTATTTTTTAATTTATAAACTATTAGAAATATATCATGTTTACTCAATATTTTATATTAAATTCTTCATCAAAACTTGAAATCTAAAAATATATTAAAAATTGAATTTCTCTTGTTTTATAACTTAAAATCCAAATGAATATAAATTAAATGAATAAAAAATAAATAATATCTAAATGATAATTTTTACTTAAAACTATTAGGATAAATTAAAAATATGATTATTGAATTTCATTTATATTATTTCTGTAGATAATTGAAAATTATAGATATAAATCTGAGAGTTAAAATATAAATTTGAAAGAGATATTATAGAAATGAGGTTAGGATCACTTTAGAATTGATGTTGTAAATTTAATAATAAAATTGATAAAAATAATTAATTAATAACATAAATAATTTATTTTAAATTAATGTCAAAGAAAAGAAAGAATAGCTCATCTTCATCATCATCTTCATCTTCATCTTCGTCTCCTGAGAAAAAGATTTTTGTTAACCAATGTGACAAGTATAAAGAAGAAAGATAGTCTGAAATAAGGATACATTTTTATTTCAAGGATTTATATATTGGAGGATTGAGAGAAGATGAATATTTGTTTTATTTACATGGACGCATATAAAAGTCTGTAAGAATCTCTCTTTCTAAAAGAGGGTCCATGTGATTTGTTACAAATAAGTTCAATAAATAAGGAAGCGCAAACAATTGATGTAGCAGTGGGATTCAAATATGATGACGATGCTCTAAAAGTTTATTAGGGGAAAGTTTCAGTGAAAACAAAAGACAAGCTTACTCCAATCCTATCGAAAGTGTATAGTGAAATGTTGAAAGAACAAGGATATATAATGAAAGAATAATAAAGTGATTTTGTTAAGTCTTAGCAAAAAGAATAATCCCGTGAAAAAGAGAAGCCTTCCTAATACATTCCGACTTATAATTGTATAAATATAACCATTTTAGATAATATATCAAAAGAATAATTGTACATATTTGGAATTCCTAAAGAATTCACTATAGAGGAATGTATAAGTGAAATAAAGCAAACTTACGATTTAGTGGTTAGACCTGAAGGAATATTTAAATGTGAGAAGGTTGGTGATATTACATATGAATATTTGGAATTGCAAGTTGAAAGGATTCCATGTTAATAGATTCTAAAGAAACTTCCATTAGTATTAAAGAATATATCATTACTTTGTATATAAAAGAAGAAGCGAACAGATCCTTTTAATGAAGTCTTAAAACCTTTTTAAGTGTTGTTGAGTGGCAAAGTAAATTTATCTTAAGTTTATGTTCATATGAATGCAATAGGAGGCGTATTATTTCATTAAATTAAGTAATGATGTCAATATATATACAAATAGTGAATATAAATATTGTGTAATGATGTAAAGTGAATAATCAGTGATTGATTTAAAATTACCTTGTAATTTAGAGATTTAAAAGGTCTAATGTTAAGTAAATCAGAATGGAGATTTTACTATGCAAATGGGAAGACCTAATTTAAATGAAACAACATATTACAAGATTCAAGAATTCAAAAAGAAGCAAGAAGAAATGAAATTGGCTCGTTTACATTCGAGTTCAAGTTCAAGTTCCAGTTCTAGCTCTAGTTCAAGTTCTAGAAGTCGAAGTAGAAACAAAAAGAAGAAGAAACATCATCATAAGAAAAAGTATTGAGGTTTTATATATTAAAATATTGATTTTTTATAATGTGAATGTTTTAAATTAAATATAATAGATGTCTAAGTTTTTATATTAATAATCTTATATTTATAATTTTATTATGAAAATATTATTAGTTAATGCATATGCTCCAACACCAAAAGGATAGAAGTAATTCTTAGATTTTCGATACATTGTTCAAAAAGCCTTTATTAATTATGTATTATTAATGATATAAGTAGTCTGAAGTTCCTGACTAAGAAATGGAATATATAGTAAGAGATTTCTCCTCCATTTCAGATTTTTTGTATGAGATCCAAAGTTCTTATGTGAATTAAAATGCTGTTTAGTAAAAATATAATAATAATAAGAGCATTTAATGCATTTGATATAATATTTGTTGCAGGTAGTGGGAATACTTTACCATGGTCATAATAGATGGAAAAGATTCTTGTACTTTAGAGAATGTGCATCAAAATTAATAAATATTTATTTGCTTGTGGTTGTGGAATGATGGGCTTAGTGTTTCTTTCTGCATCTAACTTTGATAGAACTGTTTATTTTACAAATGATGAATTGCATCCTTAAAAGTATTTTATCGAAAAGAGTACTGGTGATATTTTTGTATATCATCCTGATACTAAAACATGGTAACCTAAAAGTAATGCAGGTTTACATAATAATAAAGCAGCTCAAGAGTTTTAAACTTTAGGAAAGTACATCTTAAAAGCACCTATTTACCGTCCATTTAAAAATATAGAAGTCTATGCCAGTAAGAGTAACGAAATCATTGTACATATAAAATCATCTCATGTTAATCATTATATCTTTGAAGGAGTTAAGAGTTAATCTTTTGTAGCTACTACATCTTCAAAGTGGGATGTTCATTCATTTTCTTTTCCCTCTATTGAAAGGGCATTTACAATTTTAGCTGAATCTGATAGGGGTCCTATTATTATAGAATATGGTTCATATATTATAGCAACATTATTTGATATTTCAATTAATTATGAGGCTACTACTTAGATTATTGCAAATTTTATCAAAACTACAGTTGATAAAATTAAAGGGGGAGCAAAAATTTAAGAATAATCCAAAGGTGTTTATATAGGGAAAAATAAATTTAAAGCAAAAAGAAATCTTAAAATTGAATTGCTTTATAGATCAGCACCTAGTTCTCCTGAACATTCTTAATAATAATCATTCAAGCATAGTGGTTTTGCTGTTAAGAAATCTTAATAAATATTTACTTCATAAAATTTCATATCTCCTCATAGTTTTCATTAATCTCCATAACTAACTAAAAGACTTTAATCAACAAACAAACTCAAAAATTTAAAATTAGAATAAACTGAGAAAGAATAATAAACTTTCTAATCACCTTAATCCTGTATGACTAGAAATGAAATTATTAAATTTCTGCATCCCTCTATAGATATAGAATTTAGTTCTTTTTGGATTCCTGGTTAATAAACAAAATTATCCAATACTTTTAAATCAAAAAGAAAGTGACTTTATTATTCTACATAATTATAATACTTAAAGCTCATGTCATTATTCTAATAGATTAAATAACATTTAATTTAACTTAAATACTTTATTTAATTTATATATACTTATTAAACTTATTATTATTTTTATTGATATCATTTTAAATCTCATTTAGTCAATGCAGAAGTTTTTGGTAACGATATCTGGCTATGAAACAAGAAATGATGTCATTTTTTATAAAATCACTATCAATGGATTGCATCATTCAAAAGTGATTTATAGAAGATATTCAGATTTGCGAACCTTAAATGATTAACTTATAAAAAAGAATCATGAATTCAAGCTTAAATTGAATCTCCCAAATTTTCCAAAAAAAAAATTATTTGGAAGAACTAAGCATTCTGAGTCTGATATAGTAACAAGAGTAATAATTAAAAAACAATTCTTAGGGACTAGAGTTATAATAATACTTGGAAACAATCTTGAATATTTAAATGCTATGGACATTTTCATTTATAAGAGATTTATAACCATTAGATGAAACATTTGATGAATCAATTAGACAAATAAACATAAACCATCAATATACAAAAGATATTTGTTGGCCTTAAATGTAGGAATTGAAACTATAATATTTACAAAGACATGATATAAGTTCATCTCCAGCAAGAAATTAATCCAAAAAAACAACAGGATATAAATAAAGATATTATTTTTAATTTGATGATTATGTTAAATAACAAGACTTTGTTTTATACTATATTACTTTATCTGACTAAAAAAAGAATGTAAAATACTTATTTAATGCTCGATACAGTAAACTAAAAGATTATCATACTTTGCTCGAAAAAAAGCAATTCAAAAATTAACTTCCTCCTTTCCCTAAAAGAAAACTTATTGGATAAACATGTGATAATCCAGAAGAAATTTAGGAAAGATAAAATTAATTAGAGAGATATTTAAACGATATTTTTAGTGTAAAAGAGTTTGTGAATAGTGAACCTTTAGTCTATTTCATCATACGTATTAAACTTGAAAGTGAACGTATTCAAGACTTCGATTATTAATAACAAAAATGTAGTCGATATTCACAATAAGGTAACTGCTCTTCTTTAGAAAAAGAACCTTTTGAAATACCAAAAAATATTCAATCTTGTTGAATTTAATTCATTTTGTATTATATTTAGCTCTTTTTCCAAAATTCAACTCTGATATTTTGATTTCTGTTAATTAGTAAGGTTAAAAGATTGTATTTTAGAATTATATAATCAATTAATAAAATTAATATACTTTCTATAATTAAACTTAAACATAACTATTAAATAAATGAGAAATAATTCAAATCTTTTTATTTTAATTATATGATAAAATTATTTATTAGTTATATTTTTTTAAGAACATAAACAAAGTAATCTTTCATTTACTTTTTCTTTTATTATTAAATCTAATCTAAACTCAAATATTTTTACAACAATTTAAGTCTTCAATTTTTAGTAAGCATCTGAAATTTAACTGCTTCAATATCTTTTGATTTAATAGAATTAAATATAGAGCTATATTTAGATAGGAACTTTAAATATTAAATACTTGCTATTCAATTTTAATATAATTCGATTGTAAAAATACTGAATTTAATTTAAAGTATATTAAATTGTATTGATTTTATTTAGGAATATATATGGCATATCTCATTCAATGTAATTAGAAAAATAATTGGGGTCAGAAAGACAAAATGTTTGCAGCCTTTATGATTTTAGAATAACTTAAATTAGAGAAAGTGTGTATCGACTTGTTAACAAAATTTACTTTAAAAATTTTCTAGATGTATAATATTTATTTTTTTGAGATGTGTGCTTTCAGAAATTAAAAATAGATTTTCTATAAAATAATTATGTTTGAAGAATGATTAAAAGTAAATTTATAAACTAAATTAAAAATTCATTGATCATAAAAAATTACTTATTACAAGAGTATTGAGTATTCTATACGCAAAGATTTAAAGAGTTTTATGGAAATTACTTATTAACATATTCATAATAGTTATGATTATAAAGTGATTATGATTTAAAAAAAATGGTAATTAATATTTAAATTATATAATTTAAAAAAATAATAAATAAACAAAGAAAAAAAGTATTCATTTCTATTACTCAAGATTTAAATGGATTTTTGAGTTACGGAAAATCTAGTTGCCTTAATCTAAAATAATATTAATAATAATTACTATGTGCTTAGATCTTCTATTTAAAATTATTCTTCTTCAAAATATGAATGCTATAAACAGACTGTTGCACTGGGCCTTGATTTAGCAACAGATATCATTGATTATAATAATTCTTGTGCATTGAGATTGCAGATCTATGATAATGAAATAATGCTATTTCTATTCAATATCAATAAATCGGAAGCTTTTGTTGACTTAGGTGTCTGATATATTTTTTTTCCAGTTAATAAAGCGTGGAACACACACCCCAAACTATAAATATCACATAATTCATTATATTGATTCATATTTAAAATTTCTGGAGCAATATAACCAGGTGTACCACATCTTTAAAATGTAAACCTTTCCTCTTCAATGAATGTTGAATATCCGAAATCCATAATTGTAATTGAATTAGGATCATTTTTTCTCAATAACATAATATTATCCAATTTTATATCTCTATGCATAATTCCAAGTTAATGGAGGTGATCAAGTCCTAATAGTAATTTTCTCATTATTTCTTAAGTCACTAATTCAGGCAAATTTAAATCATTTTCAATTAAATATTAGTAGAGTGTTCCACCTTTACAATGGTGCATTATATAAATAATTGATTGATCACATAAAAAAATTTAGCTTGCTCCTAAAAGATATTAATGAGGATTGTAAGATAATTTCATATGAATCTTAGCTTCGTTCAATAAGAAAGACTAAAATTTATAAGAACTTATTACATAATGTTCAGAATCAGTTTGTTTATTTTTTGGAAACTTCACTTATTTTGCTACTACAATCTCTTCTGTTAATAAATTTTTACATATCATTATCTATATAAAATGATGGAAATTACTTCGACATTTTTATGACATTTAATTACCTCTAATTTCTGGTAAAATGATTTAAAATTTCTATAGTATGCTTTTCCATTAAGTTTGTTTTATAACTCTTCTAAAATCTCATTCTTTTCACAATATATAATTCTTTAATTGTATTTTGTGTTATACACCATCATTTCTTTGATTATGTTATTTCTAAATAATTTTTCTCTCTTACTCATAATGCCATTTGATTTGACAGTCCATTGAAGTCAAATCAAATTTTCTATCAATCATATTTAGACTCTCTCTCTATACTAATAAATCAAATACAATACCTTATTTATTATGAGGTAATTTTCAACCAAGTATAAATATCGACGTTCCTACTCATTATTTTGTTTTCTCAAAAGCGAGGCTTTATAATGTACCATATTTTTCATAGTAAAAAAAGATATAGATATTAAATAATCAAAAAAATGTTAATATTTGTTACTATAAAAACACTGAGTTTTAGCAATTTCTTTATCAATAATAAATAATTCAGATATGCTGGATTAAATTTGATTATAGAAATTTTTTAATATAAGCTATTATTTTTTTGATTAATTTAATTATTATCAGAATTAATTAATCGTTTGGCTTTTGCTGGAATATTGCTAGTTGAATATCAACACTATTTAATTAATTGATCATTTCTATTTCTGCGATTACGAATAAAATTTATGCTAAAGATCTTTACATAATTAAATATCAATTTTTCTTTTTAAAAACGATTCTAACATAGTTCTAAGCTTTTTCTATATGAATTATTTTAATTTGAAAGACAAATCTCTATGGATTTGGAAAATATCTCTTCAAATTCAATCTAAACATATTTTGATTATATTTTATTTTTCTATAAAATTATGCGCACACTAAATTTAAACTCTGATTTCAGTGTGGCCAACACCACGAATCCAAACAAAAAAATCATATTTATTATTATTTTTCATATGAAAATTAATCAAGCTTTTTGGATGATAGTTTTTAAGAATTTACAGAATTTATTTACAAATATTTTAATTTAATAGAAGGAATATAGGGTGTTAATATTTTTAAATAAATATTGAAAATGCTAGATTTCGAAATTCCAACATAAATAAACCATGTGTGTGATTCAATAGATACTTTTAATTTGATAAAGGAATTCCTTAGCTCTGGAGAAGAACATAAAAATAATTCACAGTTTTTTATAAATTATGATGAGGAATTTTAGTTTATTCAATATAATTTTGATCGAAAGATTCATTTGTCTTTACAAGAGCTTTTTTAATATTCAGATGAGAAAATTAGTTTTGAAAGTTTTATAAATAGTATTTAGGAGAGAGTAAAAGAATAAAAAAATAAATACTCTAAAAATGAAAAATTTTCTAAAGGTCTGTCAATTTAGAATTTAGATTCTTAAAAAATTTGGTTAGAACTAGATTAAAAACAAAAGAAAGTTTGTAATTTGTATATACTTAATTTTATCCCTAAGGTAGATGATGGTAAAGATTATTAAGATATTGAACTATATTTAAATTATCTAAAAGAAATAAGAAATCATAATAAAATTCCCAATTAAAAAAAAACAAAAAAAGATCATCTAACTAAGAGTTTTTTACTTAACAATTCAATTAACTCCTCAAAAGATTAGAATTTTCCAGATAAATTCTTTAATTTCTACAACATTAACCAATAAATGAGTTCTATTTATTTAGGCACTTAAAAAAATTAAAATAAATATGATTCTTAATAATTAAAAGAATTACAAAATTAGTATGAAACTTATATTGACAAAAAAATTGAATACCTTAAATTAATTAAAAATTAAAAGCTATCAAGCCTTTTATAATAATTAGAGGAAATTATTGTGAAAAAAAATGGATATGAAGCAAATTTATAATTAATAATTATTAAACTAATTTAAAAGCATAATTTGGAAGAAGAATTTTTCCTTCAAATTAAACATAAAAAAACTTAACTTTATTATTTTTTTAAATAATATATAAGGGAATTAATATACAAAAGTATATAATAATAAGAACACCAAACTTTTTCTTTTGATCAAATTGTGATTTATTTGTGTTTATTAGATTTTCAAAAATCAGAAGCAGATGTGAAAAATAATATTTAATAAATGATTATGTATGCACATGAAAAATTAGTTATTTTTAAAGAAGCTTGGTCTGGCAAAATTTTATCAGATTAGGAGATACTTTAATAATTTGTAAAAGAATAAACAGAATTTATTAAAAGTAGCAAAAATAAGTTAATTAATTAAGATGAGTTTATTTTAAATCTCCTAAAATCATAAATTTACAAAGAGAGAGTCAAAATTCTTGAGAGAGGACTTAATATTTTAAAATAACACATAAAAATGGAATTCTCAATATTAGCCAAAGAATATTTTGTTATATATGAAAAATATTTATAAAAGAAACATCATGAGAATGTGAAAGAAAAGGAAATGATGAGCAAAATATTTTTAAAAATAACAAAGTAACAATTAAACTAAATAAATAAACAATAGAATTGAATATTAATTTATAATATTTGATATCTCTCACAATTCTTATCTATTTTTCAATATGAATAAAATATATACAATTAATAGATTCTATGGCATCTTTTTCATAAAAATAAAGTCAATCTAAATTTTATAATTTAAAAAATTAATAATGGACGAAGAATTACAAGTAAATTTATTATGGATAAATCAAGATTAAAGAATAATTGACATAAATTCCATTTCATACGTTGTTGGGTTTTGAAAAACAAATGAAAACTTAATAATAATCTAAAAATTAAATAAAAGATTAATAATTGCCAAAGAAAATCAAAGGAGGGTATTGAAATTTTAATTATTAAAATTAAGCCCTGAAGTTAGAGATGCAAGAAAACCTATTCCAAAGATTTAAATTAAATCTGAGAAAAAATAAGAAATAAGAGATCCAAGATTCGATCAGATATCAGGTGAGTTAAGTTTGAGTAAATTTTATAAATCTTATGATTTTATTGGGAAAATGAAATCAAATGAAATTTAAGTCATGAGAAAGCAATCTGAAAAGCTTGATCAAGAATCCAAATAAAAAATAAAATAAATCATTGGAAAGTAGAAGGATGAGATAATTAAATAGGAACAGTTTTTAAAAAAATAGAAAACAGTATCTAAATTAAAAAAAAAGAACTTTCATCCAAAATAAAGTAAGAAGTTTATTTATTTTGTTAGGTTTAATCAAATAGGAATTGTTGAAATAAAAGTTTGAATAACTTGAAGCATCCGGAAAATTGGATGCATATATGAAATAAAAAAAGAAATCTATATCAAAAAAGCTTGAATTTGCATCTAAAAAAATAAAAAAATGAAATATAATTATTTATTGGAAATATATAATCAATTGTAATTAATTTTTTTTTAATTTTATACAATTAAATTATATTTATATAGGCAATAATAAATTTTGAATTATTTAGAAAAAATTCCAAAAATCATTTAATGCATGTTAGTTGAAATTTAGTTTAAATACCTAATATATAATTCTTTTATTGGCATTAACTTAAAATAATATTTATAAAATTTTGATTGATAAATCAAATAATTGTTTAGATTTTTTTGATTGAAAATAATCCAATTGAAATTAATGGATATGAAATTTCTTTTTTAGATTTAAAATTAAGTGACATATAAATAGTTTTTTCTGATTTTTAGGTTATTTAACATTGGATTTTAAATGAGAATTAATGAATATTGCAATTCGATATATCATTATAATTTACAAGAAATAAGATGATATGTAAATACTGAGATTAAGAAAATTTATATATATATTATTAACTAATCTATTTGTTTTTAGTACTTCTTATATTAATAATATTAATTAATTTTCCAAAAAATATAGAAAAATACTAATGAGAAGAATTAGTGAAAAGTTTATAGAGCATAATATTTTTATTGACCCTAGTAATTGAAAATATGGATCATAGAGAAGAGGAAATGAAAATTAGTATTAAATATCAATTTTTATAGATTGAAAAAATACTTTTAGAATATTATATAGAAAGACTATAAAAGTAAATGAGCACTAGAAACGATAGGAAAGTAATAATAGGAAAATATATATAATTGATATTTAGAATAAATTCGAAATTCAATAAAATCTTGATTATATAGAATAGCATCACACATTTAAGGCAATTATGAAATTTGATAATGAAAATTATTATTAAATAAATGTATACTTATCATCAATTCAAATCTTAATGTGAATTAGTAATTAGCTAATGTTACTATAAAGAAGGAGTTAATCGTCAAAATCTTTTAAGAGATGAACAACATTTGCTGACAATGCTAACAAATAGTTATCATCATAATCATTCAAAAGAACTATAGTTAATTGATTAACTTATGTAGGATTATAGACATTTATAAATGTACATATATTTACAAAAGTAATAAAAATATATAAATAAGTATTGTGAAACATGTGGAAAAACATTTGCATGTGATTCTAAATTACTCTCATGATCCATTTCAGATGAATAAAAAGTTAACAAAGTAAGTTGGAACAATATAATATGCTGGTCATCATATTCATCATTTTCAAGAATTACATTCTTTAGGAAAGATGTTTAGAGAATATTTTGGAATGAATGTTGACTAATTTGAAGTTTGTTCATAGATGATAGAATTGTGTACAGACTTGTAACTTGTGAAAGACCTTTACCTAAGTTATTTTTGTAAGAATTATGGATTAATGGCAATAACAATTTAATAAAACGGACATTATTTCACGGAATTTTATAAAACATATGATTTCTCTATTACAGATGAGGATTACTCTATTCCTCCTCCTGGCGGATATAGTAATTAATATCCAACAACTTAATTGCCTAATTCTTCATTTCCTCCTCCTTATGGATCCAATATTAACCAATATCCATAGCAATATAGCAATCCATTACCTCCTCCAGGATAATATCCATCTACAGGATCATAGATCCCCTCAACATAGTACCCATCTCCTGGATAATATCCACCTCCAGGATAATATCCTAATTAATAACCAAATAATTATGGAAATCAACCTTATTAATAAGGATAATAACCTCCTTATCAATAACCTTATGCTCCCACTACTGGCTATCCAAATTAATCTTATCCCTAAAATTCAATTGGATATCCTCCTAATCCAACATAACAAGCTTATACACCACCAATGTAAACTTAGACATATCCTCAATAACCAAATTATGTTCCTATGCCACCACAAGCAAATTATTAAAATACACAATAATATCCTTATAAATGAATATATCATTTATTAATCAGGAAAAATATTATATTATTTGTTTAAATCTTATTATTTACTTATATATGTTAATTTTTTATTTCAAAAATTTCTATCATCCATCTGAAGCTTTGTTTATTAATTGTTAATTCATTAAAAATTATATATTGTTTAATTAATTAAAAAAGTATTTAAACATACATATTTTAGATTATAAACTTCTAAACACTCCATATATTAATATAGGTAATAAAATTATGACTTTAAATTTTATATATCAAAAAAATGATTGACTTTTAAGATTTAAAAACTTTCATATTTTATTAATAATTTTCTTAGTATTAATAAAGTATTCGGAAAGTAGAAAATGAAAACTATGATATTGATTATTGTTTTTTAATCCATGGTATTGATTAATAAAAATATATGAGAATAATTATATACATTTAAAATTAATATAAAATAAGTCAATTTTAGATGTTTTTTATTTTTTTTCCTTCTATCCATTCTCCTTGTTTGACTTATCCATCCAATAAAATATACTTTCCTTTACCATGTTATTTTCCGCTAACCCATTCTCCTTCATATTTTCTACCATCAGCCCAAGTATAAACACCATAGCCATGTTTTTTATCATTTACATATCCCCCTTTATAAGATCTACCATCTTGCCATGTATAATGCCCTTAACCATGCATATTATTATTTAGCCATTCTCCTTCATATCTTCTTCCATCACTCCATTAATAGAGTCCATTTCCACTAATTTAATTGTTATTCCAATCTCCATCATAGAAACTTCCATCATTCCATATATACTTTCCTTTACCATGTTTTTTTCCTTGATAATACTATCCTTCATATTTAGAACCATCAGCCCCTATAATCATAATCTAATTATAAATTACAAGTTTCTACTCCAAATCCATGTTATAAATCATTAAGCCATTCACCTTCATATTTTGCTCCGTTTGCATGGGTATATATACCAAATCCACAAGCCTTATCTTCTATCCATGTTCCTTCAAAAATATCTCCATCTACATGATAAAACTTTCCTTTCCCATGAGCCATATTATTTTTCCATTAACCTACAAATTTTGCACCATCATTCCATAATTATGTTCCTTATCCATCTCTTGAATTTCCAATCCATTCACCTTCATATATAGCACCGCTCTTATACTTAAAAGGAGGTCTTTGTTCTCTTGTTTTTGAATTACTATGTTATTGAGCATAATCTTTATCACTACTAAAATATTTATTTGCTAAAGGAGGAGCACTTGCAATATCATTTGTACCAATTGACTTTTTTAATTTTTTTTTTCGAACTACATATCCTCTCCAATGTGCCTATATTTATATTGCTGCCTTAATCTTTTTATTTTTACTCCCATTATCCCCACTTAAATTTGATACTCTTTATTTACTGGTCTATGATAGCATTAATTAATTATACTTGACTTTATTATTAACTAGTTCTGTATGCCTAATATTTAAAATTATGTATTTACTTATTAATCCACTGTCAGCTCTCTTCCATCTGGTTTTTAACATGTTTAACAGTTATTACATTATCCCATTTTGGATTTTAAATTTATATATAAATTTAATACAATTACTGAATAAAGATCACTTGATTTAAGACTGTTAAATGCAAGTTTTTCAAATATAATATTTTAGAGATAGATTAAAACTATAAAATCGATTAATTTTTAAGGCTAATTACTTCTTTTATTAAGTCTTTACAATTCAAATAAATTAATTATTATAATAAAAATTGACATCTTAAAAAATGTAAAGAAAATAATATTCAGATTTGTATGATTATGATTTAATATTATCTTATAAAATGATGTTATGATTATTATAATAATTAAATCAATTTATGTTAAAGAAATTTAGACAATAATTTTTAAAACTAAGTAAGAAACCCTATGCTTAAAATAAATAAATAAAATTTAATTTCAAATGGGATGTTCTATATTGATACTTTCTATTTAGCATTTTAACTCCTTCATTTCTTCTTAGATCATATCAAAATTTGGTTGATGATGAGCATACTAAAAATTAATTGGACTATATTCTAATATCTTTCTATGTTAATTAAAAGGGGAAATATCTTATTCATCTATCCCTCCGAACTACTTTGAATCAAATGAGTCTAATAATAAAATGATAAAAACGACCTTAAATTAAATTAATTGATGGCTATATACGATGAGAAGGTGTTTGGTTAATAAGCAATGAGTCGTTTTTTGTATTATCATGCTCTTCTTTTAAACTCTAAATAGTTTCTAAAGGTTGATAAATAGGCTAAGAAACATTTAACATAGTATTCTGAACTATTTTTAATGGTTGCTCTTGTTCTGATTCCATTGATCGGTCATTGTCATCATCATCAGATCTTTCATCTAACATATGTACTCTTTTTATATAAGAGTAAAAACGATTCTTCACTTAGTTTTCCTAATGATAGGTCCTCACTGTACTGGTCTTCGATTTAACATTTTTGCGATTTCGCTCCACTTAGGACCGTATATTCGATATTGTTCTAAAATTATTTGATCTTCTTATAAAGTGAATTTTTCCTTATTTATTTCAGGATCCAAATTATTTAAGAACCTTTCTCTGATCTATTTACTTGAGCGACCTTCCATAAGTCCTTCAATCAATTTCCAATTACGACCATGCTCATTAACTAGTCTTATAACTTCTTAATCTTCTAAATCTGTCCATTATTTTCGAAGTTTAGTCAAAAAATAGATACAAAAATACTTTATTTGGATTAATTCTTTTCCATCTTTATTAACACTAACTCAGATTTCGTCCTGGAATGTCTTCAGCAATTAATTTCCAGTTTCCGTTATGCCGAATGTGCAATTCCATTAATTAAGAATCCTCATTAGGTTTCCAAAATTTGCCATACCTCCTTTCTGAAGAACTAGAATCAGAGTCTTTACTCTACTTATGAATAGATTTTGTTATCTAAGGTGATCTATTATAAGGTAAATTTTAAATGATACTTAGAAGATGTTTGTTTTCTACTCATTCTTAAATATTTAATTAATATAATAATATAAAAAATATATATTCTAACATATTAATATATATATCACTAAAACTATCAATTTATCATACTTTTTTTGCATCTCTTTTAAAGAGACCTTTTTAATTCAGAAATTAATAAATTTATACTAAAATCTCTTAATCATTTAATAATCTTTTTATTTATCTATGTCGTTATGAATAGAAGGTTATAAATAAATTAACTTAAAAAAAAAATACATACAAACTAATAAAATAATAATATTTCTCTAAATAATTTTATTTTTTGTTAAATTTTAAATTATAAATTACTTTTTTCAATCACCTCTCCATTTAATTACATTTTAATGATTTATTCATTATTTCGCTTTTTTCTGAATGAAAAATAGTTATTTTCATTAATTTTGTAAAAAAAACAAATAAACTTATTTTCTAATCAATTTTATTGAATTAAAAAAAATTTTTTTAATTATTTTAAAGAATTTCAGTTTATTGTTTAAATTAAATATCGGTATGATCAAATCAAAATCAATATTTTCTTTAAAAAAAATGTAAATTAAAGATTTATGTGTTATTAATCTCGCTAATATGTTTTAAATTATAAAATATTTATAAAATAAATGGAAAAATTTGAATTACTTAATTCGAAAAAAATACTGCTGTGTAATCTTTATTTATTAACAAAATTTTGTAATTTTAGATTTCAATAATAAAGTTAAATATTTATTTATATATTTTTCTAATAATTATTTAAATGAAAATCTATTGCTTTTAGGGTAAAAGATCTAAAGTCATTTTTAAAAAGAAAATCTTTTTGAAATAAAAAGTTGTTTAAATGAATTTAAGGACTTTTTTTTAAAATGATCGGTCCTTTAATCTTTGAGAGAATTTATTTTTAAATCCATAAACCTAAGGATTTAGTCTGTTATATCATCATTTTAAAATCATTTATTTTAAGATTTTAAAACATATTCAATAAACTTTATGAATCTTTGAAATTTTTTCTGTAAAAATAAATTTTGAAAAACTTAAAATTTTCGACCTGAATCTAAATTATATTTTTTATGCATGCTGAATTTAAAATTATATAAAAATGAAAATTCTAAAACTCCAATCCATTATCAGACATTCATTATATTAGACATATTAAATATAAACCTTTAGTTATATTCTAGATAATTTTTCAACAATTTTTTTTAGAAATCTCCATATAATTAAAATATTGAATATTTTTCTACAAAAAAATAGTTCTAAGTTAATATAGTATTAATACTTATTAATTAAATTTAATCCTCATATTTCATATGAAAATGTTTTTTGTCCATTTCTAAATTAATATAAATATTTCTATAATAATTTACGATTCGTATTAAGAGATGATTCATTTCAATTAAAAAAATGGAATTTTAATTACAAAATTATCCATTAGGATTATTGCAAAAATGGAGTAAGATTATTTCAAGATGAAATAATCAAATATATTTAGATTTCAAAAATTTAAATTGCTATATTTTCTTTATTTAAAAAATACTTTAAAGAAATTTCTTATCAAAATATAAATCAAAAGAGCTCTTTTTATTCTCTAAAAATGTTAAAGGAATTACTTTTACTTCTCTCTTTATTAGCAGTGCTTTTAGTTAAATATAAAATTTTGAAATCAGGAGATCATTTTCTTACTTAAGAGAATTAAGAAAAACAAGTTAAATTAATTTCAATATGCAAGGAAAATTTAATTTAAAAATCCTTTGATATCAGATAATTTTAAAATAGCTTTTTAAACCTATCATATATAAAATAGATAAAGAGTAAATTGAAAATAATGATTATAAAAGATGGACAAGAAAGATTTCTAAATAACTACAATATTATTATGAAATTTCATTTTTCGATAATATTTATATTATAATCATAGTATAAATTGTTAAAATCCAGTGAGTATTGAATATAATTCTAATTTATACATATTCATAATCAGTTTTTTGATCTATTATCAGTTATATTTTATTTAAAATACTTAAACATGCTTTATTAACCTTCAGAATCTCTTCAAAAACAGGCTTCAAAGCGATATGCCTTGAAAAAAGAAATGCCTATTTTAAAATAATTTCGAAAAATATACAAACAATATAATTAAAAACCTCATCCTCATTTAATCTAAAAAGACTTTAAAAGAGAATAATTAAGACAAATAGAATTAGAAGTTGAGAGTCTTTCGAATTCTCTCTTACTCAACTCTGATATCTTTTCTAATAGAAAAATCCAAACTGATTAAAATAAATTTAGTAATGATGATTCTGAATATTCCCCATTTTCGTAAAACACTTTCACAGAAGAGACTATATTAAAGGAACAAAATAAAAAAGAATTAGATTTCAATATGTTATATTAAATATATTTGGAGAATCAATTTACAGAAGGTAATTGCAATAATTTACATTAGATAAGAAATAAAGATGTTTAGAATGGTTATCTAAAAATTGATTTAATTATTCGAGCGTTTAGGCATTATATAAATTACTATATCATAACCACGACATTGATATTATGTAGTAGTTTGATGAGTGGAGTTTTAGTGATTTAATAATGCTTATATAATATAAAATATCTTTTCTGTTTATTTTAGAACTCATAAACTGATTCACAATTAACAATGAAAATTAATTAATCATGACGAATTCCATTACAATCTCTTGATTATAATAAATTAAAATGATTATTTTATTCAAGAATTAATAGACTTTTAGAACAAAGGCGCAGGAATAAAAATGTCTGTTGGAAAAACTTTCAAATTGATTAAAAGAATTGCATTTATCACTAATTAAAATAATTTTTATATAAATAATTTAATCTAATAAACTAAGTTATGACATAAAATTAATAAATGTGTAATGGTTTACTTAATTCAATCAATTAATAATAAATCATAAATTAATTAAATTCTTATTTCAATATGTGGCGTAAGATATCTTTAAAAACATATTAGAAATAGAATATTTGAAGTGCAAATTTATACTTATAATATTTTAAATTAGTATATAAATGAATGTTATGATCAAATTTTGACATCTTCATCATCTCTGCTCATTCTTCTTTGTAGTGCAACATTCTATGGTGTAGTTGGTATGCCGAATTTATAAATTGGTGAAAATTCATCAATATCAATATCATCTAAAGCATTTGTATTCATTCGTTAATCATGATATAATTATTAAAGCATTTATTATTGTTATTTATAATGCTGAAAAACTTTAAATATTAAATTTTGATCAAACATCATTTTTTAGGTTGGTTATTGACTTGTATTTTTCTTAGATTTCTCAATTTTTTTTTTTATTTCTCCTTTAGTAATAATTTTTTCTTTAAGACATTCCTTTTTTATTACTTTTTGTTATTATCGATAATTTTTGTAAACAATAAAAGGCTCATTTAAATTAGAAGCCATTCTTGAATTCTTTATTAATTATATTATTTTAATTTATATTTATATAATATAGATTTATAGCATTATTTTGATCGAAAAATAGTCATTATATTTAATAACTGTATATAAATTATGAAATAAGAAAAAGAGATAATATTTAATGGAGATTTTGAAGATAGTGAAGAAGAAGAAGATGATTAATCGTAAGACTATGAAAGTGATGAAGAGTTAAATAAAAAAAAGAAAAAGAAATCACTATTAAACACAAATAAAAATTTAATAATGAATGTTTCAGGTATTTTGTAAATTATTAAATAGATACTTAGTATGCTGTAGTGAAATTTGTAGGAAAAATGATATACAAGTTTAAATTACAATATGTTCCTTACTAGGAAATTAATAATTGGGATTTTTGTTGGACTGACAATGCTGTGCTTCCTGAAACTTTAGCTAAAATGCAATGTAAGAAACTTTTTATATAAATTATAATAGCTCATTAGAAGATTAATCATTTTCCAGGAATGTATTCATTGGCTCGTAAAAATCATCTAGGCAAGAATTTGAACAAAATGCAAAAGTAGTTTCCTGAAGAATATGACTTTTATCCTAGAACTTGGATGTTGCCAAGTGAATATAATGATTTTAAACAATAATTTGGTAAAGCTAAAACATTTATATTGAAACCTGAAGCATCATGTTAGGGCAAAGGTATAAATTGAGTCCATATGAATAGGAATCTTTTTAACTCGTTGTATAGAATCAATAAATCCAACAGAACATTATGTTGCATAAAGATATATTCATAAACCACTTCTAATTGATGGATTAAAATTTGATTTAAGAATGTATGTTTTAATCTGTGGTTGTGATCCTCTAAGACTTTATTTGTATAAGGAAGGTTTAGCAAGGTTTGCAACTTAAGCATATATTGTTCCAAATACTAATAATTTAGATGATGTTTGTATGCATTTAACCAATTATGCTATAAATAAAGACAATCCAAATTTTATATTTAATTCTGATGAAAAAAAAATGGATGTTGGACATAAAAGAAGTATGTCTAGTGTTTTTCAACTTTTAAGAGATTAAGTATATTTATTAAATTATAAATAGAATCAAAATGTTGATTAACTTCTTGCTGATATTAAAGATTTAATAATCAAAACGTTTTGTTCTGTATAGCCTATTTTATAATAAAATTATACACAAGTTGATAATTATGCAAATAATATGTGTTTTGAGATTCTAGGCTTTGATATCTTAATAGATAGTTCTTTAAAACCATATTTACTTGAGGTAAATCATACTCCAAGCTTTACTACTGATACACCATTAGATCAATATATAAAAAAGAATTTAATAGCTGACACAATTACATTAATGAATATTAATGTTAAAACTAAGAATGAAGTTATTTAATAAAAAAAGGATGAAATGTAGAAAAGAGTATTAACAGGCAAAAAGACAAAATTATCAATTGAAGAAAAAAAGCAAATAAAACTGTAATTTTAAAAATAAAGAGATGAATATGAATCTTAAAATAAAGGAAATTATGAGTTGATTTATCCATGTTCAAAATCATATGAAGAATTTTTATAACATTCATTAAAAATTTATGAGGAATGGACTGGAGCAAGTAAAAAATCAGATAAATATTTTAGATATAAGAAGAAATCAGAAAAAAGAGTCTATTTAAATAAATTAGGAACCTTAAAATAAATCTTAATCTCAACCTAAAAAGATCATACTTGAAAAAAAAAGCAATTTATATAAACATGTTCAAAGTCGAATTAATACTAATTTATTTCCTACTAATAAAAATGAATAAACTAAAGGAAATGAAGTGATTTAAGAAGGGGAAGAACAACCTCCAAATCAAATCAATACAATACCTGAAGTTGATAATGATCATTTTGTTCCTTATGAAGATTATTAATAATAATCATTAGAATCAATTAAAGAGTTGTGTGCTTATACTGAAAAGAGAGGAAGAGAATTATAAATTTTAGATTTAATTTAATATAGAAAGGTTGATAATAGACTTAATAATTCTCATATTTAGTAATAAAATGTTTAAAACATTTAAAACATTTTATCTCCAATTTCATAAATAAAGGGAGTATTATAGGGTATGGCAATAAAAAATGTTAAACAATTTGCAATAAGAAAAAACAATAAAAATATTAAGTCATCATCAAAACAAATAAATGAGAGTGAACATGATAAACTCTATGAAAACTCTTCTAAATAATTAATATTGCAGTCTCAATTAAATTATTAATAGAGTAATTAATAAGGTCTTAATGGTGCATATATAAAGCCAAAAGTCTTTAGTTTAAAGTTATCACATCCTCCAAAAGGGTACAAATTACAATCTCTTCCTTTATTGATACAATAAAATTATACTAAATTCAGATATGAATGATTTGATATTTATATATATATATAATATTTCTTTATTAAGAATTCAGATTATAAAATATAAATAAAAAATGATATCATATACATAATAAACAGGATTGGGAAATTTAGGAAACACTTGCTTTATGAATAGTGCAATTCAAATCTTATCTAATACTCCTGGATTTGCAGACTACATTTTAAATGATATTTATTAATTTGATATAAACTTAATAAATCCATTAGGAAGTAGTGGTGAGATTATTTAAAGTTTTGCCACTCTAATTAAGGAATTAAAAAGTAAAGAATAATAATTTATCATTCCAAATTCATTTAAAAAAACATTTTCCAAATTTTATAATATTGTAAAGAATTAATATTTATTAGTAGTACTATGGAAATGAGTAACATGATGCAGCAGAGTTTCTATTATAATTACTTGATGCAATAAATGAAGATGTAAATTAAATAAAAAAAAAACCTTATTTGATCACACCTTCTAGTTAAGGTAGAGAAGATTTAGTTGTAGCAATAGAATCTTGGGATGTTCATAGTTAAAGAAACTAATCAATTATTACTTTACTATTCTAAGCATAATTTAAAAGTAAAATCGAATGCCCTAACTGTAAAAATATATCCATTAAGTAATTTTTAATTTTTTATCTAGCTTTGATCCATATATGATGATATAATTACCATTAGCCACTAAAAATAATGAAAAAGGCATTGTTTATTATTTATTAGATGATTAATAGAGGTAAAAGTAAATGACATTATCTGTCTTTAAAAATTATAATTTTGAATGGCTTCAAAATGAAATTAAGAATTAATTAAGATCTTAAGATCTAATATTCAATTTATCAAACTAGAAAACCAATTATGAAAGTATACAAAAATTATATTTTATTAGTCAGACCAGAAGATGATATTTAATATTTAAAACAATTACTTTAACATTCGAAATTGTTTGTTAGATATATGCAAATTTATGAAATCTAAGTTCCTCATAACTATAGATGTCATACTCTCATAACCCATATCAACCCTGAATTTTAAATTCTAACTGATATTATTACTCTCGTTTTTGATTTCAGAACAAAAATATTCGAAATATATGATTTTATAGACAAAACTTATGCTTAAAAATTTCAATGCTAGTTTGATTTATTCTTACAATCAAATTCTTAAGAAACAGAATAGTAATGTTACTTTTGCCATAAATCTTATTGTAAATTTTGTGAGCTGAAAAAATGCTAACACAGTTTAAAATATATTAATAATTGCATTTCTTAACCAAATTTTTAATTAAATATTATCATTAAATGGTATGGTTAAGGAGTTCCTTAAATGTTTAATAAAGAAAGCTCAACTTTTAAATTAGAAGAAATAAACGATTAATTTTCTATCAATAAATCATCAATTACAATCTATGATTGTTTAAGCTATTCATAATAACAATAATAGTTAGATGAAAACAATTCGTGGTATTGTAATTAATGTAATTAACATGTAAAAGGAATTAAACAGTTGTTATTATATTCAACACCATAAATTTTGATATTTTAACTTAAAAGATTTAAATCATCAGAGGATATCACTTAAAAAATCAAAAATAATATCTTTGTTAAATTTCCATAAATACTTAACATGGCACAATATGTTACAAATTTAAAAGTATTCTATTAATAAAATTTTAGTTGCCAAACAATTATTTAAACGGTCATGATACAAATGAATTGAAGTATAAACTATTTGGAATAATAAATCATTATGGAGAACTCTAAGAGGGTCATTACAATTCTTACATTAAAAATTTAGAAAATTAGAAATGGTATTGCTATGATGATTCTCAAGTTACAGAAATTCAATTACAAAACATTGTTACTGAACATGCTTATGTATTATGTTATGAAAGATAGAATTGAATGTTTAAATCTTCATGTTTTGAAAGTTTAAACCAAAAAAAATATGATTATTCTTTGGGTTAATTAATATCTAAAATAATGTTGCCAGCTTAATTTTTAGTTAATTCCCTTAAATTATAAAATTATAACTATGAAATGCTCTTCTCAAAATAATTCATTTCTCTTGAAAGTAAAGTTGTATATTACTAATATATTAATTATCATCAATTCTTTTAGTTATTATCCAAAAATCATTGTGTTCACACATTTTGATTTTACAATTCTTGTAATTTTTGAGAGCTTTCTCTAAATACATTTCAACGGCTGAATAGTTTCAACTATTCTCCTTAAATATGCTATAATTTATGGTTATCGAATTCTAGATATCCACCAAATTTTTAACCTAAATAGCTTTGAAAATAAGGATGAAGTTCTTAAAATATTTTAAAGTTATTTTAGAGTTGGATTTTATTCTAATAGGAATAATGATATTTTATTTAGATGATATTTCAGAATGAAAATTTTATATTGAATTTTATAAATTATTCAAATTAAGCCAATTTCTATTATTTAACTGATTCCTAGCTTCTAAACTCTTTTTACAATGATCTTATGCGGTGAATGAAAATAATTTTTAGTTTTTCAACTAATTTCATTTTTAATCTAATAAACTATTTAGCACTTTATGTTATATTTAAAAATGTATCACTTATGTTATAATCTTTTTAATCATTGTCAGTGAACTTTATCAATTTGCCATCAATTATTTTTATTGTTACAATTTGGATAAGGAATAAAGTTCTAATAAAGCATCCAAATCTTCAACTTTAATTTGTACATTTTCCTTGAAAATTTTTCTAATTCTTGATTCTATTCATTTCCTTAAAAATATTTATAAATTAAAAATTATGTATCTTATTTACAAAAATATTCTGTATTATTTTTATCGCATAATTAAAATAATATATTATATGAATTGAACATACCTCGATCTTTTTATTGGTTTCAATAATGAAAAAATCTTTTATTGTTAAATGATGAACAATCAAGTAAAAATAAAAGCATCTTGCATCTGATTATAAAAGATTTTTGATAATTAAGAAATTAATTCATCATTCTTAAAATTAGAATTATTCCAAGATTATGATTTTTATCTTTTTATAAATTTAGTTGAAAAATTAAATATATTATTTTTATCAAATAAATTAGATTTAAATTTATATGATATTAAAAATTTTAGCAACATTTTAAAAATTAATCAAACTAAATAGAATTAGTTTTGAATGTTCCAAAATTGAATCAAAGAAGATTTAGAACTTTCTTTTAAATAATATTACTATATATTTAAATAATTAATTCAAAGAAATTAAAATTTTTTAAAAATATTTATTAAAAGTTGTTCTTCATTATCAAAAAATTTTAAACCAAAAAGCTATTAAAATGTATTTAATAAGAGAAAACTCTATTGTCATCATAGTATAGTTTAGTTCATGTAGTGAAAAAAATGTAAAATTTATGGTTAATAAGCTTCTTGATTTTGAAAAAAAAAACGCATTGAATTTGTACTGTTAAGGGAAAATTGATTTTTATTCATTTAATATAATAAATATAGAAAATGAGTTAACAAGTAAGAGTTAAAGGAACAAAAGGAGATTATATAATATTCGAAAAAGTTTTAGGAAAAGGGGCTTATGGTGTTGTATGTTTAGCTTAATGTGAAAATGATGGAACCTACTTAGCTGCTAAAATTGTAAGATATTTTATATTATCTAGGTTATTAAAAAATGTCTTAGCGTTTAAGACATAGAAAATTTGAGAAATGAAATGAAAATCTAATAAAGCCAAACCCACCCAAATATTCTTGCAATGATAGATACCTTTGAAGATGATTAATTTCTCTATATGATGTTAGAATATTGTAGTGGAGGGTGTTTATTTTAGAATTTATAACTTAATGGACCATATAGAGAAGAGAAAGCTTTTTATTATTTTTAATAAATCCTATCTGCAATATAACATTTACATAGAAATAATATATTACATAGAGATATTAAAGTATATTCATAATTTAAAACTAGCTTTCCAACATTCTTATCACAGATAAAGATTAAGTTAAACTTGCTGATTTCACATGGGCAAAATATATGATTAACGGAGAAGTTTCTCCATAATTATGTGGTACACTTGAATATATGCCTCCAGAAGTAACTTAAAATCGAACTTAAAGCGAGAAATTAGATATTTGGAGTTTAGGAATTGTTTTATATGTAAAATTTTTAAATATCCTTAGGAATTATTACATAATAAATTTCCATAAAGTGATAATTTATTCATGAGAAATGATATAAGTTCTGAGTGCCAAGATTTGATACTTATGATGCTTGAAAAGTCTGCTTTTAGACGTCCCACAGCTATAAACATTCAATCTGGGCCTTGGTTTAAAAAGATGATTAATTAAAAACATTTAAGACCCACAATTTCAATTCCAAAAACGAATTCACCATTAAATAAAGTAAATTTAAGGGCTATAATTGGTTCACCATTGAGATAGTCAAATGAGAACTTAAATTTACTCCCTCCAATTGATTTAAATTACTCATCTCCAAAAAGAGAATTTTCAACTTATGGTGTTTTTTGAATTTCTTAAATTTATTTTTGTATTAATTCCTAAAAATCCTTACTTTTTCTAATTTAATTATTAAAGATTGGGAAGTTAAGAAAGAATTTTTAATAATTACAATCAAAGATTAGATCTAAATGTGAGAAAAAAAGAAAAAGCTTTATAAGAAGAATTTTAGTTAATAGATGATATTATTTTTTTATTATTTAATTATCAAAAAAAATATGATTTTAATTTTTTTGTATAATCATTCAGATTAAAAATTTACCTTCCAAATTTATTTAACATCTTATAATTTCTCTTGTTCTGCATTATCTCGACAAATGTATTGATAAATTTCATTAGGAGTAATTAGATCTGTCTTATTTTTGTTTTTTATTATACCTTAAAAAGAAAGTGAAACTTTATTTAGATGGAATATTCGATTAATTAAATGGCATGTAATGGCTTTTAATAATAAAGTGTTATATTTTAATTCTGGTTTTTAACCAAGTTTCATTTCTCTTTCCACAAACTTGGAAGTTGTTTGTATCAATTATCGATATCCATTTTTCAAGAATTCATCAGAACAACATTTATAAACAGAAGTTTCATCAATTTTTTATCTTTAAAAACAATCTGCATCTGCTTACAATTAATCTCTTACAACTTTCTCAATTCTATCATCTTTTAAATAAATTTTGCAATCCTTAAAAAACATTTCTCTTAGAATTATTTCCAACTGTGTAATTTTTTTTTTAATATTACCCTCCAGTATAGCTTTTTAAGAATCTCTCTTAAATTCTTTCCAAATGTCTAATTAATCATTGTTGCATATCCATGGGCAAACATCTTCGTTTATTTTTCGCAATAATTCAACCAAAATAAGATAACCCATCTTTTTTAAAAAATAAGCAAAGAGATACTCTAATTAATAATTTTTTTTTTATAATTCCACTACAAAATCATCAGCTGTTTTTTCTAAAAATGTAAATCTAAATTATTCCATTCTTATGAACTACCAGATTTAATAAAATTTTGATTCCTACTAATAGAGCAAAAATTTACATTTTGACCTTAAATTTCATGAGGAAACTATTTTTCAATATTATCTTAATCATTCCCTTAAAAATCATCTTAACTGGATGTAGAAGAAGGAAATTTAAAAGGTTATGGGTATAATAAATTTTATTTACTTTCTAATTCTAAAGGAGGAATTCTATAATATTTGATTAATAATTTTACAATTAGGAATCCCATGCTGAAGTTTATGTTTGCTCTTTATAGCTTTTCCTTGAAAAATTATCATATTAATTAATCTCATCATCTCTTTAAGATTTTCGTAATTCTTTAGTGTATAATAATTCAGAAGTACGATTTTCTAGAGTATTTATTTCTTTAATCAACAATTAATCATCATATTATTCATAGAATTTCAATTGATCAGAGTATTTTGGAAGATTTAAGCTCTTAATAAATTGATTTTTATAAATTTAAGCAAAAGATAACCTTTTATTTACATCGTATGTAAGAAGTCCTTCAATAAAGGAACAAAATTCTTTAGGGTATCTATCTGTAAATGCTACTATATGATCTAAATTTTGCATTTATGTTGTTAGATAATTAGTATATTCTTTGACATCCTTATACAGCATTTATTTTAGTTTTTTTTTTTCAATTTATATTGAATTAATAGGACTTAACTTAACTAAATGATACAGCACTGCTCCTAATAACCATGAATCAATTTTCATATCATATTTTAAAGAAGATTATTCCACTACAATTTATTGATGATTGATACATACCTTCATTAAAATTTTTAATTATTTCTGGGGGAGCAATTATATCTAAGTCTTAATTCACTATTTTTGGCCCAAAACCAAAGTCCAAGAATAAAAGTTACCCTTTGCAAGTCATTATATTTTTAGTCGAAAATACTCTGCCCAATATATTATTTTAATGCAGCTAAAATAATGTATCAAGTATCTAAATTAAAATTTACTTTATAATCTCAAGACTTATTGACTCTTATTTCCCTCTATAATTAAGTATTAGTCTTTCTAAGGATTCCCCTTCAATAAATTCAAACAGAATATATTTTTAATCATTGTAATCGATTTACCTTAAGTATTTCCTTAAACACCTACCATTTGCTATCTATTCCTCTTTTTTAAGACACAATTATTGAAAACTCGGCTGTAAATTATAAGCGTAAAAATTTGTTTTTTTTTATCCTTATTCTTCTTCCATTTGATATAAAGTCCCAGAGTTAGTTCTAAATAGTTCATATTTTAAATTGTATTTGCTCATTTGTTCGGATAGAATATTTTGAAAATATGATTTTTATTAAAATAATATCTGAAATCCTAATTATATTTCATTTAAGATTAGAAAATAAGGGTTTTGAAATATATTAGTTTAAAAAAATTTGCTTGTTTATATATTATGTGTTATTCTCAATTATTACAATATTTGAAATAAGTAAATTATATAATAGATATAATATGTAAGCTAATCCAATATGTGTCTAACCTTAAGCTCAATATTTAGATAATTATGATAATTTTGAGGAAGTTTCAGCAACTTTTAAGCCTTTGCAAAAAATTCATTAGCCACTTGAACCTGAAGCTACATTTTTTTTAATACGTGCACCAACAAAAGATAATATTCATAGAGCAATTAAATATGGTATTTGGACAAGGTATAAATACCTATGAAGGTAGTTCGAGTCGAAATAATAAAAAATTAAATGATGCTTCTCGTCCTGTTTACTTACTATTCAATGTTACATAGACTTCTCATTTTATTGGATTAGCCAAAATCATTAGTGAATTTAGGGATAAAATGCATTTCAAGTATTGGGCTGAGGAAAATAAATGGTTTGGATCATTTCAAATTGAATGGGTATTTATTCAGAACATACAAGGTTTTCCTTAGGGATTTACCATATAAAGAACTCATTATGATACAATAATCAAGTGGAAAATGTATACATGAATTAATAGATTGTACTCAAATTGAAAATGCTGAATAGATATATAATGCATTTTAAGATCAACCACAAAAAAGCTGTGTACTTTAAAGTTTCAAAGAATTAGATAATTCTGAAGTATAATAATTGATGATTGATTTAAGAAAAGAAAGAGAAATGAGAGAGATACAAATCCAAACTTTGATATCTAGTTTTAAGAATATATTTCTGTCTTTGAATAAATGCCATTCTCTTTCTCTGTCTCATCTTATCAACGAAGAAAATAATAATAATATCAAAATTAGTACTTATAATAATGTTAATATTATTACTAAAGCCCTTGGTATGGTGTAGGTAAATAATATATATAAATGATCATAGCATAACCTACCTTTTGGAATTCTGAATTTTAAACTCAACCTCAACAATATTAATAATAGATTTCAAACGATAATAATTCAGGTTTTTACTAGACTTAAAATTACAATAGACCTCAAACTTAAAATATTTAATTGACAAAACATTTATAAAAAAAATAGCAAGTCCAAAACAAAAATAATAATCTAGAGAGTCCGAAAAAATTATGATTATTAGTATATAATTAATATTTTTATGTTTTATAAATCAATAATATATTGATTATGTTTTTAAATTAAATTAACAATTAAATATCTTAGCCAATTATAATGTAAGAGCTTTATGAATAGAACATTCATTTTTATACTGAATTAGAAAATGATGTAGAGAAGATATTTTAGGAATTTCAGCAGGAATCTCAAAGAAAGAGTATAAATAAAGAAAAGTACTAGGAGTATATACAATTCTTAATGATGGCTCATTAAAAAATAAATTAGGAATAGAAAAAAGTTGATGCAATAGAACTTAATCAAATAAAAAAAAAAGGAATAAAAAAGACTATAAAGAAAAACTACTATAAGAAATGATTAATCTATTCATTTATGACTTTTAAATTATCAAGCTTTTAATATATTATCTATATAAATAGTATTTTAATGGTAGACTTGTTAGATAAGGGATTAGAGATTGATTAAAAATTTTTCATTGATTAAAAATTTTGACTAAATTTTTAAATCTGAAAAAAAGTAATTATACAACAACAAGGAATATAGGAGAAACCATAAATTACTTTTAATTTTGGATATGAAGATAGTAAATATGAAAAATAATAAATTAATCTATAAAAAAATAACTATATGATGATGAGAGGATGATTAATTTGATTTTTTTAATGGTAGTTCATTTTTATTATCTCTGCCCATTTAACTTTTATTTCAATCAACATTCTAAAATATTGAAAACAATATTATAGAATAAGCTGAAGAATTTCTTTAAGAAATTATAATAATCATGATAAGAAGAGAAATTTAAGAAAACTTCTTCACACTTGTAATGAAATTATTAATCTCAAATTATAAAAATAATAATTAGCTTTTCATTTTTAGCATCAATAAATAATAGGCTGAATTTAATGAAAAAATATTTCTAGTAAAATAAAAAAGAGATTGTGTTCATATATCATCAACATTTTTAAACCAAAATTAATATATAATAATTTAATTCGAATTATAATTAAAGTTAGAGAGCAAGAGATTTGTAATTTTTTGAGAAATGAATAAAATTATTAGGAAATTTTAGATGCAATATTTAAGAAAATATTAATAAAGTATTTTTAATAACCTTAATTAATTTTAGTAAAGAATGGTTGATTTTAGACATAATCATTTCTTTCTATTTGGAATGTGATTAATCAATCCTTCAGGTTCTTTTTCAAATGAAACACCTCGATTAACAATAATATCAGTTACTCTAAATTCAGTGGAAAATAGAACCTTCTACAGGAAATACGATATTACATAAAGCACAGCCAGTGAATAATTCTTTTATAATCATTTGAATTAAAATTATCAAATATAATAGCCTAATATCTTGAATCTAAGCAAGTTAAATAACACTTATCACATTTTAAGGAAGAACCATCATGAATTTTAGGGATCATCAAGTTTTCTCTTTTCATGTCAACAATATCTTTGATGTAATGTAATACAGTTCCTACAAGATTTTAGAGTTATTTATTTGAGCTGAATGCATAGGCAGGTTTAGAAGTGGATAGGTATTGTCCTTTCCATTTTTTTAAATTAAGGTGATTAATAGTTTTTAGATCAAATGGAACAGTTGCAAAATCCTAATCTTAAATTGCTGAATAGATCTAAAAGGCCGAAGCAACATATCTTAAAAAAGAGAGAGCGTGATCTCCTTAAATAATATTATGAATAGATACTATAAAATTAATAAATATCATATAAATAAAACATGAAATATACATTTTTGTAAATATTATACTTCTTTTAGATTATAAGAATAGGATTATGTATGATGAAAATAAAAAACCCAAATTTATTGTAAAAAATGATTAATTATGAAATAATAAAGATTAATAGAAATAATTAATGTTATTAATAATAATATTACTTAAGAATAATAATAGATATATATTTAAACAATAAAGTAATAATAAAAGTTTTTAATAAATTTCTCATTATTATATGACTACACTATATGAAATTAAAAAGATTATACAAATTTTATCATATAATTAAAAAAATCGTCAGCTGCAGGATTCGAACCTGCGCGGGTAAACCCAGTGGATTTCAAGTCCACCGCCTTAACCACTCGGCCAAACTGACTTCTATACTTATATACATTCTTTAAAATTATTATACACCAGGAGAAAATCACAAAAAGCTATTACATAGAAAATTTATAATATATATGTTTCATCTTAGACATAAAATACATTAAAATAAAACTATTGTTTTAATCACACAAAATATTGATCTCAATTTATAGGACCTAAAGGTTTTGTTCTTTTGGAATCTTTAGTTGTTTAGTATATCTAATAAATTTGTATATTTATATGAATCTTATCTAGTAAGCTTTTCTAATATATTTATTAAGTTGAATATGTAATTTAAAATGGAAACTGAGTTTTTTTTTGGCAAGATAATAGAGTAAATCTAATAATATATCATTTTGATCTTAATGAATTAATGTTTTTGATTTCAAATAATAGAATAGTAATTTTTATATGTATATTTATAATTAATAATAATAATAATAATAATAGATCAGACAACAAAAATCTTTTTTTTTGTATTTAAGACTTTATGATCGTTTTTTTAAGCGTTGTTTAGGAAATTATGACTAGCAATTATTTACTTATGTTATTTTGGATGTCCAAGATCATCTTCTTCATATGATTTATCTGATGATTCTGATTCTATGTAATCCTCATTTTATTTTTTATAAAACTTGCATTTCATTTATAGAATTTCATTGTCATCACATAACATTTATGGACTAACAGATTGAAATTTAAGTGAATTTTAATAATATTTGATTTTCATAGCTCTTTGAGATTCTCCAAATTAATATTTGATATCATGAACAAATTTATATTTTTTAGATTCAGTATGTGGTCTAGTTTAAACTTAAGTTTAAATGAATCTATAATTTCTCTAATATTTTTATAGAAATGTAGAATGACTGGTAGATGGTTTCATTTGAGGTAATTCTTGAATTCTTTTTTGATGTGTATTTTTATTAGGTTATTTTTTTTTTGAATCAATGGCATCTTCTTTGGCTATATCTTTATTATCATTAAATGCTAACATTAATCTTTAAACAAGACCATGTTATGATTGTGGTCTTTTTTGTTCTTCTTAAACTTCAGGTAATTCTAATTTCTTCTTTTTAAGTTAATCATCCTTCATTTTTTATGTTAATTCTTTATAAGGCTCAGCAATAGATTTAAGAGCAATATTCATTGGTTAAGATTATGATTAAATAAGACGTCTAAAATTAAATATAAAAATAGATATACTTTTTTTCTCTTTAAACAACTACTTATTCTGGTTGGGCATAATTTCTTTACATTTCTTCCAAAGATGCTTCATTAAAATACTTATTGACTAGAAATCTAACTTTAACTCTTTCCTTTTCATATGGAGATAGATTCTCTTTTTCAATTAATTTTAAAGCATCAAAAACTAATTCTATGTCTTTGAGTTTTTAACCAACCCAATCAAATGGAAATTTCCAATAATTAGATCCATCATATTTAGCTAAACTAATATCTGACCATAAATCTCCCTTCATAGACCATATTTTAAAATGTTTATCCATTGAAGAACTAATAAATGATACTAGTTCTCTAATTTTATTAATTTTAACAATAGCTGAACTATGAGCAATCCATTATCTAATGAGTAAAGCTTATATATTGCAAGTAAGAACAGGAGATTATTATTTCTCTTCTTAAACTAAGAAGGTTTCAACACTTTTAGAAACATCTATTAAATCTTTTCTTTTTAATTAATATGAATGACCTTTTTTTAGTTTTTCAATTTCAGTAATACCTTTTCTTTATAAAAATTCTGTTAATGATAAAATATGCATATATCCTTTTTAATCTCCCATGTATAGTAAAGCTCTTCTCTTATTTTGATGTTATTCTGTATCATATTATTGAATATCTTTCATTAATCCTTCTTATTCTTCTTATAAATTTAATTTAGATTTTTTATCTTAGGCAGTTTTATCAATTAACGGACCTGCAAATTCAGGTAATAATTCTTATCTTGAAGGTCCTTAAGAGAAATCTGAAAATATAGCAACAGATAACATAGGATGTTGAGGATTCGTATTAATTCTTAAAAGACATTTATTAGTCTTTATATTCCAAATACTTATTAATATACCTTGTAAACTTACTAATACAGGATATGGATCAGCAAATTCTAAAGCAGTAACTTCAGCTAATGGTTATGGTGTATTAAGTACTCCACATAACTTACTTGTTTCAAAATCCCAAAGAGAAATTAATCCATTTGCACTTCCAGTTGCTAGCATTGTAAAATTAGAACTAAATGCCATTGATAAGATTTCTGAATTCTAATGTCCTCCACAAAATACTTTTAATAATATTGATTCTTCAGGATCTGTCTCATCATATATACGAATTGTAGAATCTTAACTTGCTGATATCAATAATTTCTCTTCTTATAAAAATATTATTGAACTTATATCTAAAGTATCCCTTTTCTTTATGTTTGCCAATTTATTTGCGAATTCAGAATTCTCAATCTCATTATGCATATTAACCTTTTTTAAAAATTCACCTGTTTTCATATTATATTATCTTATCAAACCAGCATTGTCAGCTATAAATAACTTACGCTATCTTCCACCAAAACAAAAAGTTGATAAATCCAATTATATTTTATCATCAAATACCTCATTCATCACTTTTTTCAATCTCCCTCCCATTGCATCATATATTCTTAAATCAAATTTAGTTAAAACTACAAATTAATTGAAATACATATTGAATTCAACATTTACTGGATATACTTCTTCATTAGGTCCTTTCTATTTCTAATTACTGCTCATTTAGGCAGCATTATAAAAATAATTCAATCTCTTTCCTGAATAAACAAATCTATCAGTTCTTGTTATTATACATAAATCAGTAACTAAAGATTATTAATCATTAGGTATCACTTATACACTACTCATTTATCTAATATCCCAAATTCTAATATTTGTATGATCATCAATACTAACACAATTAGGTGATTGAGGAATGAATTTACAAGTCACAACTAATGATGAGTGACCCTCTAATCTTCCAATATAAGCCCTAGTTATTGATACTTCAGGACAATAAACATTAATAAAAGTTTCAAATCCATAACTAATTAAATTTGATCCATAATCTTGATTATAGCTTAATCCTTTAACTCCTCTTTTTGAAGGGGCTGGAGTTTTTAATTCAGTTATAAATTTCTAATCTTGCATATCCCATAATTTTATTTTACCATCTTAACTAGCTGATGCCAACAATTTTGGACTTATTAATTCAACTATATCTGTTATTTATTTTGTATGAGCATTCAAAAATTTTATAACTTATCCTTTTGAATCTTTCTCATTCCAAGGAATACTCCATCCTCTAATATTATAATCAGATCCTGCTGTCACCCATAATTCATGATAAGGGAAATACCATATACCAGTTTATAAGACTTCTTACTTAAATTATTTAATAACTTTGAAAGTTGTTGCATCCCAAAATATCAATTGTCTATCGCTTGTAACTGCTGCAATATAATTGTCAACAGTGTGAAAATGTATAATAAATATTTTTCCTGATTCTGATTCTGGTGCTAGTGTAAACTTTTTATCTTAACACTCTGGAGTATAGAATCTTAAATGTTGTGAATTTTATTCTAAACATATAACACTGTCTAATTATTAACAATAAGCAATCTAAAATATTAATAATTAGTATTACAGTTTTGATAGGATTTTTGTGATTAGAATCATCTACTTAAGCCATAGGTATATAACGTTTAGATTTGCGTGAATAAGCCCTGTCAAGTACTTCAATTTCTGTTAATTCTCTTTCTTTTTCGAATCTAGTATCATAAAGCTAAGCATCTTTCGAACCAATGACTGCATCAATAATATATTAAGTGAACTCAGCCCATTCCATATGACCATCTCCATTTATATCTATATCTTAAAACAACTTAATCAATCCATTGACTAATTCATATTTATCCTCTGGGGCATGTGAGATAGCACATTTCATTAACCATATAAAATTAGGAAGCTCAATACCATTAGGATGTTCATGAAACTCTTTATCCAAAGCATCTAATTTCTCATTATCCAACATCATCATTAATCTATCTGCTTAATAAGGGTTACGCTCAACTAATATCATGTCTTAATGTTCTTAGAGATACCTAATTAACTTACTTATTACTTTATCACATCTGTTAACGATGGTTCGAATCGTTTAAGTAAATTGTTCATAAATTATTAAAAAATTTAAATCTTACATCATGGGTGAGATAGTACCAAATCAATTGTTTGTTGCTGGTTATAGTCGCAACAAAATATCAGATGAAAAAGGAATTAAAGATATTTTTAAGAAGTATGGAAACATTAAGGACGTTGCTTATAAAGGCTCCTATTCTTTTGTTGTAAGAACTTTATTTTATATATAAATAGACTTTTTCTTCAGAATAAGAAGCTTAAAATGCTATATCTGCTTTAAATGGAGAGTCTATTAATGGATAAAAATTTAAAGTAGATATTGTGGACAATCGTAAAGGTAGACGAAATGGTCCTTAAGAAAATGATGAATGCTTTAAATGTGGAAAAGGTGGTCATTGGTATATCTTATTCTCTTATTTTAGGGCTCGAGAATGTCCCAATCGTACATCACCCAATAGAAGAAGAAAATATTCAAATTCAAGATCAAGGTATTTATTATTTCTATTTTTGAGACACCGAAGATCAAGAAGATCAAATTCAAGATCTCGTTCTTATTCTTCTTATTCATCTTCTCATTCAAGAAGAAGAAGAGATGCTAAAAAGAGAAGCAGATACAGTAGAAGAAGTAGAAGCCCAAAAAGAGATAACAAAAGAAAGAAAAGTTCCAGTTGCAAAAGATCACAAAGTAATTCAAGGTCCAGATCCTCTGTCAGCAATAAATAACGTTAGTCACATAAGTCATCTTCATCTAAATGAGAAAGGATCAAATTAAGAAAAAAAAAGAAATTAGAAATTAAATCAATCCTTTTCTTCCATTTTTCATTTTCTCCATCTATTTCTGGACTAAATTGTGTCATTTGTGTAAAACCACACTCAAATTAAAGTTCTTAAGCAATAAATTAACAATAAGCTAATTTTCATATATAAAATGTTAATGATTTTACTAATAAATTATTCTTAAATAATTAACAACTCTCATGGCTATTGGAACTTTATTTTTCAATCTTCTAAATAAATTCTAAAGATTTATTATATTTTTATTTTCTAAGATATATTATACTCTGATTCATTAATTAAATTTCTTTTAAATACTTTATACTTAGATTTTATCTAGTCATCCTAGCTAATCTGTTGTGTTTTCGTATATCTTCCTTAAATCATTTAATATTTATCTTTTAAGTGTCTGAAATCATTTTATCTTTGTTATCAGCCTGAATTAATAATATAATTTGTTGATTAAAAGAAAAAATAGTAGATAAAATATATCTAATTTAATATTTTCCAATTTTAATTTCTTAAGTCAATTCTTGCTCTGTCGAATATTTTCCTAAAAGTAATGAGAATTAATTGTTTTTCAATATTTATTTATTTTAATCTATGCAATTTAATACATAAATTCAATCTAATAATTAAATGATATAATGAGAAATTTATTAAAAACTTTTATTATTACTTTATTGTTTAAATATGTATCTATTATTATTCTTAAGTAATATTATTATTAATAACATTAATTATTTCTATTAATCTTTATTATTTCATAATTAATCATTTTTTACAATAAATTTGGGTTTTTTATTTTCATCATACATAATCCTATTCTTATAATCTAAAAGAAATATAATATTTACAAAAATGTATATTTCATGTTTTATTTATATGATATTTATTAATTTTATAGTATCTATTCATAATATAATTCTAAATTTTAATATTGATAAAATAACTATGAATTTTATTAATTATAAAATACTTTGAAAATTAAAATAAACTTAACTTATGACGATAAATTAATTTAGATTGAAAAAAATATAATTCAAATGTAAGAAAGGTCGATAAATATCAATAAATTATTTATTTTTTTCACTTTTCCAATTAACTAAGTAGTTCAGCTGCAATAGAGCTTCGAAAATTATCTTCATTCAGAATCTAGTTAGTATTTCTTAAGTTAATTTCCTTGTGCTTATCCTTAAGCAATAAATTCACTATTTCCTCAACTTGTTTGTTTGATAGAGAATGAACAAAACTTAAAACGATTTCTAAATTCTAAGATACTGGTGATAAATTTTTATTTCTTAATTTTATCTTTTCATCTCTCTATTAAATATTTAATTATATTTTATTCTTTATGAGATCAAATTTATTGCATATTTTAGCAATTTCATCTTCTGGACTTATTAAATCTGATTTTTATTGTTTTACTTCTAAATTATCTTCATCTAATTAATCTATAATATTAGATTAAATATGATGAACATCAATATCCGAAAAGAGATTTGAATTTTATGGAATTAATAAATCACTAGTTCCTTATTAAGTTTTTTCACTAGCTTAAATAATACTACTAAACTATTTTTCTTATTTTAATTATTTAATCATGATCTGTAAAGTAGAATCCATATTTTACAATTAAAAATCTTCAAATGAAAAAAAAATAGATTGCAAACTTTCCTTAGAATTTTATAATTAATGTTAAAAATCTATTTAATATGTTTATTTAGAATATCTCTCTATAAGATTCTTTTATTAACTTACTTACAATTATTTAATCTTTTATTTGATTTTTAATTCAAAATAACTAAAAAATTATGTGTTGAGTTTATTTTCACAAATCCAAGTTGGAAGGACTGATTTCATAAACTAATCATCTTTTTCCCATAAATCTAACAATAAAATAAGATCTCCGTTTGATTATTAATTTAATTTGTTTAATAATATTTCAGTATCTTCAATAATGAAATCAATTAAAACTTTAAGATTTCCACGAAATTAGAAATCGCTAAAACCTAACCATTAAAGTTGAGCAGCATCAATATTTATATCAATCAAAGCATTAATAACTTAAAACAAACTTATCTTTTGTTTGGTCTTATCTCTTCTTGCATCTTCAAATTATTTTTTAATATAATTAATGTTTAATTATTATACTTATGTACCCCATAATTTTCCTCCTATTTATTCAACTTTTAAAGGAGGATTAATCGTTGCATAATGTTCATTAAAAAATTAATTAAGTGGCTAAAGGTCATAAATATCTAATTTGGATAATTTGCATAAATTATTTTATAAGTGTTCCCAAATCAAAACATAAACCATACATTATAAATCTAAATTTTAATCTAATTCTCTAATTATTAAATTAGCTAAACTGCAATAACTTTTTATTCCATTTAAAAGGAGTTCTAAGTTATTTTAATAACAATCGTCATATTGATGTTGTTTATATGAAAAGTTCATTAATCTAAAATTTTTAACGAATTCTTTATCCATTGTGAGATCCTTAAAATTTTTTAGTTTATTTTTGTTGTTGTTTTTAATTAAAGAACACTAAAACACTGAACTTGCATAATTTAGTAAAACATCCTCAAAAAGAGTAATTTGAGGTGGTATAGATTATTAAAGCAAATCTATTATTTACTTGCTATTATATATTGAATATACAAATGTTACCGATTTTTTTCAAAGTTGCTGGCAAACGGAATCTCTATGAACTTTAATTAATCAAGAAATTCTTTATCAATATAAAATTCAACATCTTCAACAAGCATTTATAAGCAACTAAATAAAGACTTTTTAGAGTTTTTATTTGTTGATTATTCTACTCCCATTTATTTAATTAATGAATTTTAGATTAGTATTCTTTACTTCATTTTTTAAGATTATAGAATATAAAACACATTTATGGAATAGTTTATATAAATTTATGATCTACCCATTCACTAGGGCAGCTAAATATCCACTTTTTTTTTAAAATAAAAACTAAACAGGAATAGAAATTTGCAATTTTTTTCTAAATAAACTAATTATATTTTATAATTTATTAAGAAAAATATATCCATGTTTAAAGTTGTAATATAGTTTTGAACTTTAATTTTTAGTGTTAAAATAGAAGGAATTTTGATAAAATAGAATTGGTATTTAAAAAAATTTCAAAAAAAATTTGAAAGATTAAAGAACCTGTCAAGTTATATGATAAACATGATTGTATTGATTATGAAGTGATATTAGGTAAAATATATAAATAATTAGCATGATAATTATGATGCATCATTTTAATTGAAAATTAACAGTCGTAATTTCAAATAAATTAAAATTCAAATTGCACTTCGGAATAAATGGATCCCTAAACAATTTAAGTAATAGGTTTTAACGAATTACCATAAATTGATCCAAATCAATTAACTTAATTGGCGGCTGAGACTTAATAACTATTTACTTATGGAACGAAAGCTTGGTTATAGTTATTTTAAGCAATTACAAATCTGAGGTGTATTAACAAATATGTACCACAACATGTTAATTAATTGTTTGAAATGTTCGGGTAATAAGTTATGGTTTCAATTGATGACTCTAAAGTAAGAAATTATTAGATTAATAGCCAAAAATTTAAAGAAATGTTGTGACATTCATAAATGAAGTATTTTCTCTAGGTAGAAATGTACAAATATGTCCATAAATCTTTCAAGTTTTTGTGCCTAAGTTAATTTTGAAATCTTAAAACTCTGAACACAAGTAAATTAAAGAAGAATGTTTGGTATATTTTTAATCCCTATTTAAGGTTGCTGTCAGTAATTATATACTTAATTGTTCATAATACGAAGCAGGCTTATTTGCAGTCATTTAATTGACTGGATAAAAGAAATCCACTGTTCCACTTCAAAAGTTTTGTCTTTAAGTTCTTGCAAAACAAATCTAGACTATTGGCTCGTTTTTATAGTCTTTTAGTGTAAATACACTTACTATGCTTTTATAAGCATTGAGTGCATTTTTAAATTCTTAAGGAGGTGAAATACAAACATACGCATTTTAAATTTGTATGTATTTACATTCTTTGGTTGGAGATTAAAATTTTAAAAATTGGATGTCGGTTTCTTTAGATCCATAATCCACTCAAATTATGGTTAATAAAATATAAGAAGTATTAAAGAAGAAATCTAAAGCCAAATAACACATAACAATGACTGGTATGAAATAAAGAATGACATTTGGAATTTATGAAAACCAAGAATAAGTTGAAAATTAAAATCACTTTTAAGAATTTGTTAAAGATAAATAAAAGGCTAATAATTTCTTAGATTTGAATCAAGTTTAACCTCTATAACCCTCTGTTTATTATAACGAAAATCTGAATTACTAATAGCAATAATAACATTCAATTTAAAATTTGAGTTAATAATAATTCATATAATATTAATGATTTATAAACACAATTTCGAAATTTATTTATAAAAGAAATTTATCAATATATATTATTTAAATGCTAACTTAAGAGATTGTATAAATCTATATTTCAAACCTATTGTTATTCTCTTAATATTTTGATTAATTTCTTAAAATTTATCGGTAAAAAATTAATATTATAAGAGATTGAAGTGGTCATAAGAATATCATACTTAAGATATTTATTAAATATATAATTCATAATGGTTTATTTATAAGCATAAATAAAAATATAAATGATTTGTTACATATTTTTAGCTGGTTTGGCAGTCTTATTTTATGTATTTGTAATACATATTTATGCTAAATTGTGGTTATTAAAGTTGAAACATGGAAAAGATGTGGAGATTTCCTATTTCCCTTTATTTGGTGATTACTTTTATTTGACAAAATCTTTTAAAAAATACGGTGATGCTATGGAGATTTTTAAATAAAGATACTAAAAGAATCCAAACATAAAATTTGTTGCTTCTAATATTTTAAATAAAGTATTTCTTTTCATCCACGATCCTGAATATTATAAATCAGTTCTTGTGAATCATTAAAGCTATACAAAAGTGGAGATTCTATACCATCCGTAAAAAATTTTATATATATTTAGAAAATTATCATCAACCTCTATTTTATTTGGTGAACCAGACAAAGTCAAATAGTAAAGAAATTTATTAGGTGAAGCTTTTACATTTGAAAAATTGAAATAGAGAACACCAATAATAAATGAAGTTTTATTATAGAAATTAGAGAAGGAGGATAAAACGGATGTATTAGATTTTTTAACAAAAACATCAAGTGAAATAATAATAAAGACTTTTTTTTGTAAGGAATTATAAGACATAATTGTGTAAGGAAATGATATTACTACAGAGATGATTGATTTAATAACTTAATTAGGAAATATGCAAATGAACGATCTTTATGTGAGTGTTAAGTTAGCATTATTAGGTAGGAAAGCATTTGGTTTTTTTCCTTCTAAGAAAGAAAAACTTTTAGATGCTCGTATTGATAGATTGATAGATGGGACTTTGATGCCAATTATAAAAAATAAGATTGCTAATTATAAGGCTAATTAAAATTAAGATTTTTTAGATCTTTATGTTAATGCATATCTAAATTAAAAGCCCAATGAACCAAAGATAACTGAATTAGAATTATGCTAATTGTTTGTTTCAATAGTTTCAGCAGGAACTGATACATCATCACATTAAATAGCAATAACACTTTATTATTTAGGAATAGATAGAAAAGCATAAGAAGAAATAAGATAAGAGTTGATAAATGTAGTTGGTGATGAAGTAGACATTTAGCCATAACATTTAAGTAAGTTAGTTTTATTGAATGCATTTATTTATGAAGCATTCAGAGTTAAGAGTACTGTAATTTAACCATTAACTAGAATAGCTAAAGAATCTCATTATATTCAAAATTTAAAAATTGAGAAGGGTATGTATAAAAATTAATAACTTACTATTAGGTACATATGTAGCTGCATTAACTACAGCTCCAAGTTGGAGTAGTAAGTATTTTAATGATCCAAATAAATTTGATTATAAAAGATGGTTAAGTTAAAGACCAATCTAAGAAGATAATGGATATGTATTTGTTCCTTTTTCTGCTGGAGGTAGAAATTGTATTGGTTAACATATGGCAATGATGACTATGAAAATTATGATTGGTTAAATCTTAAGAAAATATGATGTCATTGTAGATTAAACGGTTTAAGTAACCTTTCCTTTAGTGTTATTTATTTAATATTCACCTAAAAATCTAGTCAAACTGGAAAAACGCAAGTTATGAATAATTTTACATATTAAATAAATTTTAAATATGTTATTGTATATAATTATCGGATTATTTATCCTCCTTATCTACTTTGCATGTTTAAAAACATTCATTAAGTTGATCAAATTAAAATTAACGCTTGGAAATAAAGCTATTATTAAATTCTATCCATTAACAGGTGATTTTGCATAGATACCATAATCAAATCAATTATATGGTGATGGATTAAAACATTTTCAAAAAAGAGTCTTTGATAAACCAAATGTTAAATTTGTTTTGAGTAATCTTATGCATGAACCTTTAATTGAAATTTATGATCCAGAATATTATAAAGAAGTATTCATCAACCATTAACTTTATTAAAGAGCAGATGTTTTATATCATGAGTATAAATTATTAATAATAAAGAAAACTAACATCCAGAGGAATATTGTATTCTGAGGGTTAAAAACATAAATAATAAAGATCTATTTTGGGTGTTCATTTTACTTATGATAAACTCAAAGAAAGGATTCCTATTGTAAATTAAGTTGTTTTATAAAAAATAAAAAATTAAGACATTACTTAACTTCATTAATTTCTAATTGATCTAAATACTGAAATTGTTATGAAATCTTTTTTTGGAGAAAAAGCATTAGAATTTAAATTAAATGGTTAGAGTGTTCCTGCTGAAATTTTAGGATTAGATGATGAAATGGGGGAATTAAATCTTTTTAATCCTTATGTTGTGTTAAAAAGGTTGATTTTTGGAAGAAAAGGAGATTAAATATTTCCAAGTAAATCTTAAAAGCATTTAAATTAAAGAGTTGATAAAGTAATTGATTTTATCACTTCACTAATTAATGAGAAGATATCTAATAAAAATAATAAAGGAAATGATTTCTTAGATATATATGTGGATGCTTATTTAAATTAAAACAAGTAAGATTCAAAAATCGAAATTTTAGAAATATGTTCTATGTTTATTTCAATGTTTGCAGCAGGTTCAGGAACATCAGTTGATTTCTTAAAAATGATATTATATTTTTTAGGTTAGGAATAGGAAGCTTAAAAAGAAATAAGAGACTAAATATTACAAGTTTTGAATGGTTAAACAGAAGTATTAGATATTCATCTTTAAAAATTAACTATATTAACAGCTTTCATTTAAGAAATGTTTCGTTTCAAAGCACCATTTTTTGCACCTTTTATTAGAAAAGCTAAATAAACACATTATATTAAAGATTTAAAAATAGAAAAAGGAACTAATGTACTTATTTTATTTGCTGCTCCAGGATGGTCGAATAAACATTATGATAATCCTAATTAATTTGATTATAAACGATGGTTAAATCCAAATCCAATTAAGGAAGATAATGGATTTGTTTATATTCCTTTTTCAGCAGGAGGTAGAAATTGTATTGGTTAACATATGGCTCAATTAAATATCAAAATTATCCTTAGTCACATTTTAATGAACTATAAAATTACCTTGGATCCTAATTAACAAATAAGATTTCCAATAAGTTTTAAAATTGATATTGAACCAATAAGTATCATATAATTTGAAAGAATCAAATGATTAAGATAAAATAAAATTATATTGTTAAAATATGTCTATTTTTTCCATTTTTGAAATTTTATCTTTGTAGAGAATTAAAAAAATGTAATATATATATATTTTTATTAATAATAAAATGTTTATAATCTAAAACAAAAGAATTATTAATAAATCTAATAAAAACTATGCAAATAAAAGATCAAAAATTTTTTGAATCTCTACCAAAAAGTTATCCATCGAATTAACAATTGATTCGTCCTAATACTTTAGAAACAAATAAATCTAATTTCTATTAAATGGAATAATTTTTGAGAATTTTCTACAAAGTATACTACATCTTTTTTTGGCACTATCATTTATTTCACTATAATTTTCCTAATTAATAGAGTACTCTTTGATGATAGCTAGACTATCTAATTCTTATGGTAAATAATCTTTATTCAATTTTGGATTATAATGGTCTAAAACCTTAATAACAAATGATAATACTAATTCAATAGAAGGACCATCTGGATATTTTGATACCTTATAGGTTTAAATCAATTAATTTAAAATTTTTAATCTTTATTTAATTCCTTTTTCTTCTTCAATTCTTTTAATAGTAGATCTATCAACTTTTGGTTCTATTCTAAATTCTTTTCTTCTTTACTTAGGTATAATATCATCAAAGGATTTAGTTTCAGTAATCAAAGTCCTAGACAAAGGCTTGGTTTACTAATAATAATCTGCTAATTCAAAGTAATTTTCTTTTCCATTTCCCATTTAAAATTTAGGAAGTTCTATTTTTTTATTAGATTTGCTATCCCAATAAAATAATCTTTTAATCTTTGAAATTTAATTTACTCTTCTTTATTTTAAAATTGTATTATTTCATCATCTTCTTTTGCCTTTATAAATTTTTAATATTTCAACTCCTTAGGTTTTCCTACCATTTACCAACCCTTGATTATGTTTTTTTTATCTAAAGAAGTTGAGAATATTTTATAATTAGGTGGTCCATATTTTGTTAATGAAACATCTATTTTACAATGATCAGCTAAACAATATTTTAAAGCTTTATTTTTAATTAATCCTTATTTACGAAGTCTAACATATATAGTAGCATCCTATACATTAGGCTATGGAGATCGTTCCTTAGGTTAAAATCTTTAGCATTATCTATATAGACCAATATCTCTAGGTGATTATTGTTATTGGGGCAATCAAACTTATTTTATTAATCAAAATTTATTGTAATATAATTTAAACTAGAAGGCTTTTTACATCAAAGAACATGAAACTTCACTCATTTTAATAAATTTATTTCTTTAAGCCATCATTTCAAAAATTATGATTTACAACTTTTCTTAATAATAACTATAATATTTCTTAGAGTTAAACTTAAAGTCTAAATTTTATTTATTTATTATTGACATATTAAAATAATGAATTTATTAACTCAAATTTGTTTAATATGGATTATAATATTTAATATTTATGAATAAATTTTTGTTACTCTCTTTGATTATTTCAATTTCTTTAGCTTCCCTTGATGATTAAGATCTAATCAAGAAATACTCTATAAAAATTCATTAAAGAGGTAGCAACTCCAATTATCCAGAAAAAGGTGATTAAGTGAAAGTGCATTATACAGTAAAAATGTATTTATAAACAAGGGTAAATTACTTGATGGCACAAAATTTGATAGTAGCAAGGATAGAAATCAACCTTTTGATTTCAGAGTAGGAATAGGTTAAGTCATTAAATGTTGGGATGATGTTGTTTTAAATTTAACACTTGGTGATAAAGTTACAGTTATTTGTCCATCTGATACAGCATATGGAAGTAGAGGAGCAGGAAGAGTTATTCCACCAAATTCAGATTTATAATTTGACATTGAAATGCTAGGATTTAGGGATTAAGAATTATGATGAATAATTTTATATAATAAACAATATAAAAGTATTCAATATTCTCTTATTTTCTTAGAATTTTAGTAATCACTTTATAAATTCAAATTCAACTTCTAATAATAGGTGATTTAATCTAAAACTAAATTGATTTTTTCCTAATTTCTAATGTAATTAAATTTGCAACATTAAATTGATGTTAATAAAGAACATAACATTAGACAAAAGCATTAAATTGAAACTTTTACAAAAATATAATATTATATTTAATTCATAAAATGAGATCCATTAATATTATATTTATTTTAGATAAAAATTTTGGTTAAGTCATTTTCTAGAAAAAAGATTCAATTTAAATTTTCTTTTTTTGCTGATTTATGTAATTCTTTTATTAATAATATTTTAAAGTATAATCTGTTTGATTTCTATTTAAGATTTTATTTATTCATTCAATAAACTATAAAACGATAATTATCAACATCTTTTAAATAAGATAAACTGTCAATAGTTATCTATTATTTGTTATTAAATCAATAAACATAAAATTTTTTATTATGCATATAAAAATTTCAAAATTATTTTGAGGGGTTTAATTTATGATTAAAATTCTCATTCAAAGTTTTTACCATAAATAAAACTTAAAATTATGTTTAAGACTCAAAAAATTTATTAATTTCATTGTTTGCTGATGAGTATATAATATCAGAAAACGGTTTAGGAATAATCGATCAGATAATAATTTTTTATTATCCTATCTTTTATGATAATAAGGAATAGAACAATAAATTTAGATTAAACTTTATTCAATTACATGAGTTTATAATAAAAATTAATATTAATAATTGGTAAATCAATGATTAAAGAATATTAAAATAAATTTTAATATTAAGAAACATTATATACTGTTGTAATCTATTGATTTATTTAGTTATTAAGTATAATTTTTCTAAGTTTAAGTTTTAGGGATGAGAAGATAATTGATATAATGAAATTTAGTTTATTTAATTATTTTATTCTAAAGCATAAACTTTGTGAGAATGTTATTATATATTTAAAATTAAGATCATGTAAAATATGGATATAGAATTTGAATAATCTCCCGTGTTAAATAATGGAGAAGAGAAGAAAAAAACAAATTATGTTCATATACCAGTTTATGATGTTAAACCGATTTAGAATTACCCAAATTCAGCTCAATAAGTAGAATCAGATGATTAAGGAGTTTAAATAGATGAACGATGGTATGCTAAGAATGAAAATTATAAGCCATTAACAGCAGATGAAAGACCTGGTTTTATACGGAAAGTATTAACTCATTTCATATATATAATAAGGTTTATAGTATTATGATACTTCAATTAATATTGACAGTAGTAGCATGTTGTTTATCTTATTTTTGGATACCATATCGAGATTTTCAAAACGAATATTCAGGTTTGGTTTATTTGGCAATAGCAATAGCAATAATAATTGAAATGATATTATTGTGGATACCAAAATATTCATGGAGAGTTCCTCATAATTATATATTTCTATTGGTTTTTACATTTGCTGAAAGTTACATCATTTCACAAATTTGTAGTTATGTTTTCAACAAATATAGTGATGAAGGAGGTATACTGAATTCTAAATTAGGATTCATTGTTTTAATGGCTGCTGCCCTTACTTTAGCTGCTGTGATAGGTCTAACTGTATATGCATGCAAAACTAAAAAAGATTTTACTACTAAAGGTATATAATCAACAAAACTTTATTTTAAGGAGCTTTCCTATTTATGGCAAGTACTTCTCTATTTCTTTTCGCTATATTGTCTGGTGTCTATTATGATTAAGCCATGAGTTTACTATATTCATTGATTACCAGTCTATTATTTGGAGTTTATTTAATCTATGACACTTAATTGATTATTGGAGGAAGTGTAATCCATTTATTTCATGTAGACCCATAAATTATCTATTGATGACTATATCATTGGAGCTATGTTCATTTACATAGATATTATCTATCTGTTTGCTCATATAGTGTTAATTATAGTTGCATGTTTCAGATGAAAAATTAGAATGAAAATTATAATATCTTTGTAGTCAACTTAATTCAGTATCATTATTTTATAAATATAAATCAATAAATTTTTAAGAAATCAAATATCTAATTTAACTATTTTTTTATTCTCTTCGATCATAATTGCATATAATTCTACTTAATTTCGATAACATTAATTTTCATTCATTAATTTACCTTACACCTCTATTAATCTATCAATCTCAGCACAATGCAAAATTATTCGCATCAACAATAACTACTATTTACTATCAAATTTCTTTTATTTTTTATCCAATTCTTATTATTATTACTTAATAACTTCATTCATACGATCCAATTCAGTTGTTAAAAGTGTCAATTTCTATTTGCAATCAACATATTAGATCATCTTATTTTTATTCTCTGCCTCTTATTATTATTTCTTTTCTAATACTTATTGATAATTCTATTCAGATTCTTTATTTTATGTTTCAATCTTTTTTAACTTTTCATTCTGTAAATTATAATTTTCCAATAAAGAACTATACACTTTATATAATTCATCATAATCCTTCTGTTACTTTACTATTTATTATTAATTAACTATTTCATCATTTCTTTTACTGCTTAAATTTTCATTCTCACAAACTAAAAATCCTAATTTACATTCCAATTATTTAATCGTATATTACAATTATTAAATCACCTATAATTGCTAATTTATTTATTAATATTAATTTTGGACCAATATTTCTTTTTAAGCAATCATTTTATTGGCATCAGTTAATTAGTTTTCTAATTTTTAAAATTAAAGTTCTTTCTTCACTAATCTTTCAGATAAGTCTTTTAATTAGAATTCATAACTTTTATTTTAATAAGTATTTTCCTTAATCTCTTAATTTTAATGTTTTAATTTATCATTCTCTTAGTTCAATCTTTCTAGTTCCACTCCCATTAAAAAACACATAATATCAAATTAATTCTTAAAATTACAACCTCTGCCAGAACTATAATAATAAATTTAATCATACATTGTTCTTGATGTTCTCTCAGCAGAAAAATTGATTTTAGGTTAATTGCTATTTCTAGTACTTGAGCACGTATTGTATTTAGCATCAAAGTTTGAATTATAATCATCAAGTGGTATTCTATACATGGTAGATAATTTAACCGCTAAATATTTATAATAATATAAATTACTTTTCCAAACATAATACAATTTATTAATTCATAAATGTTTGATTTAATCTTAGAATCCTTTATGTTCAACTACATAATATTTATTGATATAAATTTAAGTATACATTTTACCTAACCATTTAGTTTTTAATATTATTAAATATCATTTATAGAACTATTTTGATTTTTTAAGTGTTCAAGAAGACATTTAAGAATTAAAAATATTAATTGAGCTTGAAGTATATTATTTTAAAATCTTTATTTTGATTGCGTTTTCAAAACAATACTTTAAAGAATTATATTGAAAAAATTTATTAAGTGAACTTAAATATTGAATGAGGATAATGTTGTTAGAAATATAAAATATGATAAAATTGTATAGGAAATGATTGAAGTTATTTTAGTTTTAAGGTTTTAAAGTGTTTATTTTTAAAATTTAATTATAAATCCGTTTTATTAATTTTATAAAATGTATATTTTGTTTTTATTAGTGGGAACCCTTTCCCAAAGCACTTAGTATTTATGACTAAAAATTATTAGAGCTTTCTAGTTACATAACAGTTGATGATGCCTTATCTGATTTGTTAAAAAAATAGCCAAAAGGATATAAACCATGGCATCCGTCATTGAATGTGAGATTACGTGTATAAGAAGAAGAAAGAACTTAAGAATTTTATTCATTTGTTTAATAGCAAATAAAAATTAAATAAAGAGGAATCAATACATAACATCCGATGCAATTTGTATAGGTTTAGGGGCCAGAATTTTTTGAGAATTTGGTTTGCAAATGTAGTTTTTCACCAGCAGAAGCAGTTTAAGAAGAAGAAGAAGGAGGTGAAGGAGGAGATGAAGCAGAAGCAGGTGGATCATGTGAACCTGAAGGTAGTGGTGAAGGAGAAGATGGAGAAGGAGAAGGAGGAGGAGAAGAAGTAGAATTTATTGTTAAAAAAACTAAAGCACATGGAAAAGACTTTAGTTTTCTATAAGTTGGAACTTAAAGTAATTTAAATTAATATATTCCTTAACCTTAATAAGTAGATTAATTATCTTAATATGATTAAAGGTTACAAGCTCAAGAATAATTAATTAAACAATTTATGGAAAAACAAAACTAACTGACTTAATAAATATCTATGTTACAATAAAGTTAAGGTGTATTTGTTCCATCACTCTTTCCAACTGTTGTAGATCCTAATTACTTAACTCCTTAATAATAAACATAAATGCTTTATTTATTATAAATGTAATAATAACAATAATAACAATAATAATAATAATAATAGCTATTATAATAGTAAATGTTAAATCCATTATCATTCCAATCTAGTCCAACTATAGTAAAGAATGAAAACACTTAGGCCTAACAATAATTTTAAATTCCATTACAATAACCCTTAGTGTATACTCAATCTGGGACGTAAAATATTTTAAATCCATAATAAGTCTTACTCTAACAATAATTACTCTAATAATAGTAAATTTAACAGCAATAAATTCCTTAATAATTAAATTAATAATAATTACTTTAGCAATAATAGTAGTTATTAAATTAATAATAGATACCTTAAATATAAACATAATAAATTGGATAACCATCTATTCCTTAACAAATACCTTAATTTTAATAGTAATAAATTCCTTAAATTGTTACATCAGGCTAATAATAGTAGTTTTAAGGTTTTTAATAACAGCCAGTCTCATAATAGATTACTTAATAAGTTTAATTTTAAAATTTATAACCATAATCTGCTTATCAATAGATCCCTCAATTATAAATTTAATAATAATAATAATAATAAATACCTTAATAATAATCATAAAATGGATTTTTGTAATAGCCACAATAATAATAAAATCTTCCCTAATTTGATTAATTGGTATTTTAAAATGTTAAATTTAGTTGGCTTAATAAATGGCCTAACCATTGATGTAACCTTAATTCTTGTAAAAATAACCACAAATTATTGGAGGAAGATGATTAATACAAATATTATAAATAAAATAAATTTAAAATATTATTTTATAATGTTTTTAAGTCATTATTTTAAAATCTCTTGTTCATTAATTTCCTTTAATTTGTTAAATTAATAAATTTAAAAGTATTAATGCTAGAGAAGTTCATAAGCATTAAGTCTATTTTATGGATTAATTTCTAACATTTTAAATCTATATTTTTATTAAATAATAAATTACAATAAATCTTTTGTTAAGGGTGGCAAAATGTTATATAATGGATTAGCAAAGTTGATATTACATTCTTTGTTTAATTTAAACATTTCTACATTGCCTTTTCCTTAAAATATTTCCTTTCCTAACAAAAGCAGATGAAAGATAGCTCCACAACTAAAAATATCACATTTTTTACTATATCCCTTAGATTTATCATTCATATTAGCAACTTGTTCTATTATGATTTTATACTTTCAGGAGCTACAAATCCAGGTGTACCACATTTAGGAAATAAGTATGGAGTTAATTTACTGATAGTAGATAAGCCAAAATCTGCAATTTTGAGTGTTGAAAAATCGTTTGGATTGGTGAATAAAATATTTTCAGGTTTTAAATCTCTATGCATAATATCTTTACTATGAATATACTCTATTGCTGACAAAATGTTTTCCATAATCTATTATTTTTATAAAATATTAACTTATTAAATTTCATAATCATCAAATTTATATTATCTTTTTTTAATTTCTGACAATAGACTGCCACCTTAACAAAAATCCAAAATTAAATATATATTATCATCACTATCATAAACTTCATGAAGATTAACAATTTATGTATGAGGACTAAGCATTCTCATAATATATATTTCATTTTGAATAGCTTTAGTTCCATGTTCAATATTAGATAATTTTTTTTTATCAATACATTTTCCAGCAAATTATAAATTTGAATGCAAATGCTTTAATTGTATAACAAATGAATGACTGCCCTATCCTAAAGTTTATAAACGTTCAAATTCATCTTAAATACTTTCCTAATAGACATATTTTGCTATAATTCTTTTTAAAGCTAATAAAGTTTCACAATCTGCATAATATTTCTTTTATTCTTTTTCTGTTACAATAATGATATTTCTAAGAGATGTTATGTTGTGAGTTTTGTTTGTTTTTTTATATTTCCATATAATTTTCTTTATTTAAGTCCAAGAATATATTTTCATTGGATAAACTTTCTTTGAATCTTTATTAATAATTAATTTGTCATCAAATAAGTATACATAACGATTAAACCAGCCAATTAGTTTCTTTTTCTTAAGTTGACAATTAAATAATGATAATGAATAATCAAATTTATTTTATTACATAATACTAATAATATAAATTATTAAAAATTAATTAATATATATAAACCCATAATATTTTATTTTATATTAAATTATATAAGACAAAACTTTTAGATATAATTTTTACTTACCTGGCGAGCACTGCTGATGATCATGTAGATCAGTAGTGTGGGGTTAAGCTGGCCATCGCACAACCGGCGTCAGTGAGGCCCCAAAACTTTCCGTTTGGAAAGGCTTTATCGCTCAATTTCTGCTAGTGAGGGGAAACCCTCGCACCCTATTTTATTTAATTAAACAAACGAAATTTAATATTTATATATCTTATTACTTATTTATGTTTTTAATTCTAGTTTCAAGTTAATGATTAGTTATAGTTATTGATGAATTTTATTAATTAATCATTTACAAAATTAATTGAATTTACGAAGCCAAATTTAATATTTTAAATAATTTTTACTTCCTTTTTCTATTTTCACATCATCTAAATCATTTTATCAATTATACACTATAATTATTCATTATATTTAATAATTTACTGTAATTAATAGAATGAGCAAATAGAAGTATTTATTTAGTTAATATTTAATATAAAATACTGAATTAAATACTGATAATGATGAATAAATATTATATTTTTAAGCATAAATGAGATTTGAACATATTTAGCTATATTATTAAAATTTAAAATAGTAAATTAGATGGGTTGTTCTTTACAAAAATCATCTGATCGTATTCCATCAAATAAACGATACTCTATTAATACAAATACATGTAATATAGTAAAAATAATATAAGAAGAAACACCAGATAAAAAACCAAGTTTAGAGGTTTTTAATCCAATATTAAGGAAAGTAGTACAAGTACCAATTTTAGTACCTGCTTCTAAAAGTAATATAATGAAGAGAAGGAGTACATAAATGATGACTATAGGGTTATGAATTAGTATTGAATTGATAATATTATATATATTTATATAATATTGTATTAGAAATTAATGGAACCTAGACTTCCTCAATATACTTAATTTTTTATTACAATTAATAGTTTAGTGAATGAAAAAGTAATCAATAAACAACAAAAAATTGAATTAGAATAAAGCATATTAAGAAAAGAAAAAAGCATTATGGAGATTGTTAGCAAATTTGGAAACAAAGATATGTAAAATTAATAAAGAGTATGAATAATAGGGAATAATAATTACGTGAATAGTTAGTTTAATATGCAAATCATAAATAAAAAGATGTCTTTGTACCTCATATCAAAAATTTAGAAAAAAATAAAAGTAACAAGTTTAGTGTTAGTGCTCGTTAAATTTCATTTTAACAAGAAGACCCAATAGTTGAGAGTAAATAAGAAGTATTATTATAATTAAAGTAAAGTCATTATCTCCATTTATTTTGCAATTGATTGAATAACTTGACACAATGTTATCAATACATATGACTAATGGTGGAAAATTCATTTAAACAGATGTTGAGAAATTAACATAGATAAGAGATTAAATTAATAATTATTTAGGGATTCAATATGAATAGGAATTAGACAATGAATCACCTGTAAGATGTAGAAATATTAGTGTTTGTGGTAGAGTAATATCAGAGTAATAGGATGATAAATCAGATTTAGTAGATACTAGTGTTCAATTAAAAAGTAAATATCATTTACAAATAATTGATTAAATTAAATAAACTTATGTTTAATTAAAAGTATTAACGTAATTATAATTTTAGAGTTTATTTTTGGGAAGTTTACGTACCCATTATTTGTTAATGTAGGAAGAATTATCATATAATAATTTAGTGAATGTAGTTAAATCAATAATTAAAGAATTGACTGATTCAGATGAAATTTACTTTTTGATAAAAAGAAATGAAGAATGGGATTTTTATTCAACAGAGAAGGATTCAATAAAATAGATAGAGAAGAATAAATAATAGATATTTTTCTTAAATTTTTCACATTTGAAACCTAATATAGTTTATAACTTTTAAAATAATGAGAATTAAACAAAGTAATTAGAGTTAGTGTTGGATTTGAATTCTTAATTTACTGAGTTATCAATAATAAGATTTATAAATTAGAATAAATAGGAGACATTTTTCTTTTTTTATTGGAATAAACCTGGAAGAAATAGATTGTTAAGAAGATTTATAAAGTATAGTATTAAATTAATAAAAAAAGTGAAGCAAATGAATATGGATTTAAAGATGAAGTATTATCTTTAACAAATTTTTTGATTGATGTAATATTATAAGCAAGGGTATAATATTTTAATCCAGTGTAATTTGCAGATTAAATTTTGGATATAGCTTTAAGTTTTGTAGAATCATCATAATATATTTTGATAGATGAGATGTTTAGATCTTTGACTCCTCATTTTAAAATAAAAAAAGATTATGCATTTTCAGAGGATGGGAGATAGAAGGTAGAAATAGATAATTCAGTAAGAATAGAGATGGGATGTAGAAATCCAATAGCATTGATTTTGGAGGAATTTTATCTAAATAGATAGGATCATTTATATATATATACAGAGATATTGAATTTGAAATGTAAATATTAGAGACATTTAAGATTGTGTCATGAGAAAACAGCATATTATAAATATTTTTTAAGGTCTTCAGATACAATTTTATTTGATTTTGATAAAAATGGTAGACTTTTGTTTTTGAATCATTATATATGGGAAACTTTGAAATAGAAATATAATATAGTATTTTCACCAGATAAAAGGAGTCCAAATTATAAGGAATTGTTTACAGATGAAAGGATTTTAAAGTATATAGATTTGGATGAATTTATGATGAAGAAGAAAAATGAATATATTTAACATGAAGATTTTGAGATATTTTTAAAAGTGGTTGATTAAGTGTATAAAGGATTTGTGATAATATTCCATTTATAGGAAGGTTCAAGAATGAAAGATTACATAAAGAATTTGAAAAATGAAGATTAATTAGAGGATGAAATAAAGTAATCAATATAGAGATCATATAATAAACATTAAACATTTAAATTTATATCTTAATTATAAAAGTCAAATCCAAGTGTAAAGAATTCTTATATTTCATTATTTATACCAGAAGAGTAATCATTAGATAATTAGGATTAATAATAATAGTCAAATAGTTGTTTATAAGTAAATAAAAATAGAAAGCCTAGATTGAGTATTTAGATGTTAGGGAAAACAATACGAGCATTTAATTATTAAGGATCAAAATAGAGAATAAAATCGATAGAATCAGCATTGGAAATAGATGAAGATGATGATTTGGATACATTGTATGAGGATTAGACAATAGATAAATTTGAATTTAATATTTTTTAAGTAATAATATAAGATTTATAGATGAATAGTATAAGGATAACATGAAAGCTAAACTAGTATATCATATAATAAAAAAGAATGATTGGATTGATAATTATGATATGAATGAAGATGTTTTGATGAAATTTATAAAAGAAGTAGAGAGGAAATATAATAAGAGGAAGAATCCTTTTCACAATTTTGATCATGGTATAACTGTAATGCATAGTTGTCATTTATTATGTTGTTTACCAAGAACGCATTAATATTTAAATGAGATTGTACATTTTGCAACTGTTATTTCAGGATTGTGTCATGATATATCACATACAGGAAGAACTAATCAATTTGAAATCAATAGTAAAAGTAAATTAGCTACAAGATACTTGGATAAGAGTGTAATTAATATTCTTAAATATAAATAGCCTTTAGAGAATCATCATGCAGCAGTAACATTAAGATTGTTGAATTAGGATAAATATAATATATTATAAGGATTAAGTGTTGAAGATTTAGCTACATTTAGATAGACCTTAATTGAAAATATATTATTTACAGATATTAAACAACATTTTGGATTAATTAAAGATTTTGAATAGAGAGTTAAAGAGAGTAAAGAAAGTTAAGATAAAATATTTGGTAAAGTAGATGGTGATGTTAAATTGTTTACAGGAATGATTGTTCACACTTCAGATTTTAGTGGAGCTGCTAAAATATTTGAATTATCTAAAACATGGACAGATAAAGTAAATATGGAATTTAAAGCATAATTTGATGAAGAAGGAACTCGTAAGATTACTTAAACACCGTTTATGAAAGATTTAGATAAATAAGAAATAATGGCAAAGAATGAAATGGGATTTTTTAAAGTTATTGTAAGACCGTTATGGGCTAGTTTGAATGAATTTTTTGTACTTTAATATTATTATATATTTATAGGATAAACAACTATAAGATATTATTGATAATGTAGAGAATACAATTATTGAATGGGAAAAGATTTATCATACTTATAATGAATAAGAAAATCAAAGAGCATGAACTATAAATTACATATTTCGTTTTTTGGATATTTATATATTTATAATTTATTATGAGTGAAAGAAGAGAAGAAGATACAACTATTGTTTAAGCAGCAATTCCAGCAGCATTAGAAGGTGCTAAAAAAGCAGAAGAATTGGAAAAAAAACTTAAAGAGTATTCATCATATAAAATATATTAATTTATAGATAAGGAGGATAAAAACTTGAAGATGCTGAAAAATAAGCTTAAGAATAAGTTGCTAAAGTATAAGAGATGATTGGTTTTACAGGAAATTAAGCATAAGTTGCTTAATAATAATCATTAGTTGTTGCTGCTGCATAATATATAGTTGGAAGTTTATTATCAATGTTGATATTATAACTTGGTTTCTTTGGATCCATTCTTACTTTTATTCCATTCTTATAATAATTGACAATTATTTTATACTTAGTTTCTATTTTAATTGTTCAATTCTGTCCAGAATCTGTTAATAAGGTATATATACTCTATATATTTATTAGCTTCCTAAAAATTTTGGATTTTTTATCATTCATTCAGCTAGCAAAATTTTATTAATGGTTTACATTACTATTCATTTTGAATCACTCAAATTTGAACTCATTTAATTAGTATTTGGAATTGTCATTCTATTTTTATTTTATCAAATTAAAAAAGGAATAAGTAATTCAATTATTACAATTTCTAGGTGAAAATGAAGACATCGCCTTAATTGTTAAGAAATAATTCTTTAATGTTTTAATTGTATCTGCAATCATTTCAGGATTTATGGGATTATTAACAAGATCAAACTTATTTATTACCATTTTACTCATTATTGTAGGAGCTAGTTACACTTATTATTTATAATTGGCTTTATAAAGATTTTGTAATCATCAATTCTTATTCATCAATAAAAATGATTTATATATGGGTGCTGCTTAACTAGACGCAGATTTATTTTTATGGTGTAAGTTGGTTGGATTTCATTGCATTAAAAAGAATGAAGATGGAAATTATATTCCAAATTAAGATATTGAAGAAGAAAGTAAATAAAAAGAACCAGAAGAATAAAATAAAATATGAGGTATTCATAAAAATATAACATAATACATTATTTTTTAGATATCTTCTTATTTAATATAATTAATTATGATTATGAAATAGAGAAAATCATAACATCTATATTTTTATAAAGTATTTAGTTAAAAAGTAATTTTAAATGAATAGATTTTCAAAAATATTATATGATAAAAATGTTGTAAGAATTTTAATCTAAAAAGGAAAACTAGTATACTTCTCTTTGATGATAAAAATAAGATGATGTAAGAGAAAAATAAAAAACCAAAAATTAAGTTTATCCTGGGTTTGATTTCTCTTTCTTTACTTGAGCTTATTGGAAAAATAATAAATTAAAAAATAATAAATACTAATAGAAATAATATTACTTTAGAATAATATTATGAATATTATATATATGAACAATAAGATAGTAATAAAAGCTTTCATAAATTTCTCTTTATTATATAACTACATATCAGAAATAAAAAAGTTTATGTCAAATTTATCATATAATTATGAAAATCGTCAGTTGCAGGATTCGAAACTGTGTGGGTAAGTAAATCCGAAGCTCTAGTCCATCGCCTTAACTATTCGGCAAACTGCCTTCTATAATTATATAATTATAATTCATACAAAGGTATCAAATGAAAAATTGAAAAAAAGGAGTTTTTATCGAAAAACATTACTTCTATAATAAAATATAAAAATAAGAAATTAGATCGATTAGATTAAAGTTAGTTTGATTGTTTACTTAATAAAAATAATTAAATTAGAACAAAAAAGGTTAATCTCGCCATTATAAACAATAGGAAAAATAATTTACATTTATTGAATTTCATACATTATTAGGAAAGACTGATTTGATTTTTTTTATGTATATTTGTTTAATAATGAAAGCTAATTAATACACATTTTTGTAATGCAAAAATTTATAATATAATCTTTGTTCTTAAATAACAAATTAAGTATGGGGAGACCAATATTGGAATATTTGGATGGAAATCGAGTTTATGTATGCAAGAAATGTCGAATACACCTAACGAATTATGAAAATAGAATATCTAAAGTATTATTTAAGTTTAAACTTAAGAATTTCAAAGGAGGGACAGGATAAGCATATTTATTTGATAAAGGGTATTATTTAGTATTGAATTAGAATAAACTACCATGTAGGATTGCCTTAAGATAAAGATCTGTTAACAGGTAAACACACAGTTTAAGACTTGATGTGTAATGGTTGTGATTATATAATTGGTTGGAAATATGTAATTCAAAAGTTATATAATCAAGATAAAAGCATTTAGAGAATCTGAGAAATATAAGGAAGGCAAAATAATTATCGAGAAATATTTTGTCGAAAAAATTAAATGGAACTGATTATAAAATTTAATTAATATAATTATTATTATGAGTTAAGAGTAATGGTTAGTCTTACGATTAGATTTATTGCCTAGCATAGCTTAGGAAGTAGAATAGATTTGTACCCACTATATTCGTATAATTAAAATTTAAATAAAAACTAGATTTGTGTGACGAAGTTAGAAAAGGCAATAAATAAGCATATCAAGACCTTATATTGTTATAGGCTAGAGTTAATAATTAAATAATTATTATAGATAAGAGGGAGAATGGATGATTTTGATAAATTTTATGATAGAAACTATGCAGACTATCGTATTGGTTATTTTGAGAAAATGAAATTGAGATTAAGAAAATTAATAAGTCCACATATTGATGTTAATAGATTAATCTATGAAGAGACTTAAAATTTCAATTAATAGTACACAAATATATACAATATATAAGATCTTCTCCTATAAAGAATACCACTCCCCCACCTGTTAAGGATAATTAATAAAATGTTCAAAAAGTAACAGAATTTGTTTAAGCATAACCAAAAAGACCTTAATCACCACCAAATAAATTGATAGCTTCAAGCAATTATAATAGCACAAATAAATAGAAATAAGCTACTCCGATTGCATAAAACAATAAAAAAGGAAATAAATAACCATAATAGGTGAAGAGTTCTTAATAAAAGGCTAAGACTTAATAGGATGAATTAGTATTTACAATAAAAATGAGTAAAGAGGTAAAATTGAATGATTAATAAAAATTAGGAATATTTGTAATATATACAAGCTAAATAAAAATAGAGATGACTGTTTGAATTATTTATATATAATTAAAAATTACGTTAAAAAATAATGTTTCAGAAGATGCTGAATTAATAAATGAAGAAATAAGTAGTTGAATGTATATAAATGATAGTCAGAAGAATAAAATAGAAGAGTAGTTACAGAAGTTGAAGAAATGGATAAAGAGATAAAAACATTATAAGATATTTCAAACCTGAAAGCTCGTTTAAAAATGAATTAAATGGTGAAATAACCATTTAAGAAAAATAAAGAAGAACCTACAACATCAATTTATGTAGGAAAGTTTGAGAATCAACTAAAATCATTTTAACAATAAACAATTAAAAAATAAGCTCGTAAACCTCTTTCAATAGAAAAGAATAGTACTAAATCTGTGTTAATACCAGCAACAACTGAAAGATATGATTATAGTAATTTTACATATACAAATTTAAAAGTTGTTGGTAGTGGATCATTTGGAGTAGTTTATAAAGTAATTAATATTATAAATTATAGGCTAAAGTAAATGAAACTGGTGAAATAGTGGCCATTAAAAAGGTATTGTAAGATAGGAGATATAAAAATAGAGAATTATAAATACTATAAGAATTAGATCATTAGAATGTACTAAAAATGAAATATGCATTCTACACACCAGCAGAAAATAAAGATGAAAATTATTTAAATGTAGTTATGGAGTACTTTTCAGATACTCTCTATTCTTATAATAAGTCATTTATAAAAGACTTTAAGAAGATGCCTGAACTTTTAGTTAAGATTTTTAGTTATCAATTATTGAGATCAATAGCGTATTTAATATTAAAATAACATATAGTTATATCTCAATTTTGGGTATATGTCATAGAGATATTAAACCACATAATGTTTTAGTTAATCCAGAAACCAATAAATTATAGTTATGTGATTTTGGAAGTGCAAAGAGATTAATTTCAGGAGAACCAAATATAGCTTATATATGTTCTAGATGTTATAGAGCTCCAGAACTTATATTTGGAGCAACTGATTACAATACTTAAATAGATGTTTGGTCTGTTGGATGTGTTATTGCTGAATTAATTAATGGTGAACCTTTATTTTTAGGAGATTCTGCTGTTGATCAAATGGTTGAAATAGTAAAAGTACTTGGAACACCTTCTAAAGAATAAATCTTAAGTATGAATAAAAATTATGATATGTAATAATATCAATTTGCTACCATTAAATAAAGAGATTGGAGAAGAGTAATATAATTATCTTATATTTAATATAGGTATTGAAAACTAAAGATCCTAAAGCTATAGATTTAGTTTCTAAATTATTAACTTATTGTCCTAAAACTAGATTTACTCCTCTATAATCATTAGTTCATCCTTATTTTGATGAATTAAGAGATTAAGCTTAATTTAAAGCTATTTAAAATACTATTAAACTTAGTGCTTCTGATCTCTTTGAATTTTCAAATGGTATTTATTCTTATTAAGAAATTAGAAGAATCATCTAAAATGACTTAATAATAAATGATTACATTAATACCAGATTGGTATGCTAATACTTCTAAACCTTTAAAAACAGTTTGCTGATTAATTATGATTAATTTTACATATCAACAGAATTTTGTATTTTATAAAAAATTTAATTTGATTTTTTAATAAAATTATTATCAAATTATATTTATTAAACTGTCTTTTTCTATAAAATTGAATAAATAGTTCATTTTTAATTAGTATGATATAATTATACATCTTTAAAAAATGAGTATATATTATTTATTAATATAAATCAATGTTAATAATTATATTATTAAACTGGTGGTGTTCTAGGTATTTTTGGTCTTGATACAAATGCTTAAGCTTATGGTTAAACTTATTTTTGATTAACATTATTGATTGGTGCTAAACTATCAGCAATAAATGGACCTTCTAAAAATATATATTATATTTTACATCCAACTGGCATTTTTTCAAGTTAAGAATCTCTTAATTATTCTTAGAATACATTTCTCTATTATAATTCTTTTTGCATAATAGATTCCATTAATTATCTTTATTATTCTGCCTATTCATTATCTAAAGCAAATTCATTTTTTAATAATTCTTCTCCTACAACCATATCATTATTATCTAAATCATCTTCATCTTCATCATCTACTGGACATTCTTCATCATCTTCTAAATCATCTACATCATTATCCTCTTCTAGTTATGATTAATCATAATCATCTTCATTACTTTCTAATTATTCTATCATATATTAAATTTATTTCTTGAATCTTTCTTCACTAATTGATAATAACTTTGGTAATTCTTAAGGTATATTTAATTAATATGCATAATCTCTTAATTCTCTTCTACTAAACATTGAATAAAACGTTCCATTTGTAAATGTTCTAATCTAATCATTTGGATATTCTATCAATTCAAATAACACTTCAAATGCTAATTCTTTATTCATAGATAATGCATCACGACCTCTTGAACTTAATGATAAATTCATTATTAAAGCAGTTATATATTCATAAGTGTATTCACTAAGATTGAATTTTTCCTAAGAATATTTATGTTATATACTCTTTATAATATTGTTAATGCAACATAGATAATATCATTATCAAGCATCCAAATTTAACTTTATTTACGTAATGATAATTTTTATAAAGTTCCTATTGCATTTTTCCTTTTTATTGAATCACTCTAATCTTTTTTAATTAATTCAATTAATAGTTTTATTAATTAAGAATTTGAAGTTAAATAAGTTCTACCATCATAATCTGAAGCCAAAGCATTCATTAATTTTAATGTTTAACATTAAATTATAGGAGCAGCTTTAAACATTAAATGTTATGCTAAAATTATATTTCTTTAATGTGTTCCTATTAAATCATGAGTTTAATAAGCAACTACAACTGATCTTCTTTCCAAAGCACTTCTTGCTCTTGTAATTCTCCATCTTAAAGCTTATAGAACAGTAGCAATTAAAACTGTATTTTATGATTTCGTAAACAACTAAATAATCTTCTCATAATTTAAAGGTATATACTCCTCTATTGATTGTTAAACAGGATTCATTTCTATAAATTATTTTATTCACTATATACATTATTAATTAGTAATTTCTGATAGGTCATGATCTGGTTATGTTATGTTATTAAATAATGAAATATCTTCTGATTTATTCACCAAATCTTCTAAATTTTATCCAAGGAATTTATCATAAGATGCTATCTTTTTTTTAAATTATTATATCTATTCTGGCATTTTCTTATTGCTTTCTATATATCTCATCATCTCTTTTTGCATTTTTAACATTTCTCCAGTTAAAGAAAACCATTTTTTTTAAGCTTCTGTCAAATTTTATTATGCTAAATGATTCAATTCTTTAATTGCCTAAATTTATTGATTATTCTTTTTTTTAAGTTCGAGATTCTCTTATTATAATTATTTCATTTCTAATATTCGTTTTTAATCATCTTATTATTAATAATTCATTAAACCATCTTTTTATAATACTAATCTTTTTAAAATGCTACCTTATTGATCTGATCCATAAATAGATTGAATAAACTCCTTAAGTTTCATTCTTAAATCTGATATCCATTCATGTGTAAATAAATGTGCAAATGATTAATGATTTTCTGGATTTTTAACATAAGGTAATGCATAAAAGGGTAAAACTTCATTTGTTTTAGATAGATCACATCCCTTAGTATCAAGATAGTTTTTAAATTGATTTATTGAATATTTATCAATCTAACTCTTCTTCTTAAATACTGGATGAATAGGATAAATAAAGAAATAGATCTAGATGTAAAATTCTAATTTCCAAGAATCATGATCTTGTCGTTGAGAAATTGGAATGTATCGACTCCAGGATTCAAAAAATTTATCTCTTTCTCCTCTATCAAAATGCCCCAAAATAACATGTTCAGTTTCATTGCTTTATTCACTTGCAAACTGTGACTCTACTTTGAATTGTTCTAATGTTTTAACACAATTTGATCTCAATAAATAATCTTGCACTATATTATTAAGATGTTCTGTTAAATTTCCACTTGAGTCCACCGATTTATCAGCCTCTTTTATAAAATATATATACTGATTATACTGCAGATTATATTCTTTTTGGAGGAATGTCATTCTTACGATTTAACCCAGAGTTCACCTTAGATCTCACATCCTTAGATGATTAAGGTTTACGATTATTATTATTCATCATAACAGATATTATTAATAAATTTATTTTTATTTCTCGTTGCTTCACAACAATTAAAAATTTTATCTTTTTAAAAAAAAAATAGAATAAATCATTCTAAATATAAACTATTAATCAATATGACAACTTTTTTTTTTAATTTATTTCCAAACTTTTAAGATATCAAAAAAATTTTTTAAAATTATCTAAATCAAGATAATTCTCCTTACTTTTAAGTTATCTAAAAGTTTAAAAAACAATAAAAATGATGATAATTTTTCATATGAAATAAAACTGAGGAAATTATATAAAATTATTTTTAATTTAGAAGATCTATGTGAATTATTTTTCTTTTAACTCAATATAATTTTACCAAAGAAATAACAAAACTAAAATATTATAATAACACTACTAAAAATAATGATTACTTAGAATAAATTACAAAATGACAAACTTTTTTAAAATAAGAAATTATTAAGTAAAATAAAATTTTAAGCTAACCTTTTAAAAAATAAATTAAATCAGATAATGCACTATCGTATCTATCATTTTCTTTAATTATTATTAAAAATTTCTTTGGTATTCTCTTGTTTAATAGCTTATTACTAATGGTGTACCATATTTACTTCAAGTTACTAAATATTAATTATGGATAATAATTTATTTTTCACTTCTTTTAATCTATTTTAATTAGCAGCTACATAATTATTGTAAATTGCTTGAACTAATTATTTTTAATTTGTAATGTTATATAATAATATTCTTTAGGTTATAAAAAATAATTAAATATTTGCATTAGTGAAATGATTATAATAGGATATTATGAAAATTCCAAAAAGTTTAAAATTTACCATTATAATTTATTGAATTTTAAGAATTAGAGATTTGTTCTTTTCAAATTTATTATCATTATTATTATATTTATTTTAAATTTAGAAAATACTAAAGCAAAAAGATAATTGATTTTTCCATAAAGAAATTCAATTTAATGAATAAAATCTATGATAAATTAAGCAAATAAGTATTTTTCTTATCTTTAATCAAATGTGCAATAATTTTAACCGAGATTATTACTATTACAATCAGAATACTTTAAGATAAAATATGAATAGTAATTAATCTATAATCCTTATATATTGAATATTGAGGTTTAATAAAAATTAGATCATTTTAAATTTTAAGACACTAACATAAGAGGAGATTTTTTGATGAAAATATTTAGATTAAAATTATGGAATTTTATACTGAATTGGATTATAGCTTATTGTTAAGATTAAAATGAATTTGTAAATCCTTGTTCTTATGTTTATTTTTGTTCTATGTAATGTTTAGTAGGGATTTATAAATGTTCCTAAATGGTAATTAATTCTATGTTTCTTTATTCATTACATTGATAACTTAATGTATATTATATTGTGGTTCTAGCATAGCAAGAAAAGTTTGAAATATGAAAAGGTTTAGGGTTCCTTTGAATTATATTGCTTGATTATTTTATATTATTTTGATTTGTCATTCTATATTATTTATTTAGTTTATATTGTATTATTTATATAGATTTAGGAGACTTTTTAAATAAATGGCAAACTTGTAAGAATATAATAAATATCATTTAGATACAAAATAGATAAATTGATGATTAAGTAGTTGGTTAATAATCTTGAATTGTTTTAGAATATTGTAAATTTAAAGGAATGGTTTTTGGGAAGGTTTTGAAGATATAAATATTAAATGAATAAATATATATATAGTTGTTATGATTGATGACGAAAAACATGTAATACATTTTATTGAGTATTTTGAGAATTATTAAATTTCATTCGATTATGGTGTCTAATTTAAATCTTTTTATTTAAATAAAAAAGGACATCTTAAAAAGTAAGAAAATAAAAATATTTAAATTAGAATATTTATGGATCAAGGTACATAAGATTTATAAGAGAATTGGAATGAGGTAAAAAATGATTATTATAAATAAAATAGTAAGTCGAAACATTCGAAGAATTAAACTTAAGTAAAGATTTATTGAGAGGCATCTTTTCTTATGGTTTTGAAAGACCATCAGCCATATAATAAAAGGCCATAAAGCCAATAATAATAGGGAAAGATGTGTTGGCATAAGCTTAATCAGGTAATAATTCTAATTTTATATTATTTAAATAGGAACTGGAAAAACAGGTACATTCACTGTTGGTGCATTATAAAGAATAGATCCAAATTAAAGAAAGACATAAGTCATAATATTAGCACCAGTTAGAGAATTGGCAAAACAAATATATGATGTTGTCAAAGGAATTGGATAATATTTAAATATAGAAGCTTTCTGTTGTATAGGTGGAACATAAACTTAAGAAACTAGAGAAAAATGTAAATCAGGAGTACATATTATCATTGCTACACCAGGTAGATTGATTGATATGATGAAAAACAAATATTTAGATTCAACATTCATGAAATTACTTGTTGTTGATGAAGCTGATTAAATGTTAGATTAAGGATTTAGTGATAATTTTGCTGAAATCCTTAAAATGGTACCAGGAGATATCTAAATTGGTAATTTATTTAATATTTATTGTTATTAGCATTGTTCAGTGCAACATTCCCATAAGAAATTATTGAATTAAGTAAATAATTCTTAAGAGAAGGAACAGCTAAAATTTTAGTCAAAAAAGAATAATTGACTTTAGAAGGTATTAGATAATTCTACATTGCCATTTAATAAGAAGACCAAAAATTCAGAGTTTTGGTTGAATTATACAAAAATCTTACAGTTTCATAATCAATATTGTTTTGCAATTCTAAAAAAACTGTTGATGATTTATATGATAAATTAACAACTGAAGGTTTTACTGTTAGTAAAATACACAGTTAGATGGAATAAAAAGAAAGAGAATAAGTAATTTATAATATTATTTCATTTAGGTTATGTAAGAATTCAAAAAGGGAGCTGCAAGAATTTTAGTTTCTACAGATCTTATGGGTAGAGGTATTGATGTTCAATAATTATCATTGGTTATCAATTATGAATTCCCAAGACTTAAAGAATAATATATTCACAGGTATAAATTAATTCTGAAAATTAATTAGAGTTGGAAGAGCTGGTAGATATGGTAGAAAAGGAGTTGCAATTAATATGGTAGCTCAACAAGAAGCTAATCTCTTATTAGAAGTTGAAAAGTATTACAACACTAAAATTGATGAAATGCCTAAAGATTTAGCTGAAGTTGAAAAAGAATTAAGTTGAAAAATCAGTATATATTAAATAAGAGTATATATATATTTAATTGAACCTTAAATATATTTTCCTTATTTTTCTGTTTTTTTTATTTCAAAATACAGAATTTATTTCTAATATAAATACTATTATTTAACAGTAATCTTGTATTAATTTGTATTACTATTTTAGAAGTTTAAGAAGAAATTTATTTATATTAGAAATTTAAGAAGAAATTAATTTGTATTACTATTATAGAAATTTAAGAACAAAAATTAAAAAAAAAAAAAACTACTAAAATAATATTTTTGTTCAATTCAAAATAATAAAGTTATATTAAATTGAATCTATGAATATATAAAAAATTATTAAAGTACAAATTTATAATAAGGATAAGAAACAAGTTTGAATCATTATGGAATTAAATATACTAAAAAAAATTATTTAATTGAACACCTTTTTTTCAAAATGTTATAATAATAATAAAAAAATTGCTAATTCTAAGATTGATGATGTAGTCATTATTAATCTGTAATTTAAATAATAAATAATATTTTAATTAATTTATTAATTAAATATTATATAAGAATAACGATTATGTAAATTCCCTCTTATATATCAATTATTATTTGAACTAAGATTAATAGATAAATAGAAAAATAAATATAAATATATTTTTTTAATTAAAGTAGATCTCATTTATCATTCAAAGATTAGATAATTTAGATTGTTTTATGTGAAAATTTTGATTTAGTGTTTATTTGATCAAAAATTTGGATTGTATCTTTATTTTATTTGCCATATCAATTTATGGAATAGACAAAAAGGCTTTTGGACATTCTTAGCTTTTACTAAATTCTCTTTCTTTAGTGTATTGTTTAATTGAGAGTGTTTTTGTTTTTCTATGAGTCTATGATGATGGAGGATTACTAGAGATCAAATAATTTTTATCATCAAATATGTTTGGATTAAGATATTTAGTTTGTTCTTTATATAAATAATATTTACAATTTGATGATTGTTCTACATCAGGGATTTTTAAAATGATTTTATTTTGAATTGTGTTAATTGGTAATTAAATTGTTTCATCAATTATTTTAATATTATATTGATTATTATCATCTTATATCATTGGCTGAGTTGTTAATTAATTAATAATTTTTCCTTTTTGCCAATTACCTTTAACAATTTAACCATCAAAGTAAATCATTTCTCCATAACCATGTTTATAATCATTAACAAATTATCCTTTATATTAATTTCCATTAGCCCATTTGTATATTCCATATCCATTTTTTCTATCTTCTTAATAATCTCCTTAATAAAAATCAGTTGGTAATTTATTTGATCTTTTCCATATACCTTTTCCACAACGTAAACCTTCTTTAAAATAACCTTGAAATTATGCTCCATTTACCCAAAAATATTCTCCATATCCATGAGGCAATCCATTTACATAATTTCCTTAATATCTATCTCCATTTTTAAAAAACTCTTCACCTTCTCCATTTTTAATCCAATTAAGAAAATTACCTATATATTTATTACCATTTTAAACATATTCTCCAAAACCTTAGGCTTAATTTGCTTTCCATTGTCCTTAATAATACTCACCATTTAAACCATACCATATCCCTGCATAGAGAATTCAAATTTACCTTTTCCCTCTTTAATTCCCATATTCCATTATCCTACATATTGTTCTCCATTTGCCCATATAAATTTCCCTTTTCCATGTGGTTTTCCTTAAAAATAATAGCCTTCATATTCTGATCCATTTGGCAATTATTCCCATCCATATCCATCTTTTAAATCATTCTTCCAATATCCCTCATATTTACGTCCATTCAATGATTATAAAATCCCTATAAAGTTAATTAATAAGCAACCTCTTCCTTATTTAATATTTTTGTGTAATTATCCATAATATATATAATTGTTTCCAATCTATAATGTTGAGTTTATATTCAAAAGATCAATATAATTATAATCCTCAAAGTGAGGTTGATATCCTTTGATTTATTCTAAAGCAGTTTAATAATTCATTAAAATTATAATTCATCAGAATTATGTGTATTTTATTTTGTCAAATTGAATTAAATACATTAATTTATAATAATGTAATAATCTTATGATTGTCCAATATGTTTAAATATTGCTGTAGATCCAATTCAACTATCTATATGCAAACATATATTTTGTTCACCCTGTTTCATAGACTTATTAGATTATAACAATCAATCCTACAGATGTCCACTCTGTAGATAAAATTATTTAAAGAATGAACCTTTGATTGTTAATAAAGATTTGGCAACAAAAATAAAGGATAGTAATCCTGAACTTTATGCTTAAAGATAATAACAAATAATTCAACAATAAATGATGTTACCTAATTAAATTAAAGTGAGTGTTGTTTATGGCAATTATTATTAAAGAATCAATACATAAGATAAAAATATGAATCAATGGGATCTAATTGTGAAAATGGAATATAATAAGAGTTCAGATCAAATTGCACTTAAGAATTTTGATCTTAATAATATGATTGAATCAGTATTCATAGAATAATATAATTTTAGGTAACCTACTATTTACATGAGACATTTAAACCAAATGTAGTTACAGTTTAAAAAGCTCCATTTTAGTTAAAAAGATTAGGATGGGGAGTATTTAATATTCCAATTCTAATAAAATTTAAGAAGGAATATAATATTCCAAATTTGGAAGTAGATCATTACCTTTCTTTTTAAGGAGATGGTTCTTTTTAGAAATAGATTACAAAATTAGATATTAGTAATGTGAAGGAATATAAACAATTATAATAATAGTAGTAGGAGAATGATTAAAAATAGATATAATTGTAATAAAAATAATGATTATTATATTAAGTATAAATTTAAATTATATTAAGAAAGGTAATATTTAATAATAAATATACAATTTTTAATATGAAATTACATTTATCTATAATGAAAATATGAATAAACTTTTCTCTGTTGGATTAAATTATCAAAATTAAAATTGATTATTTAGATATTTAAATTAATTATTGAATGCAATCTGATTAAACATAGATGAATGAAATAGATTAGAACTAAAAGTATGAATAACTTTTAGAGTGGGGTATAGAGAATGGTGTAAAGATGAAGGGTGTATAAATTCCAGCTTTTTTTGAAGATGTTATAGGTGTAATTGCAACAGAAGACTTACCATCAAATAGTGTAAGTATATTCAATTAGATTTGAATAGGCAATAATTTGTATTCCATAATCATTAATAATTTCACCTAATAAATGTAAACGGAGCAATCTTAATTAGGTTTATAATAGTCATCCAGAGGTGTTTGATTAGGAAGAAACTAATGATGGAGACTTTAATATCTTAAGTATGAATATGTATGTATCTGAGTTTTTTATATATTTAATGAAAAGAAGAAGGGAGAATAATCATTTTATTATCCTTATATAAATGCAATTTAGAGTAAAAATACATTATTGGGTTGGTCGAATGATGATTTATAGAAGATTGAAGATACAATAATATTGGAGGAATTCGGAATTATAAAATAAGATGTTTTAGGATTATGGGGTAAAGCTAAATTAATTTTTGATAATAATGAAAATGTATTTGGAGAATCTAGAATAACAGATAAGAGAGATTTTTATTGGGCAGTTGAATGTGTAATGAGTAGATGTTTTGAATGGGCTTAGAAATCTACTTGTTTAATTCCAATAGCAGATTTCCTTAATCATTCTAATAAGGCATGTACACATTATGTGATTCATTAAGGGTTTGAAAAAGGTATTGTTTAATAAATAGATAAAAAGAATTGTGAATAACAATATATTTAAAAAAGAAACAAAATTGATTTAAGTATTTTAGGTATTGAAAATGGAAATGATATTTAAAGATATGAGGATCAGAAAATCAAATATATTATAGAGAACAAAGAATATATAGAAGATATAAATTAAATTAAAGATTTAGATAAGAAATCAAAGAATGAATAAAGAGAAATAATAAATTAAATTTAATAGAATTAATTGATTAAGGATGGATAATTAAATATTTGGGATTTAGATTCAATTTCATCTTCTGATAATGAAGATAATGATTCTGATGAAGAAATTAAATAAGAGAAATAAAAATAATTTGAAATATTAAAAATTAAAGAATTGGCAGAATTGAAATTAAGAGAAGAATAAAAAAGAATAGAAAGAGAATATTAATAAATAAATATATCAAATTAACGTATAGTAACAGTAACATTGAATCCAGGTAAGATTAATAAAAAATAACATAGAAAAGAAAAATAAAGTGATTATTAGAGGATTACCTTAATATTAGATTGAAGCAATAAAAGCAAAATAGTAAATGATGAATGGAAGATTAATAAGTGAAGGAAAAGAATCAATTAAATAAAATGATAATTAAAGTGAGAATAGTGAAGAATCGAAATGGGATTGGTTAGACGAATATGATCAAGATATTTATTTTTGTATAGTTAGCACAATACCAATAAAGAAATTTGAATAAGTAACTATTTCATATGGTAAAAGAACTAATAGATTTTTATTATGTTGGTATGGATTTGCATTACCAGAAAATGTGTATAGTTCCTATAATTTTAGAGTAATTTATTCATTAATTAATTAAAGTTATGGTTAAATACTGATATCCTTTAAGAGAAGAATAAAGAATAGATATTGAATACAATTATCATAAAGAAATTAATATCTGAGGATGAATCTATTATAGATAAGATTTCATGTAATGGATATGAAATTGCTGTATCATCTTTATCACAAGAATTTAGAATCAAGAAACACAAATTGAATATGGACATAATCATATTTTTAAGATTGTTATTATCAATTCATTATAATCATGAAAAAGGATTACTAAGTACTATTCCATTATCAATTGATTTTGAAATATTTGTGATGCAATTTTATGATTCAATATTGAATCATCTTTTAAATTCTTATTCTTAAGATTTTAATTAAGATGTTAAGGAATTGGAATAAACAAGAGAAATTAAAAAAAGATTTGCTGTAATTATTTTATTTTTATTATTTAGATTTATATTAATAAAGAAAGAAAGGAAATTTTAATAAATTAAATTAAGATAGTTTTAGAAGCAATCATAATATTAAACAAGTTTAAATAAAATAGAAAATTGAAAGAGAACTATCTTATGGAGGATTTCTCAATAGTAAAAGGATTAAAGAGATATCTTCAATTGATAAATGAATTTTTATGATTTCAATAGTAATATCCTAGATAATTGAAATTAAATTGGATATCATTCCTAAAAATTAATATAACATTTTAATATAAAATGATTCTTTTATTGTTTGTAAAACTAAAGATTAGAATGTAATTAGAAGACATTACATAACACATAAATACTTTATTGATCATAGTTATTGCAATTATTACTATCTTATTGATCAACAAATACATTCATATTCATATTGAGAGAGTTGCTTTCCGAAACAGTATTGCAATTAAAGAATTTATTAGAATATTTGTATTATTTAAATATAATTATAGTAATTATTATTTAAATATTTGCAAAATTATAAATACTCATATGGTTAAGTAACAGAAGAAGTATATTAAGTATCTAAATAATCGTGAGTAATTAAAAACAATACATATCAATATATAAATATCTTTATAATATTTTCATTTTTTAGATGGTATTTTTGGTGGTATTTATGCAACTTAATCTTCATTATCTTCAATACATGCACAATTATCATTTTCAAAATTATTGCTACTTCTATTAAATTATTCATTATCACTTTTACTGCTTATTGGTGATATGATTTCAATTTAATTTTGTTCTAGTAAATTTAAATTGGAATGCATATATCTATTACTTTATAATAAAAATTCATCTTAATTTTTATTAATTTTATCAAATATTGCAACCATATCATCACCAACTAATTCTAGTATATTTTTATCAGTATCACTTAATCTTTTCTTTTCTGATAATTTCATATATGCATTAAATGCAGATTCTACTTTAATTAAATCTGATTTTTCTTCTTATAAAATAAATTAAAATTCTGCTTTTCCTTCTAATACATTTAATTTTTTCTCAAAATCCTGTGAGAACATGTCTATAGGTATTAATGGTTTAGGAATATAATTAAATAGTTCTAATTATTCTTTATTAAATATCACATATTTTAATTTATCTATTTCTTGTATTTTAGTTAAAATATTAACAATATCTAGTTTACATAGAATTTTTTCAATTGCATAATCAATTTATTGCTTATGTTTTTTCTTAATTCCTAAATTCATACAAATCAAATCCCATAAACCTACTTTCAATTATCTTTTTCTTTATTTCAAATATTATTTTAATTAGCCTCTATTTTAGACTTTATCTAAATCTCTTTTGGATTATTAAGGTATTTTACCTTACCTATTCAATTCAACAATAAGATCATTCTTTTATGGTTATCCATTTATGATAATATTTAAATTCTAATTAGATTTAGATAATGAATTAGCTTCATTAATATTTTCATTTTCATTTTCAAAATTGAATATTCTATTTGCCAATTAAAGATTCATCAATGTAGCAATTATTGGACTAACTATAGTTGTAATAGTTAAAGCTACCAATTACCAAAGACCACCAACATTTCCTAATATATTCTATACCTTAATATAAGATCTCTTATAATTATTAGCTCTCTATTCCAAATATAAAGTATTTTCAATATAAAAATTTTAATTAAATGGTCCCGTAGAATCTTTTATTTAAGATTATATTAATCCTAGTTCTTAGACATAATCTTATTATATTAAACCAACATCAGTTTTTGTATCAATGATTTTAAAATTTGAAAATATTTACTTAGATTAACTAGATGAAAATGAAGCAAATTATATTGTAATGATTTCTTCATAAGGTCTACCTGGATTATCCAATTTTAATAATGTGTCACCTAGATATACTGCAAAAAATCCAGTTTTTAATCCTGCTTAGATTTCTTCAGTTGAACTGCATCCATCATATGTTGTACTATTTTTACAAGGTGTCATATATATCGTTACATATTAATAAGTATCTGCATTAGTAAAACCTTGAAGTTGCTATCATAATTCTAATATATTACAGGAGGATTTTATTCTCTAACTGTTTTGTTGATACAAAACATATTTTTTAAAACGAACTTTCCAAAATATTCTTTTTAATATTATTCTGGAAAATGTGTATCTAAATCACAACTTTCTAATGGGATATCTCTGCATCTAAAAAATAATTGAATAAAATCTATTATACGTTAATGAAACCTCAATTGCTTATGTTGTTTCATTTAAAAAGCGTGTTCTATTACAAGCAGTCATACCTACATCAAAATGTTTCTTGTAAGTCTTTAAAGCTGATAAAGTTGGCCCTGCTATAGTAAGTGCAAATGTAAAATTTTTTGAATTTAATGAAAAAGCCTTATTTAATGAATCCATTCAATACCGGTGTATTTATGTTTTAGGTTTCAGATATAATGATGCTAGGACTTCTTTGATCAAGTAAATCTTAAAATTGGAAATACAAATAAAGAGCACATACAATCATTAAAATTACTGTAAGAAAATGCCCTAAAAGTGTATTAAACTTTTATCTTTTTAAAATTCTAAAAAAAGGAGGTTATCCAAAGAAATCTAATGAATTAACTACATCAAGAATGCAAGCCTTGGCTTCATGTTTCGCTTTCTTCTAAAATTTAAGCATTAATTTTTAATGAAAAAAATTTAATTAACCCCTAATTACGATTTCATATCCTTGGTTTTAAATTAATTCCAATACTTATTGAACAATAAAATATGACCAAATAAATCAAAAATATATAAATTCAATATTAAATAATAAATTTACATTATTTTATAATTATTTGGATTTTATGAAAATTTCTAATATTACAGAAAATTATAATCCATAAAAATTAACTCATATGAAAAAAACTCTTAGAATTAATTCAAATTGAAATACAAATACAAATCAACCAACAAAATTCAAATTTTTATAAAGCAGTTTTTTTGAATTAGTTAAATGATTATTATAATTGATTGATATATTAAAATAGAAGGCAGCAAGCATTTAATAATTAACAATAATCCTACTTATTTTGTGAGGATTAAAAATATTAATTTGATAAGATCAAAATTATATTTACTTAAAAATATCTATTATTTTTAATAATAGAAGTGTTATCATTATAATTGAATAGATCGATTCTCTTATTATTATTAAAGTGATTGTATGCAAATAACAAAATACAAGAAAGATTTAACAAAGACATTTTTTTCATCTTTGATTTTAAGATATTGTTTTTAGGATTATAAATTAATTCATTAAGGAGAAGAAAATCAAAAATTTAGAATATAAATAAGAATATTTCTCCTAATGTATATAGATATAAATTTATTAACTATTTGAAGATTCAACTTAATTATGAATATATAATACTATAAAATAGAAAAATTGATCAATATGAAAATATGAATTAAAATAAAAAAGAAATAAAGATTATCGAAAAAGAATTTTAAAAAAAAATCAAGGAAAACATTATGTTAATGCTCTTTCTAATCCATTTATATAAAATGTGTTTTATGAAAATATAAATAATATAAATATTAGAATTTAATAAAAACCTAATTAAAATATTCCTATAAAGGCTATGATGAGTCTAAAATCTCTAAGAATAAATATGCCAAATAGAATTTCAAAATTATTAGATTTTAGTCTGATAGGTCACATTCAACTATAAAGTTGTAATAAATATATAAAATGATGATGAGTATAATAAATATCCTATTTTTTAGAAGAATATATAAAAAAAATGTTCTAAATGTTAAGAATGATTATAAATAACTTATTTTAGTAGTAAGAACTATTCGTGTTGATTCTGTTCTATTAACATATTCAACTTGTAATTTTTTAATAATTAACTTATTATTTTAACATTTAATGAAATTCTTAAAGCATATAAATGAATTTGTCTTTTGTTATCAAATCTTTATTTTTAAACTTAAGTATGAGTCAATCATAATTAAAAAGAAAGTCTTTTTTACCAAAGTTTTAACAAGCTGTACTAATTAAATATAAATTAAATAATTAATTAATAAATAATAATCAATTAAGAAATAGTTTTTCTAAATCAGATCTCATTTATTAAGGACTCAGATTTAATACTTTATTTTTGCAATTGCATCTAAGCATTCTAGCAAAAATACAAGTGTAGACAGCACTATCATATGTATTATATGATTGAGGAATATTATCTTTGATAATTAATTTAGCATCAAGTCTGTGATTCAGCAATTTTTTAAAGAGATGAGATAATTAGAATTTAATTTAATTATAAAATGCCTTACTGCATTTAATAGAATCATATATATTGATATTGAATTCCTCTTCTGTAAGTTAAACTTCTACAAAATACCAATGATTTGGATTATGTTCAATAACAAATCCTATTTTTTTGTAAATTAACCAAAACTTAACAAATCTAAATTATTTAATAATTTATTTGAATTGATCATAATTGTCTAATGGGCAAGTACTTTAAAAGATAATTGTCCTTTAAAACTTTTCTCTTTTATGAGGAGGAGTATCCCAATATAATTATTCATCTAATTACTATAGATATTAAATATATCCATTGACAATATTTGATCTTAATTAATTTTTATCGCTAATAGAATTTATGTCTTTCTCATTTATTAATCTATTGTATTTATAATGTTCATTTTAGATAATAGAATTTTAAGAATCTTATGCTACTGTGATTTTTGAATCTATGGTTTCATCTAAACATTCATCTTTAGGTGAGATTAATCCTGATTCTAAATATTTATCATTTTTAAATAGTCCTTTTTTAACAATTAAGTTATAGTTTCCATATTTATCCACAATCTTTAAATATAATTTACCTTTTCCATTTTTTTAGAATTTCTAATTGATTTCACCATAATAAACACTATATTTTTCAAAAATAGCAAATTTATGACCTTTAAATGCAATTACATCCATATTATCTTTATAAGTAATAGGATAAGCAGAGTCTGGTGAAGACAATATTGAAATACTTTCTAAACAAGTATTAGTTGAATGCTCTATAGCATAAATTCCAGGTCTGGAATCTATTTGATTTAAATTACCTTATGTTTTTTCATTAATTAATGAATCACTCTCTGAAACACAATTATTACCCATTTTATATTTAATTAATATATCAATCGACTAATTTTAATATCACATTTCAATTAAGGAAAGATATAGAATTAATATTATATACACTATCATTCTGACTATTTACTAACTTCTATTCAATTTATATAATTTTATCATTTCTTTTTTTATTCTATAATAATACATCATGACTCTATTCATAAACAAAATTTGATAATTTTTAGAATGAAATTTATCAAAGAAAATAAAGATAATAAAGTTTAATTCATCGAATAAAAAAAAATCGTTTATAAGGGTAGTGTTTAATTAGAAAAGTTTATACTAAAAAAACAACATTTAATCACTCCTAGTCCTAGAGAATAATATCAAAATGACTTAAGTCCAATTATTAGATAAAAAAGAGCAAAAACTATTTTAAAGTAGTTGCTTAATGAATAAAATTAATAGTAAAATATTTTATTATATCATTTAGAGTACTTGAAGCGAAGTCTTCTAGGAATTTTAAACTTAAAAGAATTTAAGTAAATTATAATTATTCTATATAATTACCAAATATTGAGGAATATTTTGATTCTTAGGATAAACTTTAAATGCTAAAAATAATTAAAAATGAAAAAAATAGAGTTGAAAATCACATTGAGAAATTAGAAAAAATTAAAAAAGAATTAGATTTTTAAGATAATCCAACTAACAACCATAAACCAATTTCTTATCAGTCAAATACTCCAAGTAAATCAGCAAGAAGATATACGGTTAAATTAAATACAAGTGGAAGTTCTTTATTTGGAAAAACTGAAAATGTTAAAAGATAATTATTGATTATAGATGATGAGGATAGAAAATAAACAGAAAAAAATAAAGAAGTTCAATTATACAAAAAATATGAAAAAGTTAGAGATAGTAAGGTTTTACCTCAATTAGTAAATTAAATTAATGAATCATATGAAGAAAAGAACAAATTAAGTGATAAATTCAATAGACAATTATATTATTGTATACATAATAGAGATTATAGTATTCAAGATAAAATAAAAGAATATAAAAATGACAGTTTATCATATTCTCAATTTTAATCTATTTAAAAAAGACTTAAATAACATTTAGAAGGAAGATTTAAGGCAACGGAATATCAAGTCTCTAAATTTGAAGATGAACTTAAGGATTTAGCTAAAACTAATAGATTAACTGAAAGTAAAAAAGAACAATTATCTAGAATAAAGATTCAATTGGAAAGTGGTAATTATTTAGAAAATTATTGATAATCTTTTTAAAGTGTATATAACTTAAATATTATTTATTATTATCTTATTTTTTTTTGATTTAGTGATAAAGTTAAAAATATACTGAAAAAAGTGTAACAAAACTAATATTAGGATATTTTGAAATATAAATATATTAGTTTGAATAGTAATAAATTGTAAGTATATTTTTATAATTTAAATAGTTATTATTATTATTATAATATTATGATTAGTGTTAATTTAAGAGTGGTAATTCAACTAACCTATTTTATAATGGTGCTAACAATAAAATTAATTAATCATAATACAGAATACTTTTAAGTTATTTTTAGTATAGTATTAACATTAATGCTTATACCATTTAATAGATATATAAATAAATGCGTTGAATAACAATAATTAGTATGTAAATCATTATGGTAAGTTTTAAATCTCTTTTGTTTAGGGAGTGTTGATTTTGGATTGAAAAATGATGGATTATTAAGCAGATTTTAATATTTTTGGTTAGGATTAACAATATAATAAGAGATAGATACAACAATATCAAATTAAGTAAAAAGAGTTGGATCTTTATTAGTTGTAATAGCATCAGCAAATTTAACTACAATTTATTTATTGATAGATTCATCTTAACTAGGAATAATATTTGGTGAAGCTCTTTATGGTTTATTATTGTTATATTAATTTATTGAAGTGACAAATACATCTAGATAAAAATCACCTTAAAAGTAATCAAGTCGACGTAGTTTAACTGAGAAAATAGAAAGTCCTTAGTAATAAATATTAGATGAAGATTCAAATTAAATTAAATTTATGTCATTAAATTAAGGAGTAATAAAGAATCCATCAATTTATTCAAGAGATCCATCAGTTTTGGAATAAATAGAATAATAAAAAACATTTTATGAAATTTTATTCAATTAATTTCCTGAAGGAATAATAATAATTAATGATTAAAATAAGATTGATTATCATAATAATTAAGTATATACATTATTAGGAAGAAAACATAATTAAAATAAATAAGATTAAATATTATCTAGGTTGTATGAATTAAAGAATTATAGTTCTAAATTTTAATTTGAAGAATAAACATAATTTGATTAATTTTTTTCAATGTTAGATAAAAAGTAAAAGTAAAGTTAACATGAATATTACTAACCTTTTTATTAATAATTTGATTAATAAATAAATGATGATAATTCTAAAGATAGTATATTTAATAATAATTTTGATGATAATTAGACTGATTATTATTATTAAGCTGAACTTAGCAAAGCTGAAACTCTAAAATAAGAATTAGAAAAGGCTTTACAAGAAAAAGTTTAAGATAAAAATGGATTACCTTCTCCATATTAAAGATAATTATCTTGTCATTCATAAAGAACATATAAAGGATAAGATAAAATAAGATTTTTTCCTGAAGTCAAAAAAATGTTATGTATGATAGAAGAATCTACAGAAGAATAAAATAATGAATTATAAGAAGATAAATCATAAGATGATTGTAATCCTGGCTTATTAATTTAGATAACAATTAAACCTTATATATATGAAAATAAGAGAAGTGTTTTATTAATGATAAGAGATGTTTCTTTATTTAATTAATTTAAAGTTTTATAATAACAAAATAAAAATAAATCAAGAATGTTATCTTATGTTTCTCATGAATTACGTAATCCATTAGGAGCAATAATTGAAATAAATTAATAAATGAAAATTTATTTTTAAAAAGATAAGAATTTGATAGAAAAGTAATAAATTTTAATTATTTTAGATATTTATAACCATTATAGAGTTCTGCAGTATCAATATAAGGATTGGCAAATGATTTATTAGATTTAGCATAATTAAAAGCTGGAAAGTTTAAGTTAACTTATTAAGAATTTTCAATAAATAAATTATTGAATGATGTTATATCAATAATGTAATATCCTGTAAGTTTAAGGAATTTAAAATTAGATTTATAAGTTGATAATAAGATTCCTCAAATGATTAAATCTGATTCATAAAGAATATAACAGATAATATTTAATCTTATTAGTAATGCTACAAAATTTACTAAGATAGGTGGAATAACAGTTACAGCTAAATTATTATAACCTAAATTAATAGAAATTGCAGTTGAAGATACTGGAGTTGGATTAAAACCAGAAGATAAAAATAAATTATTTTAACCATTTGGAAAATTAGAAGATACTAAAAATATGAATACTTCAGGAGTAGGATTAGGATTAATGATAAGTAATGTTCTAGCTTAAAAATTAAGTGGAAATGATGAAGGATTATAAGTTGATTCTAAAGGATTAGATAAAGGAACTAGATTTTTATTTAAAATATAAGATGTTAATGAAACTTAAGTTTCTACTTTATAAGAATCTAAAGGTTTAAGTAAAAAAGATATTAATTCTAATAATTAAATAAATTAAAAAAGATTTGAAGATTAATTAATTTAACAATCAAAAAATTGTAAATGTCCTGATATTATTATTACTGATGATGAACCATTCAATTTATAAACTTTAGGATGGAAATTAGATAGAATGAAATATACTTATTTAAAAGCTAACAATGGTTAAGAATGCATTGAAATTCTATAAAATTGGTAAAATAATAAAGATTATTGTTGCAATTGGATTAATGTTATCATTATTGATATTAATATGCCTTATTTAAATGGCTATCAGACTTCTAAATTAGTTAGATAAATGGAAATTGAAAAATAAGTGAAAAGATCTAAAATTATAGGATGTAGTGGATTTACAGATAATGAAAGTAAAAAAATAGGATTAGAAAGTGGAATGGATTTATTTATTTCAAAGCCAATTGATGATAAGGAATTATTAACTGCCCTATCATAAACTTAATGATTAAATGTTTCGTGTTACTTAAATAGTATAAAGTATTCTACTTTTATATTGATATCATTAAACCTCTAATCATTCTATTAATACTATTCAATTCATCAGTATAAAAGAAATATACATATCATTAGATTTAATCATTCAAAATGTTTATAACTTCAAAAAATTAATGAAATGATAATTTTTAATATTTTTTTTTGAAACAAATACATTGTGAAATTTTTAAATCATCTTTATTTTATAGTGTTGTATTTTTATTTAAATATTATCATTCCTTTTTTAAAGGTTCATTTAAAGAATCTTAACTACTTAATCCATGACCTTTACAATTAAATATTGAAGCATTACTATTTTCTAAATTTATTAAATTAATTCCACTTTACTTTTTATTTGCATTACTACTTAAAGTTAAATTTTAATTCTCTTTATTATTTTTTGATATTTTTATTTTTTAAATACTTTTTTCTTTAATATCATCATAAACATCTTAAGAACCTATTAGTTGATCTTTAAATTATAATTTTGAAAATGTTTTGCTTTTCTATTTATCATTTTATAAATTATCACATTTAAAATTTTGTATCTAATTTAAAATTTAATCATTATTTTTTAGAGCACATATTTTATTATTATTTTTAGTTATTTATTTTAATTCTTACTGCATTTTTTGATTAACAGGAGATATAGATCTTTAATTATATGAAAAACGTTATGTATAATTAGATGATCGATTTTCTATTGAACTCCTTTATTAAGTTCTGTTTTAAGTAGTAGAAATACTTTCTGCCAATTGTTTTAATAATACAACTTAATTAAACTTAGAAAAAAAATATTCTAAGCTAAAGTAAATAATTTGATAACATTTATTAGATGAATGGTTAATTCTATGTTCAATCATTAAACTTTCTTCTTCAATAAAAGTACAAAGATCTTTTTTACATTTTAATACCTATTATTATTTCATTTTTTGTTCTTCTTCCATCATTTTCTCTTATTATTTTAACTGCTTGAGTTGAGAATTCACTGATTTTTCAACAAAATATGTCGATTTTTATATAGTGGATATTTTTGATTTTAAATCTTCTATTTTTTTATATTACTCATCTTAATCCTTTTTTCTTGTATCTATTTACTTTACATAATCATTAAAAGATAATTTAAATGTTTTACTTTCATCATTTATAGGAATTATCAATTCTTTTATTGCTTAAGATTATCCTATTATTTTTGATCCTAAAAGTTTAATCTAAAAATAATTACTATATTACTTCTTATCCCATTTCTTTGAATAATTTATTGGTTTTAATATTCATTGTTTCATCTATTGATTTCTTTGAAAATGCTTCAATTTTTGATCCATATTCACATGTTACTTATCCAAAGTCCTAAACATAAAAAATTATGAAAAACCTTCATTAAAGATTTATTGTGTTTTAAACACTCTTACATTAATTTTAGTTTTGCTTGTAGTTGTCCATAAATGATTGATATTTCATTATCACTTAAAATATACTCACTTTTACAGTTCATAATATTTATTCAATATAATAATTCATTTCTTAGGTTTTCATCAACTTTATTTCCAATCAACCAAACAATTAAATAAATTACACTTGGGTACATCAATCGATTCCAATCTTTTTCTGACAAAATAAAGAATATACTTAAATATAAGCATCAAAAGTACAAAAAATAGAAAAACCTCCCAAGCAAATTATTAAATAGTTTGTTGGTTATAACTTTATGTGGAAATAAAAGCTAAATAATTGGTAAACTTGTTAACAATCTAAATTTTAATGGATATAGAATTACATATAAATTACAGAATAACTTATATTACCAAAATTTAGATATGAATTAGAAACGTCATTGTTTAAACATTTTTGGATTTATGTTTAAGAAATTAAACAACTTTTACTTATAATTAGAATTACCATTTATAAATTAAAGTAAGTTTGATTAGTAAACATACTAAAAATATTTGTTTTGTATTAGATTTATCTTCAATGACATATTCAGAAATAGCCCTATTTGTAATAGTTTTTCCAAAAGTCTATTTTTCTACAAGTTCAATATCCATATTTTATTTAATTTTTTGTCAAATAAAATATGGATGATGAAAAGAAGAAAAAAAAAGGAAATAAGCTAGATTTAAATTTATTGCCTTCATCAGTAAAAGAACGTTATGCAGCAATGGGAATACTTCCAAAACCTTAAATTCCAAAAGCTAATATATAAGTTGATGCATAGAGGATGAAATAGAAAAAAATAGAGAAAGAATAACCAATAGAATAAAAATTAGAGAGTATTGAAATCAAAGCAAGTGAAAAAAAATAATTAGAAAAGTATATATAAAATTAGTTTTATAATAGAGTGTTCTAGATGCTAAAAAAGAAGGATGTTGATTATTTTGATATGAAAGATGTTGATAAAATGCTAAGATTTTTAGGAGTAGCATTAACTAAATCAGAAATTGATTTAATGTTATGGGTTTATTTTATTTTATTTATAAGATAGGAAGTTGATGAAAATCTTGATGGAAAAGTTAGCTGGACTGAATTTTTAAATATGTACAAAAAATGTACAATTGATAAAACCGGACTTGAACCTAAGAGTTTATTTCATATGGTTTAATTTCTAATGTATCTTCCTCTAGATAGAAAAGATCTTAAATAACTGTTGAGGTTATAAATATTTTATTAATATTAGGATACATTAGAATTACTATATGTTAGATTTGGTAGGTAATCATTAGATTCAGAAATTCATGCAATATTTGGAGATGAAGAAAAAAATAAAGATGGATAAGAAAAGGCTATATCATTTAGTGAATATATGGAAAAAATTAATGAAAGAGCTATTTAACAAAGAAAATTAAGAAAAGAAGAATAAAAATAATAATTTTAATATTTTAAAAAGGAAAAAAATTGATCTTCAAACATTATCTAAACTTATTGATAAATTTTTATTAAAAACAAATAAGTTATTAATAAGAGATTTTAATTACTTTCAAATTAATTTAGAATTTCAAGACTTTTTAACAGAAGGCCTTCTACTATGTTATTATAGTTATTAAATAACTTAAGGAGCTTTATTATTTGTAAATGTCAACGGTTTTTCATATTTTTTCTTTTCTAACATCTCCTTTATTTATTATCCTTCAATCAATAATTTACCCATTTAATTGATTTCTCTATTTGTTCTACTTAATAATGTATTCTCATGTGAAGTTATTTATATTTTAGCTGCTAATCTATCACATTCTTATTATAGTTATCTATTCATTCCTTCTAATCTTTCTACTACTTATTACAAATGTAATATTTCTCTATCTTTTAGTATTATCTATTATGTATTCTTATCAAAATTCTAAGAACTTTATTTAATCCAAATTAATACTTTTTATTATTTCTTTTTTATTATCTAATTTCTTCTTCATACTTTTGTAAATCATTTTCAAGATTAGCTACTTATCTTAAAAGATCTCTATTTTAATCTTGCAATTACATACATTATTAAGAAACTTCTTCAAAAGATCTAATTTATTTTAATTATTATACTATTCTGCTTATTCTAAAAAAATCCTTTCTTCTTTAATCTATTTAATTAAATTTTCAGAATTCTTCACTTTCATTTCTAATTCTACTTATTTTTCATCTTTTTCCTTTATAAGATCAATAAGAGTTTATCTTTCTTTTTTTAAAGTTTCAACTTAAATTTGATTTTCTTTTAAATCTTTAAATTATTGATCTTTTAATTGATTTAATTAGTTTGAGTATATTTAATTCTCTTTCTATAATTAAATAATTTATGTTTATTAATCAAATTTACTCTATTATAATTCTTTCAATTATTAATTAAGTTCTTTTGTTTATTATTGTATTTATAGATCTTTATTATATTATTATTGTTATGTTTTTTCGAGAATAGAATCTTTTTCTAAAATTTAATTTTTAAGAATTTACTATTCTTCTAAATATTAATTGTTTAATTCTTATAAATCAGAATATTTGTTAGTTAGAATAGCAAAATCATCATTTATAGTTTAAATTTATTGATGATATTGTAAATTCTGCATTTATACTTAATCATATTAAATTTTCAATTATGAATACTCTTTATTCTTATTTTTTTCAGAATTTGAAAGTTATTATTACAAAGTAGTAAATCTTTCATTTGAATTTTAAATGGAATCAATTTTTTGTGCTAATTTATTTCTTTCAATTTCAATTTATTAATAATCACTATATAAATGTGAGAGGTTTTGTTCATATTTTTCAGATTGATATTTCATTTACTAAATATAATGTTTTAAATCTTCAATTTTAGAATACAATTAACTTATTTCTTATTCTTTCTTAACTATTAATCTTTCTAATTCTTTAAATTTTTTTCTGTTTTATTTTTTAATATGTTTATTTTAATCAGAATTTTAAAGTAATTTTGGATCTTAATGATAAGGATCATGATTATTGAGCGATTCTTATAAATTAGTTACTTCTTAAGTTAATTATTCATTGTCTTCTTAAAGAGATATAATTTATTCTTTATATAAATGATTCTCTTATGTTAAATATTCATTTTATTAAATTTTGTGCTAGATTTGTGATATCTGTATGTCATTTTCTTCAATAATTTAGTTATAATAGGAACCAGCAGATTCAATTTATTTTTTACACTCATATATTTAATTTTCAAAGTATTCATTTTGTTATCTTAAACTTTGACTAAGTGCAAATTATGTTCTTAAATCATTTTTGAGATTTTCAATTTGATCATATAATTAATTATTTTCAGTTTAGAATTAAGTTACATTCTAGAAGTAGATTGAATAATATTACCTATTTCAAAGTTTGGATTTCTGATTGTAATTTTTAATTTTCAATTAAAATATTTGAATTGAGTTTTTAGAGATTGTCATATCTAGAATGTAATTCTTATAATTCTTCATCTAAAGAAGACATAAAATAAAATATATTTATATTTAAAATAAAAGATTAACGATCATAAAATTATCATTTTTCACCATCTGAATCAACGACTTTAATATCATTTCCGAATAAATCATCGAAACTGGCTTGTTTTTTCGTTTCTTTAATATTTAAGGCTACTTATTCTTATATATTTGATTATTATTATTATTATTAATATCCACCTATAGATTATGACATACATGGTAAGACTGGAGGTAACCAATAACTATTAATCATACTTTAACCTAATGGCATCATAAATGAAGGTTAATTAGCCAATAATAGGATTGGTTACATAGTACTTTATCTATTAATATCATCAATTGATTTTTAAAGAAGAAGCATATTATGATCTGATTATGTTAATGTAGGACATTTACTATTATTTTCTTCACTTTTTATTGATTTATAAAGATGTTTTAAAATAAGTCCATTAAAATCTAATGTATTAAATGGAGAAATAAATAATTTTTTAGTTTTTCTGTTAAATATTACAACACCAGATCTATCATTTTCAATTTAGAATTGATTATCTATTCTTTTTATATTTAAATGTTTTTTATATAAAATTTCATTTCGAATACTAGAAGTAATCTCATTATGAAATAAATCAAAAAAGTCATCGTTTTTTATTTTTTAAGCTTCTTAATATTTACCTTCTTAAACACACAAATCAATATATAAACTTTGTATTGCTAAAACAATAAATTACCATTCATAATTATCAATTTCTTCAATAGGTGTAATCTTACCATATTTTTTTGCATAATCCATTCTTAATTTTTATACTTTAGCAAACAATAATGGATTAATAGTTTCAAATTCATATTTTAATTTTTCTTTTTTTAAAAGTGAATTGTATTTATTTTTTAATGAATTTTCAGTTCTTACTCTACCATATAATGCAGATAATTCTGACCATTTCTTTCCTCTTATTAAAATGGTCTTTAATAAATCAATTTCTTATTATTTAGACCAAGGTTCACTGATTTTTATATTTTTAAATAAATATACTTGCAAATATTAGGATCTAATCTATTAATCCATCTTTCCCTACATTATTTTGGTTATCTAAATATTTTATTAGGAGATCTTTTATAAATTTCTCTTGCTATTTATGACCATTTGTTTTCTTTACCCAACCTACTAAACTCTCTATATAATATAATCAATTTAATACTCATGAACTTATTATAAAAGTTAATCTTCTTCTTCTGTCCAAGGAGCTTCAGAAAGAGAAATTTTATATTTTTATTCCCATTTTAATCTACATTAATGTGCATTACGTCCTAGTATCATTTTAGATATATCTCTCCATTCATTTAAAGTCTATTGATTTATAAGTTATTTACAAGTGAACTCATATCCTTAACTAAACAATATCTTATAACTATCCAATAAAATAAACGTTTATCTGTGTCATTCCATTTAACACTTCTTCTTCTTGCATTTTAACTAAAATAATGTTGCTAATATTCTAAATACATATTTAATTAGAATAACATTTTTGCTTCTTCAATAGTTGGCCAATCATCCAATTTTAATCTAAGATTTGCTCCTATTTTACTCAATTATTCTCTTGTTTCTACAAACTCTTTTGTATTCTCAACAAAATTACTGAAATGCTAATTTACTACTTCGTATGGGTAGACTTAAACAATAACATACTAAACGTTACTAATTAAATCCTCCATCTCACAACTCCCTGCTAATTTTATTTCTCTTGTCTCTGTTTACATTAATAAAATATATATATAATACTGTATTATTAATTCTTAATTAACTAAGTAGTTGATTAAAGAAGTAACAAAAGTGTTTATATATCAATTTATTAGTTTTTTATAAATTTTATCAACTTCCTCTCTCATATTAAAAATATTCAAAATATTCTCTTCAACTCTTATTAAACTTTAATTTTATGGTACTTCCTAAGCTATACTGCTTAATTCCCCTCCATTCATACTTCTTAATGTTCCATTTATCATATCTTAATTACTTGAAATATTTCCTGGTCTTATTATTGATAATCCAGAAAACATTTATCTACTAATACCTGGTCCCATTCCTTTCTTTGCACCATTCTTTAATCTAAAACTCTATAGGAAAGTGTTCATCTCATGCTTTTCTTCATTTTAATTGACTCTCTTTAATCAACTATATACTTAAGTCTTAAATCTCGATTGTTTCATCTTTTTATTTATAGAATCTTAAATAATCTTCATATGGTGTTTGATAATATGATGGCAATCCAGGATATGTATTTGGCATAAATTTTAATTATTTTGAAGGGGCCTCCAAAGAAAAACTTAAAAATTTTTAATTCTCACTTAGTTTTATTTCCTTTTATCTTTCATTCTATCTTTCATACCTTCTCATTATAAAAAATTAATTATTAATATATTATTTGACAGATAACTTTCCCTATAAGAATGTATTTCCTATAATTTATTTCTTTAAAATTTATCTCAGTCCACTTTTGTTAATCAAATTTTATAACAATTATTACTATTACCTATTTTATATAATTTATTATGATAAATCTATAAAAATAATCATTACTAACTTTAAAAGTTTAAAAAGGAATTATTTTAAATTTCCATTTTGATTTGTTAGAATTTTCAAAAATTTAATCTTAATATTGGAATCAATCACTTTGAAAATAAATATTCTATTTTTATATTTAATAAGTAAATCATAATAATACATGAAAACCACTTCTTGATGGTTACTAAGTTGAATTAAATCTATTTCTTGTAGAATTTGGAGCAGAAGTTCTGGGCCTTGAAAAAAATTATCTACTACTTATACTTCCTTGTCTTAAATCAAAACTTTAAGCCATTTAAAAAGATGTTACATTTTTAAAAAGTATATCATCAAATTTTAGAAATTTTTTAATTACATGTGCCTGTGATGTATTTGTATTTTTGATAACATTATGATCACATTTGAATTAATTCTTTTATTTTTTATTTAATTTAGTTAAAAGATTATAATTCTAAGATTTTAAAAATTCATTATTTGCTTATAAATCAATCTTACTTTTTTATAATTCTTTAATAGATTTTTTACACTCAAGTAATTCTCTGTCTATATCAGGAGAAGGACTTTATCTAACTAAATTCTATATTTTTGACTAGTTCACAAATTTCTCTTTTTTTTGAATTATTTTTGTTTAAGTCCCGACAGATTGAAACTTAACTGCATCAGCTGCTTTTTTGAAATTCATCAATTAGCTTTGACTTTCTTATTTAGAAAATGATGGCAAGATCTATGCTGGCTCCAAATTTTCATGATTCTCATAATTTTCATAATTTTCACAATTTTCAAGATTTTAATTCTCTTAAACAGAATGTGCTTGGTTTTTAGTATTATGTATAACCTCAGCTATACTCATTTAAATCAAATTCCTTTAAGAAAAATATTCACTTTCAGAAATGATATTATGATTTTTGAGTTACATTAGGAGTGAATTAATCTTCTAAGTTAAAAGTTAATTAACAATTTCAAGACAAACATAATTTTTAGTCTAAATAGATTTAAATTCTTATTCTAATATGAGTTTTGCATATTGCTCATTTTTAAATTTTAGTTAATCACACATCATTTTACATTCATAATATTGCTCAAAGATTGTGGAAATTTATTAATTATAATTTGATTCCAATTATTTGATTTATTTTCTTACAAATTCATGAGCTTTTGATGAAAGCTAAGCAAATTTATCTCTTAATTGAATTTCTTAAGAAGCCCTCAAAATCTATTCATATTATATTTATTTCATATTAAATTTCTATATAATTTTATGTTGTTGTAATATAATAATTTATAATGATTTGAATAGTTAACAATTGAGAAATTCATTATGATTAATTTTATTAATTGCTTTGAATTTTTAAATAAATTATTGATAAGAGGAAAGAAAGGTAAATTATAAGTTATAAATAAATTTGATAATTTTATGTTAATATATATATTATTATTGTGGTTAATTAATAGTTAAAATGGGCCCGTTTTGATTGAGAAATTTGGGAGAAGTAAGAAGAAATAGGTAGAATCACCTCCTCCAGATTTCGAATGCATAGATGAATTAGATGAGGATGACACTCCACCAAAAGAGTATAGTTTAAAAGTAGGATCACTTTATCATTTATCAGATGGAAATTGGTATTTAAGATCAGAAGATTCAACAAATAAATAAGTTACTCTGATAAACATGAATGACATAAGTCGAATAAAATTTGCTGAGAAAGAGATAGAGGCAACTTTACCAGAAGAGAAACCAGAATAAAAATTAAAAGAAATGGAATGGACTCCATTATTAGCATTTGAATAATTTCCTAGATAAAGAGGAGGACATTCAATGCATTCAATAGGAGATTATGTAGTATTATTTGGAGGATGTTTATTAAACATTTAATGTTTTAATGATTTATTTTTATTTAATGCAAGGACACGTATATGGACAACCCCAAAAGTATTTGGAGTACCTCCAGTAGGTAGAAGTGGATTTGGTTCATTAGTTAATGGAGCAAGATTATATATATTTGGAGGGCACACTGTATAAGGATTAGTAAATGATTTATTTGTATTTGATTTGGAAAGTAGAAGTTGGAATTAACTATTTTGGTAAGGTTAAGCACCAACCCCAAGAGCAGGTCATAAAATGGTATTAACAAAATTAGGAGGATTAATATTTGGAGGTTATGTTGGTGAAATTTACACAAATGATATTTTTATTTTAGATTTAATAAATGAGAGATGGGGTAAACCATCTGGAGGTGGAGATGTACCTATAGGTAGAGAAAGTTTTTCTATGACTTATCATCATGGATTGACTTATGTTTTTGGAGGTTATGCTAAAGGTGTAGTTATGAATGATCTTTATACTATTAATGAAGATTTAATATGGTAAAAAAGAGAAGTTGAAGGTGATGTTCCTCTACCTAGATAAGGTGCAGCTATGGCTGAATATGATAATAGAATTTTTATAGTTGGAGGATGTAATCCAATTTTATTTGAATGCTACAATGATATTTATACTTTAGATATTGAATCTATGAGTTTTACTAATGTGACTGCAGAAAAGAAAAGAAATCTAAGATAAGTAGCTTATAGTAGTATGACATTTGCAGGATCATTGTTAATTCATTTTGGAGGATGTAAGTTATTAGAGAAATGTAGTGACTCATTAATTGGATTAGCAGTTGCCTCTACTGAAACATGTCCTCCTTGTAAAAATGATGCAGTATGTAGAGCTGGCCATTGTAGTTGTTAATAAGGGTGGTAAGGTATAGATTGCACATAGAAGGTTCTTTGTAAATAAAATTGTTTAGAACAAGGAATTTGTTTAAGTAATGGGTATTGTAAATGTTATCCTGGATATACAGGATCTATTTGTTAATTAAATGTACCTTGCCCAGGTAATTGTACTGATGAAGAACATGGAATATGTGAATTGGATGGTAAATGTAAATGTTTTGAAGGATTCTCAGGTACTACTTGCAGTGGAAATCCTGAAATTGATAATAAATTACCATAATCTACTGGATGTTTAGATGAATGTAATCATAGAGGTTCATGTAATTATGAAACTGGTTTATGCGCATGTGAAGATGGATTTAGTGGGCCTGATTGTTCACTTGTTTAAGGAACTGAATCTGGATATATGTCTGTCTGGGATCTCTTAAAAGATTATGATGGTGAGCATGAAAATGATTTAGATACTGCAGCTGATGCTGGTGAAGATGATTTAAAAGAATTTATATCTACTGGATATAAATTTAATTAAAGATAAGAAGGACCTATGACAGTCTTTGATGATGATATAGATAGGGTATATTATGTAGATGTTGATGAAAATGGAAATATCATAGAAGATAATAATTTAAATAATAATTAATATAACAATTAAAATAATAATGAAGATAATAATTAAAATATTAAAAAAGATATCAATTAGAATTCTTAATCATAATATGATACAAATTTTAAACCTTATTCAATTTAATTAAATAATGATAATAATAATAATAATATTAATAATCTAAATATCCTATAATCTAATAATCCTTTTTCATATAATTTTATGATGGTACCACCTAAAGTATCTTCTAAAGAGGAAGATCCATTCACTTTAATGTTATTGGATGAATGTCCAAAAAGATGCTCAGAACATGGTGTCTGTATAGAACATGAATGTTATTGCTGGTTCGGCTATACTGGACAATGGTGCTAAGCTGAAAAAGTTAGTGATTTCTATTTAGGGTGGAGCAAAAAAAAAGTCATTTAAGCTTGCATTATTAGCTTTATTATTGGATTGATTATTGGTTATTGTATTGTACTATTAATGAAAAAGAGAGGAAATAATGATGAATTTCGAAATATGTCGGAAGTTCCAAGTCAAAAGCTTGATGATAATGAAGGAGAAGAAGAAGAATTAATTATATGATAAATTATGATCTATTATTTTTATTAGTTAATTCCTATTCCTATGAAAAAAGTAAAATTTTATTTGTATGTTTTTTGTATCAACTGGATTCAGATATTTCAAAAAATAAGTAACATTTGGCCTATCGAAAATTAATGTATTGGCTCTATTAAATACAAATTGATTAGTAATTAAGATAAACTGAAAGTATCACAATATTGAAATAATCCTTAATTGTGAATAAGTAGATAAAATGGATTTTTTTGATTATATATTTATTATCATGTTTATTTTTTTTTGGATCTTTGAATTCTTTAAAAGCTTTTAATAATAAGGATATATTTAGTAATTTACAAAAAGAATGTAATATTTTATTGTTTAGAAATGAGTTAGTTTCTATTAATAAAAAAATGGGTGAGTAATCTATAAAAGTTGTATATAAATATATAAAATATTTGAAAAGAATGATAAAAGTTTGAATAAATTTTTAGGAAATTAATAATCTTTATAAACTTATTCTGTCCACTTATTTATAGATCCATTTCATTTTACATTTACATAGAGTTTTAAAAAAAAACATAAACATCTTCCTACAGTATTCCTTCTATTTAAACTAAATTAGATTAAGAGTAGAATTAAAAGATAAGTAGAAAAAGTTTTTTTTGTTAATGAATGATTATAGCAAATTAATTAGAGCTGTACGCTTTATTCATGAACTTATCCTTGAAATAAGGAAAATAAATACTCTATTCAACTTAAAAATATATTTTAATTCATAATAAGATATTGAATCTTTAATGGTAATTTCATTTTATTTTTAAAATCTCTATCTCCAAAATATTCGGAGAAATTGGCGATCCAATCGTATAAGTAGAAAATAATTATTAAATGATGATTTAAGATCTTCACTTATGAAATATTATTAGTCATTTGCTAGATCTCGATTAGTATTATTGAATTATATTAAATATTTTTAATTTCAAAAATTATTGGTAGATACTACTCTTAAAATCAACCTTTTAGACTCAGTGTTTTCAATCTCATGATAGACCTTCTTCATTTGTTATTAAACATTATGTTTATATTATTGAAAGAATTCTCGTTATTTAGAGATCTACAAACATTAAAATTAAACTTCGTAATAATCCTAAATTTTTTTATCCACTCATAATTGGGTTTAAGAAAAAACTATTATGCTTTCAAAAAATGAAAACACCATAAATTATCAAAGATAATAGATTTAAAATATAATGATGTTCTTATAAATTTAACTTTTTTTTGTAAGTATTTATTATAATAATTTTTTTTAATGTAATAATTTGATTTACCATTTCTCAGAAAATAAAAATATAATACAGATATTTGGAAAGGGAATACTTATAAAGACTATTCATTTGAAGAAGAACGCTCTTCACATATTTATAAGAAGAATCACCGAAGAAAAAGTTGTTATTGCTAATTGTGTGGTAAAATGAGTCTCTTTTAATTTACTTATATGAATGTTTCTACTTGTGTAAACTATATCAACAAGAATTTAATTCTTTAATAAGATATTGAAAAATAATAAGAACTAGAAATTTTAATCAATATCTAAAAAGATAAATAATTTAGAGATAATATTTCCTTAAATCATTCTCAAAAAAGCAAATCTATTGATTTATTCAATTGTATTCTATTTGATCATCCCTAAAGAAGTAGAAAACCAAAAAGTTGCGAATGTATTGAATGTGGAATTAAGAGTACTTTTTAATAAAAATATTAAAATTTGTATTTCACTAAAAAATAAATACAAGCTAATCAATTTAAAATTAAAAAGATTTTTAAAAGACCTTAATTTAGAAAATAGAATACAGAATAATTTTCACCTGTCAAAAATGGAGAGTTCAGATTTTTTAAAAAAAGATTACTTGAACTTGATTTTCATCATTCTAAATATGATAATCAACTATTCAAAAAGTTTTAAGTTACATTACCTTAAACTTAAAGGATTCTTCGTCATTAATAATCAATGAATCTATTTGAAATTATTCCAAGAAATAAAAATGATGTCCTATCACCTTTAAATAATAAAAAATAAATGCTACCTTACTTGTAATTTAATTAAACCAAAAGTCCTCTTTAAAAAATTACAAAAAAAACAGTCATCACTAATTAACAAAGAGAATATTTTAAAAAACATAACTAAAAATCTGGCATATTTTGATTATAAATAATTTCTTTGCTTTTTTTCTTATTTATTTATATTTTAGTAAAACATACCATTTTATTTTACAACAATAATTAAAATTATATTAAATTAATAAATAAACTTAGAATTCATAATGTCTTAATTGACTAATAAAAGTTAAATAATAAATAGGAACAAAAGTTTTATTCTTCCTAACTATCATTAATAAATTGGATAATTTAAATAAAGAAGAAAAAGTTGTCATTGTTATTTATGTGGAGATTTTAGTTCTCTTCAATTCAAGTTAATGAATTTATAATAAAAAATTTAACATTTTTCAACAATTAAAAAAAAGAAATATTAGAGTATTGAATCAACTTATATGGATTCATAAGATGCAATTATTGCTAATAATTTATTTAGTAAAAGAATTTCATAACCTATTTAAATTAAATAACACAATTTTAATAACAATAATTTAAGTCTTATTTATACAAGTTAAGCTTATTTTACAAAAAAATAAAGATCAAACAGTTGTTACTGTGATGAATGTGGAAATATTACTAAATTTTAGTCACAAGCAAAATCAATCTCAATCTAATAAATTATTAAATCTAGGCATACTAATTTTAGAATAAAAAGAAATTTAGATTAAATGTTTAAAGGAATTAGTCCTATTGAAAGAAAATAAAAATAAGAAATTGAAGATGATGAAAATAATCCATTATATTCTAATAAAATATAATAATTTAGAAGATCTATTTTAATAGTAAATTCACCTATGAAATAAACCTAAAAAATTTAATTAGGAAGTGGCAGAAAGATTTTCTTAAGAGATGCATGTAAAACAACATGCTTTACTAAAACTAACTCTAATTGTAGAGAATTTAAAATTAAATCTGAAAGCAATAGTCCAAATATTACTAATAAAAAATTAAATCTTCCAATAGTAAAATCATCTTATAGCAAAACAAGATAAGTTGGAAATGAAGTTCAACTTATTAAATTTACTCCTAAATTAAATAGTATTAATCTAATATCTTGAATTACAGATGACTATTAAATTAAAATTTTAATATTTATTATTTTTTAATATTTTATTTCTTTCAAGATATCCAAGTATTTTCAAACAAATGCAAAGATAAATTAATAAAAGAGATTACGCTATAAAATTTTAAATCATTTAAAATAAAATTGTTATATCAAGAAGTTTCATGACTTAATAAATTTAGGATGATGTTTTTGAATTATAAAAAGGTACGTTAAGAAGAAAGAGTTGTCATTCACAATTTTTTGGATACATGAATAAATACTAAATTCAATACCATAAAGTTTTACCTGAATTTAAAACTAAGTAAGGTATTTAAGATAAGGAGACTTAAGAAACCTATAGAAGATAAACTCAAATAGCTGAAGATACTATCATAAGAAGATTTAGAAAAGGCTTTTAAGATTTCAAAAAAAGCAAAACTGTTATATAATCTCTAAAAATGCTTTAAAAACATTTAAGACTGTTTTATTAAATAAGCACTTCAAAAGAAGAATGCTATTAGTAAAATAAGGAGGAATAGCTTTTTATGTCCACAATGTGATTCATATAGTTATCCCTTTTTCGGTTTCTTTAATTATATTCAATTTTTGAACAGGTAAATCATTAAATTTGATCCAAAAATAAGAAAATTGATAAAGATGCTATACCTTCATAAATAAATCATTAATAAATAAATATAAAACGATTCCAAGAACTATTAATTTATTATTAAAAATTTCTTAAACCAAGTTAGCTGGGGTCAAAACTGAATTTACATAATATTCACCAAAATCAAATAGACTCTTATCAAATAAAAATGCTTTGATAAAATCACAAAACATCATATATTTATCAAATTTTCAGACGATTCTATATAAGAATGAGATTTTAATATGAAAATTGAATATTATAATAAACAATATCTTTAATATATATAAGAATTATAATTTTTAGAATTTTTAATTAATATTAATAAATTCTAATTAGAGAATATATGATGAAAGAAAAAAGAAAACGAATGATGTCGGATGAAGGAGTTCTAGCAGTAGTAACTGATTAAATTCTTAGGGAAAATAAATCTAATCTCAGAAAATTAACTAAAAAATAAATTTAGTAATTGAAAAACAATAAACTAAATCAATCAGATTCATCAATAGAGATTATTGAGAAAAAAAGTCCTTTGAAATGCTAAAAGAAGATTAAAGTTACTAAAGAGGCTTTAGAAAGATTTATAAAAAGAACATTTATAGTTATAAGTGATGATGAGGCTTCAGTCAATTATAATGGTAATAAAAAAGTATATTTAATATGAAAATTTAGAACCAAACTTAAATATAAGTAAATAATGAATCAATTTCAAGATCTTCATCAATTTTATCTTCATCTTCTAGTAGCAGTATTTTATAATAATATGAAAAGAGCGAAAAAAAAGGAAAATAGTTTTAAAATTATGGTTAAAGATCAGATTTTGTATGAATTATAACAATATTTATTAAACAAATAAAAATATACCTCTGGTTCATATTTAATTTTCAAAATAAAATAAGCTAGTTTATAAATTTTTGAGAGTAATAATCATTTGTAATTGAAAATTATTTGGATTAAATCAATATTTTATTGAATTGATTGGAACAAAGCACTATTTTTAAATAACTTAAAAAAATTGTATAATTATGAAAAGTTAAATTTATGAATTGTAATATATATATTTAAAAATTCAAAATTTAAATGAACTTTAGTGAAATCTTTCCAGGAGTGATATTTGCTTAATTTTCACCAAATAGTAAGTTTATAGTGTTAAGCAATGGAACAAGAGTCATTGTAAAAGAAACAGATTAATTATAATCAATAAATTTTACTCATTCATAAATCACAGATGCTTAAATTTAATAAATAGAAATATCACCAAATAGTGAATTAGTTGCATTAAGTTATCCAAAAAAGGGATATATAGAAATAAGAAAGATAGATGATATTAATTGGTGTGCAAGAATTGATGATAGTATAGAATAAATTTAATGGTGTCCAGATTCTATTTAATTAGCAGTGATTAGCGAATTTTAAGTAAAAATAAATTAATACAAAATAGATTAAAGTATCTATTTATAATTTAAATAATAAAAATGTTACTCATTTAAAAAACCCAAAATAAATATCATTTAGTCATAATGGAAGATTTATGGTAATGAGTGAAAGAAAAGATGCTAAAGATTTTATTGGGATTTATAGTGTAAGAGATTGGAAATTACTAAATTATTAATGTTCTGATACTTTAGATACAGCATTATTATAATGGTCTTATAATGATTCATTCATAGGAATTTAAGACACAGAGTTAACTGTAAGTATATAAATAATAATAAATTAGTTTCGTTTAAATTTACATTGTCCATGTTAAGGATTATAAATGAAGTTTGAACCTTATTAATATTCTTTAGGGATAAAAGTAAGTAGATTTGCAAATCAAAGTGATTTAATGGCTATTGGAGCAAATGATGAAAAATTAAGAATAATAAATTTATTAACTTTAAAATAGATAACAGAATTAGAACATAAAATAACAAAAGATGTATTGATTTATAAAGAAGAAGAATATTCTGATTAATATTCATAGAGAGTAGTAACTAAATGTATATAAAAATAATAATAATTAATTAGTTACATAAATGGAGTAAGGTTGTAAGATAAATATATAAAAAACATAGAATGGAATAAGTTTATTAGAATGGAGTTATAAAGATGATTATATTGCTACAAAATTTGATGGAATGTAAAATTGTGTATTTATTTGGGATATGGAGTTATTAACATTAAAAGCTATAATGGTTTAAATATTACCAATAAAATATTTTACATGGTCAAAGAATTCAACAACTTTAACAGTTTGCACTGGAAGTAGTAAGATTTTCTTTTGGAATCCAACTTGTACATCAGCTTGCGATATGCCATTTGATAAAAACTTCCATGTTATTAAAATTGATTGGAGCAATGATTAAAAGAGTATGTTACTCTTTGATAAATCTGATGTTGTTGTTGCCTATCCTACTCTAGATGATAGTTTTTGATTAATTTTTATATTAAATCATCACATTTTGTTAACATTATAATATGATATATTATGTGATTTTTTATATGAAAATAAAGACTATATTAAATATTTGAAAATGAATAGTCTTATGCAATTCTTAACCAAATTAAATTACAATTAATATTTGCAATCAAATAAGCTAGCAGCATTCATCTGCTACTTCTGTTTCAGCTGATACATAATTATATTTTTTCCAACATTCTACTTCAATTACAGTTTGAACTTCTTTCCCTTTCTCTATTTCATCAATAAATGTTATTTTGTGCTTCTTAACTCCTTTCAATATTTTTGTACCTGTTTTGTCCTCTCTTGTTATTTTTTGTATTTCAATCTAATCTTAATTCACAATATTATTTGCTAATTCCATACTATTATAAATATGAACAAATCTTACTTTAGATCATTCCTTTAAAATTCATTTTTAGATCATAATATTCTTATATTCTACAACCTATCTAATATTATTCCAATTATACTATATCTTAACACTTATAACATTCATACTATTATCTAAAAACTATACATTATTCAATTAAACAACTCAAAACTATAATAAAATGCATTAAGTAATTAAATATATTAGATAAATTTTCTATTACATTTCTTGTTAAAAACCTTAAATAATAAAGATACTGGTTCTTTATGTAATATTTTTATAACAATAGCTTTTTGCTGATATACATTAAAATAGAAATTATTAATAATTAATAATTAAAAAATTAAATCGAATAAAAAATTCATTTATTTATTTTACTTTTACAAAAAATAAAGAATTTTGTTAACAATTTATCTATTATGCGATTTGATTGATAATTAATAATTTTAAAAAATAATAATTAAATATCTTTGATATTAAAAAATAATGTAATAAGGTATTCCCTTTTATTATGATAATTTAGTAATTTATAATACAATTTCTAATAATATTGTAAATTTGAATATTTATTTCATTTCTTTTTATTACTTTTGAACATATTTTAGATTGGATCATAAGGATCAGGTTCTGGTTTCCATCCTTTTTAATATTTCCAAGTTTTTGGAATTTTTCTATCTTATGGTTTAAGATCTTTGTTTCTTGTTTTATTATATTGATCAGTTTAAAACTTTTCTAATGCATCTCCTTTGCCATAGGTTCTATTAATAGTAATTTTATTAGGATCAACTTAAATTTTTTCTATTTCCTTTTGATATATATATATATTTAGAAATACTTATTATAGATTTTTAATTTATTCATCTATATTATATGGTTTAGTAGCATCCTCTAATTTAAGATTTTCTGAATTGCCTGCTAAAAATCCCCAATCTCTATTCCAAGCAGCTGTACATGTTAATTCATTATTAACTCTTCCTATCCAATTTCTATCATCTGCTACAGGATCTCCAGTTGAAACGAATTTTCCTCCAGCCTACTTTTATTAAACTTGTTTTGGCATAAATGTTATATGATATAAATATTAATAAATTAAGTTACATTAAAATAAAGTATAAATATATATATTAGGCTTGTTATTATTAATATATATCAACTAATTAATAAAGATGATAAAAACAAAAAGAGTTCATTAAATATTATAATAGTTGTATGTTTCATCTTTTTTTATTGGAAAATCTTTCAAGCACTTTATTCAATGAGTCTTGATGCATTTTAACTTTAGGTGTGACTGATAGTAATTGACTCATATTAATAATAGTATATTTTGGTTTCTTTTTAATTGGAGATTATGAAATATTTTTTTATTTTTGTTATTCTTCTTGAGTATATGTAGGAGTGAATTTGAATCGAATTCGACTTTTAGTAGTAGAAGGAGCATAAAAGTTAGCACTAAAAGAACTTATTTAGTAAGCTTAACTTTAAGTTGGTCTATGATGATGTAAAGAATTAATTGAAGTTTATTGTTGGTTAAACTATTTTGGTTAAGATAAAGTTCTTATTCTATGACTACTATTTTCTTAGATTCTTCTTTCTAATTTAGGTAAATAACCTGTAAATAATGTATCTAAATAACATTATTCTTCTATATCCCATCCTGAATTATCACATAAATTCATTTTAAATATATAATTTAATTAACTTTCTTAGTATTAAGTTGCAAAAAGTAATCAATTATATTTGATATCCATTAATATATTAGTTAATATTATTAATTTATCATTCTATAAGCCACATTAAATGCAGAATATTGAGTAATAAAATAAAAATATATATATATAATGAAATAATCTATATTAAGATAAAGAAAAGGATCCTTTGATTCTTAACTTAATATTTCATTATTTCAATCAAATTTTATAACAGGTGATTTGAAAAAATAAGTTGATGATGAGATTATTAATTATTAAATTGATGATGAATTTGAAATGATAGAAAAATGTAATATTATTTATTAAATTAGAACCAAAAAATATACCTATAACTTTGTTTAATAATGATTAATTACATTAAGTTACTAAAAAATAATATTTAGCTGATGATTAAAAATTATAATTAGCAGCTACATTAATTCAATAAAGAGGTATTCCTTATTTAAAGTAAATATTTAATCATATATTTATAGAAGAAAAGCTATTTGGATGACTTTTATTGAAAAAGGAGATGCTAAATTATATTTTGATAAGAAACCTCCTTAAATTGTAGAAGATTAAATATAAAAAGATGTTCCAAGAAGTGGTTATGATGATAAAATGAATTATAAAAAATATACTAATCTTTTATATAGGATTTTATGTGCATATGCAATTTATAATCCTAAAATTGGATATACTTAAGGAATGAATATTATTTGTGGAAAGATTATTCTATTATTAAGCATTGATGGAAATGATAAATAAGTAGAATTAGATAATGTTGAAGTTATTGAAAATGAAGAAGAAATGTTTTGGATGTTTGTACATCTAATGAAATCAATGGAAGATTTATTTATTTAAGGAGTTCCTGGTATACATAGAAGAATTCATTAATTAGAATAAATGTTAGAAAATAGATGTAATTAAATTCTTGTACATCTATAATGTAATAATATTGTAATTAAATATTAATTATTTTTAGGAAAACTTATGCTTTTGTTTTAGTTAATATTATTTTACTATGTTAATGTAAAAGTAAGAAAAAAAGTTTACTAGATTAATATTAGAAATGTTCTTATTATATGGAGAAGCATTTATTTAAAATTTTATAGTAGGAATATTAGAATTTTATTCAATTAGAATAACAAGAATGAATGAATTAGAAAGATTAATGCCATTTTTTAGAGATACAATGTTTACTTCATATTATTAAGAATTGATAAAACTAAAGAAACAGAACTAAATCGTTTAACATTTTTTATAAAATCACTATTTTGAAAAAGAACCATATTTTATTAAACCCTAATTCATTCCTATAGTATAAATTGTAGAAAAAAAAGAGTAAAAGTTAACCCCAAAAAATATATTAAATCTATTACATAAAAATATTTTTGGAAAAATTCTTGGTTAATGATTTATATATACTCAAATATTTTATTTATCATCCTAAACGTATACCTTATCCTTAAAAGAAATTTTATCTTTATGGTTACTAGAATTATTAATTAAATCTGTTTCTTGCGAAAGGTGCATATTTAACAATATGTTTATTCACAAAATTTTTACTAAAATAATATAAATATAAGATCTTTACAAAAATTAAGGTGTTTCTAATAGTGCAATACTATGTGTAACTGGAAGGAAATCTTTCAATAATAAATATGAATGGGCAATTCCTAAACCAATTAAATCTTAGACGATATCTTAATCTGTTATTGCATGAAAACCAATTAAAACCCAAGGAAAATATTCACTTTTAAATTAAAATCCAAAATAAAATCTCACAGTTTCAAATGGTTTTCTTTTACACCATACATAAATTAATGCAAAACAAAATGCAGATGATAGAAATCCATAATCAAATAACCAACTCATAATCTATATAATCTATTTTATTACATCTCCTGTTATAAAAAAGTAAAGAATCATATAGTAGAAATCTGCATAATTAGATCCTTCAAACATTATCTCACAGTTTTTTATGCAAAATATTATAAATAACAAATGCAAAATAAAACTAAAACTTAATGTGCCACTAAAAAAGAAATGAGTAAATAATCTATGAATCTAATTTTACATTTTTTTAATACTTAGAGACTTAATATTTTATTAGCATCAAACATTATATACCACAAATATGATGGTTTGAATTTTCCAATTATTCCAAATAAAACTAAAACACTCACATATGTTCTTGTAAAAAGTGGTTGTGTTTTATACCAACTATTGAAATCATTTATCATATTGACGTGTTATTTTATAATAAAAATATTGAAATTAATTAAAGAATATTCTCTTTTAAAAAGAAAAAATACATTTAATCTATGAAATTTTTATAGCTTACAAACTTTTCATTTTATTTTATTTACAATCATACTAATATTAAAATATTACAAACTTTAGTTTTATACATCAATTAATTGAAAACAGAGTAATTTTTATTTCAAAATTTTCAATACAACATACATGCCCGAGTGTATTTTTTTATTTTAATATATTATACTCAAAATCTACACATAAAAAGTTTTCAAAATGATTTTATTACTATTATTGATTTCAATTATTTTATAATACCCAAAAATATTTTTTTATCTAATATATTAAAATAATTATCATTTCTGATATATCATTAAATTGGTTTCGAATCAAAGCCTAATATCCTTTTTAAATGGTTTTATAGCTTGTTTTATAAATAAAAGATATTTAAATTTATAAATTCAAAATTAAAATCAAGCTATATTAGATTTAATTGAGTAGCCTTAAAAATTTTATTTTAAATCACATTAATCAACACAAATAATCTAACACTTAATATTTAATTAATTATTTGAATTTTGTAGTTCATATATCATATTCTTTTTCTTCTTGTACATTTCTTAATTTGATATAAGACAAGTATTACTATCTGTAATGTTCTAAGTTCTTGATGAATTAAATTGCCTTAATTTATAACATTTGATTTTCTAAATAATATTTTTTATCCAGAGTTTAATTATTTCATTCCTTCAATGTCTAATTAATTATTCTCTGCCTTTAATACCCTTCTATGCTTATAAATCGTTTATTGTAATAATTATTTTTACAATCTAGATTAATATATGAATTACCTAATAGAGAATAAAAGTTAAAAGAAATGATATTAAGATAAGGAGTTTTCTTTATTGTAGTAAATTAGAGCCTTTTGTTGATTATATTATTAAAATAAATAGATTTTTAAAAGAATCAAAAGATCTTTGATGAAAAATGGTGAGATGACATATCTTTCAACTTATTAGGGTAAATAACAGTTTTACAATATAAAATAAATTATCTTAAAAAATGGAGAATCATAGGTTTGATTCCTACATTTATGTGGAAAATAGAAATAACTCAAAAATACAAAAATGACTAGAAATTGAACCTATTACTACGATTAATTGTAATTGTAAATTCTTAAAAAAAAGATTTAATTTAATTTTAGATGAAAAAAAGTTGAAAATTGATACAAAAAAAACAAGCTAAAAATATACAGAAATGGATAAAATTTAGATTTTTAAAGTAGAATGTTTAAAGATAAGAGATTATTTTTACTAATAAAGTGAATATTCAGTAAATTAGTTATTATTAATTGTGTTTTTAAATATTTTAAATTAATTGTATTTATTTTTAACATAATTTCAATTTCTTAAATTATAATATATTGAAGAAGATTTTAGTACTAAAACTTTTGTAAGCAATTCAGAGAAAAAAATATGGATACACTTTAAAATGTTGTATTTTAATTATTTAAAAATTAGTATAACAAATACATAGTAAATTAGAAAATGAAACATGGAATACTTAAAAGATAAAAGAGATATCTAATTGAGATAGATGTATATACCATAATAATAATATTTAAGGAAAATATACTTGTTTTGGATTCAATGCTTAATTTGGTTAATAAAGTGTTAGAAACTTTACATAGACTTTATTAGTATCTAAAGGAAAAGAGAAGAATATTATAGATCTTATAATAAAAATGACCAGATACAATTATTGTATTTGGATATATATCAAAATCTATCCTAGTATTAAACTTGGATAGCAAATAATATTGTCTTTAAATATATATATAAATATCATTAATTTTATTATTAAAAGTAATCACTAAAGCTATATTTTTTAAATCCATCTTTTAAGATGTTAAGTGTCATTATTTCTTAATTTTATTCAATCATCTTTGTCTATTGTTCAATGAGTAATTACTTTAATTGTTCATTTTCTTATCTTACTAATTCCATTTCTAATTCAAAATCATGATTTTTTAGTAGTAATTTTAATATTCTTTATTCTAACTATTTTTATTCTTTGTTTCTTTATGGAATTTAATCTATAATTAGAATTATTATTACTATATTCAAGTTCTTGCTATATGTACTCTTATAACTTCGATTGTTCTTTTACTTTGTTAACTGTTTCAACAACTTCACTTCTAATTCGGTTTCCATTTTTTTAAATTGAATTTATCTTTACTCCAGAATTACCACTAACTCTCACAAGTTTCTCTGGAGTTACAAATTTTTACTAAAGACTTGGTGAATGAGATGAATTACGAGAATTTCTCAAATACAAAGAATTAGAAGGTGTTCTGTTCATATTTAATTAATTTTTGACTTCAAAAATATAATTATATATATTATACTAATATACTTTCTCAATAGTTTAATGATAATGCTTATTAAGACATTTCAGAGAAACTATCAATAGCAATTTTCGCCAATCCATTAATTCCCCAAGTATCACCCCAAGTATTTTCTATAATCCAATACTATTAAGCATTTAATTCACCCCATCCTATTATTTTGATAGCTTATCCTCCATGAAAATGTGGTTAACCTTCTAATACTTGATAAATGCCATCTCTATAAATTAAAAAGTCCTTATAAACTGGCATAATTGCAACTACAGGACCATTTATCAAAAGATCTCTTTTTATATCCTATAATTTAAATTATAATAATAATACTTCTTTATTCTATAATTAACAATAAGAATGAGCTTTATATCTTTAACAATGTGCAAGTGCATTTGTACATTCTTTAAATGTATCATCTCCTCTAAAAGGATGACATTAATTTGTAGTTAATCCATGTTTTATTATATAATCAGCTGATTTTGTTAAATGTCCTCCTTTACATCCTAAATTTAATTTACCATCACAAGATAATAAATTTTAAGCAGACAATTGTTAAGTCTAATTTTATTTGCATACTCTATCTGAGAATGAAGAAGATACAGCAATAGAATAAGATGACGAACAATTTCCTTAATTATAAACTTGATGATTGCATTATGGATAACTTTCTTTAAAATTGTAATAAATAGGGATTTCATCATTAAATGATAATTTACATTTTTCCACATTTATTTATTAAGTGAAATCGTTTTTAAATAATGTTTTTGCTTACATTAATGTTATATTCTATTGTCATTATAATAATTAAAACATAGAAAAAAGCATTTGGACCCAATGTGTATGAATGACCTTATGAATTATGTGATTTTATTTCAGATTCATTTATGATAATATATTCTTTTGTTTACTTGGTAAATGATAAAATAGAAATAATTAAAAAACCAATCACAACTAAATATTCTTAATACTTTAATTACTTGATATTATGATATGAATTTTGTAAGTAGTTATAAAATCTGGTTTTACAGTTCTTTTCTTAATTGCTGTTTATAATAACTTTAGTTTTTCAACTTATTCTTTAGTTGGACAAGGACTAGTTGAACGTGGTCCACGCATTCTTAATTAATTAATAATTAATAATTATTTAATCATTTTTATCATAATTCAAATGTCTTAAGAACAACTAATGTTTGATGAAATCTCTGTAATTCTAATTATTTATAATTAGGATATTATAAGAAGCACAAGAATCATTGATGGATATTTACTTAAAGCATTACATTGTATCATTAATGATTACTAATAAAATTTGGATTCAAATACATTATTAGAAAAATTAAACAATACAGAACATTTAGTTTGCAATAAATATTGTTTATTAGAATCTAAATCTAATCTACTTAGATATATATTAAATACTGAAAATTACAATGTAATTATTTATTATATAATCTAATCTAGAATAAGATCAAAATTATTACTTTTTTGAATTCTCTCATCTAATAATAAGAGCTTAAGTCTATTTCTTAATTAAAATAAGTATCCAAATCTAATTGTATTCTCATCCATCCTAAAAAAAATAAAACTAATTAAACTAAACATTCTCCTAAAAAGTGCTTTGATATTAAACCTAAATATTTTCATTCAAAATCTTAGACTTGGATCTTTAACTCTAAATAGCACATTTCTAAAATATTAACAATTAAAGTAACTCAATAATTTCAGCTAGGACAGAGAATTATCAAAATTATAAACTTTGTAAACACAACATGATGATTACTCTAGATATCGTTCATGGTCTATTCAGTAAGAAGAACTAAAATAAGAAAATAAATTGAAATTTGATTATTAACAAAAATCAAGTAGATAACTTAGATATTCAATTACTACTTCCACTTCTCCTAAATAAAAAACTTAGTTTTTCACTTAAACTAATAAAGATCAAGATTATACTATTTAAATTTAAAGGTTGAAAAATGAAATATTTCAATTAGAATCTAAATTAAAACTTAATAATTGATTTTAACGTATACAATCATTTACTATAACTTTTATCTAATCTATAAATATTTTTAAATCATTTTGATATCAAAAATATTAAGATATTTTTATGTATTTATACTTCAAAATTCATTTTTTCAATAATTACTCTTTGTTATAATATTATTAATAGTAATTCTAAGTATTTTTGATGTAAATTCTGTATTTAATCTATTTGAGCAACTAGTCTTAGATTTCTATTTCCATTTTCTATATTATATCATTCATTTATCTTTCTTTTTTCATTTTAAACAATAATGTNTACTTAAAGCATTACATTGTATCATTAATGATTACTAATAAAATTTGGATTCAAATACATTATTAGAAAAATTAAACAATACAGAACATTTAGTTTGCAATAAATATTGTTTATTAGAATCTAAATCTAATCTACTTAGATATATATTAAATACTGAAAATTACAATGTAATTATTTATTATATAATCTAATCTAGAATAAGATCAAAATTATTACTTTTTTGAATTCTCTCATCTAATAATAAGAGCTTAAGTCTATTTCTTAATTAAAATAAGTATCCAAATCTAATTGTATTCTCATCCATCCTAAAAAAAATAAAACTAATTAAACTAAACATTCTCCTAAAAAGTGCTTTGATATTAAACCTAAATATTTTCATTCAAAATCTTAGACTTGGATCTTTAACTCTAAATAGCACATTTCTAAAATATTAACAATTAAAGTAACTCAATAATTTCAGCTAGGACAGAGAATTATCAAAATTATAAACTTTGTAAACACAACATGATGATTACTCTAGATATCGTTCATGGTCTATTCAGTAAGAAGAACTAAAATAAGAAAATAAATTGAAATTTGATTATTAACAAAAATCAAGTAGATAACTTAGATATTCAATTACTACTTCCACTTCTCCTAAATAAAAAACTTAGTTTTTCACTTAAACTAATAAAGATCAAGATTATACTATTTAAATTTAAAGGTTGAAAAATGAAATATTTCAATTAGAATCTAAATTAAAACTTAATAATTGATTTTAACGTATACAATCATTTACTATAACTTTTATCTAATCTATAAATATTTTTAAATCATTTTGATATCAAAAATATTAAGATATTTTTATGTATTTATACTTCAAAATTCATTTTTTCAATAATTACTCTTTGTTATAATATTATTAATAGTAATTCTAAGTATTTTTGATGTAAATTCTGTATTTAATCTATTTGAGCAACTAGTCTTAGATTTCTATTTCCATTTTCTATATTATATCATTCATTTATCTTTCTTTTTTCATTTTAAACAATAATGTATTTTCTTAATATATAAAAAATGATATGAATCAATCTAAATTTATCAATAAATATGGTAAAAATAAGTAGTTATTGGTTTCAATATTTTTAATTAATTTTAACAATTGAATTCAACTTAAGTATACATCAAATATGCTTCGATTTAAATTAAATTTGATCTTATATCCATAAATCAATAAATTCCATACATATTGATATTTATTTTATGAGTTTTTTATTGTATCTCTTGTAATTATATGTTATCCAATCAAATTATTTGATAATTTTTTTGTTTTTACATTTCTTATATTAACTATATTAACTACTCTATTTTTTAATATTCAATGAGAAATTAATTTATTTTTATTGATGATAATGGTTTAATTTTTAAAATAATTAGCATAATGTAATACTAATTACTTTTCAATATTAAAGACCTTTATATATATATAAAAAATACAAATTTGGAATATTATTACAAAATTTTCGCAATTTAAGCAGACTATTCGAAATTTTATTTGATCAAAGTAATTTATATATAATACTTATATCATAGTTTAAATTTTGTATAAAATCTATTTATATAACGAATTCCTGTAAGACTCGCTTAAAAACTTGTATTAGTTTCCAGTAACAGTAACTGATTTAATCATTTATGATAATAGAAGAATATTGAAAAGTTTTTATGGTAAAATGATAATGCAATAAAACATTTTCACATTAGTTTAAAAGATAAGATAAATCAATGTAATTGGTAAGTATAATATGAAAATGATATTATAAAGCACAATAGATATTTAGTGAATATTTGATAATAAAAATTAATAATGGATAATTAAAAAAAGTGCCTTTTTGAAAAATTTGGGGGAGACCAGCAAGTTTCTGAACTAATAGATTAATTCTATTATAAAGTGCTGTTTGATAAGTTACTTAGAGAAAAATTTTTGAAGGCAGATATGAGTAGAGTTCGATATCAATAAAAACGATTCTTTGCCTAAATGATGGGCGATTCCAATACTTAATATACAGGAAGGTTGTTTATTTGTTTATATATTAATAGAGATTTAATAGAGGTCCACAAAAATCTCAACATCAATAACTAATAATTTGATAAATTTAAAACACATCTCAAAAATATTGCAAAAGACATGGAAATACCAAGTGATGATATAGATGAGTTACTTCTACATGTTGAAAAACATAGAAACCTAATTGTTTTCTAAAAATGATAAAATGCTTATGTATTTGGTTATTCTTATATAAAAATATCGAAATATTTTTATCATATTAATTTTATCCAATTTATTTAGAAATTCTAAATTGCATCATGTACTATTATATATTAATTGATCTCAAATATTAATAATATTCATAGTCAATTATTACGCAACATTGTCGCATAAAAAATCTGGGTAAAATTCGTACTATTAAAAAGTAAATTAGTTTATTTGTTATATGAATATGAATAAAAAATCAAATTTAACTAATGCAATGTCTTTTCTTTAAAGATTAGTTTGTTTTAATAGATATTTATTACATTTCACATTTTAGCTAATTTTTCTTGAATAATGGAATTAAATAGACATTTTAATATTTCTTAGTTTTAGCTATATTAGTTTCTCTTTAGAAAGGGGATCTTTGTGTTAGTGATTTTTATGAATGATTTTCTAAGAATGGTTTATTTGGTTAACTTATTTTTCGAATAGGACTTTATGGTTTAGATGAAATTCTAAAAGTATTTAATTAATCTAAATTAAAAAAGGAGGATTTTTTTTGTTTTTATTCAACAATCAATTATAACTTTTCTTCAGAATTAGTTAAAATAATGCTTTAACGAAATCTAGTATGATGAGCAAATCTACTTTATCTTCGAGATGATAAGAGTGATGATTTCTTGAGAATAGGAGAATCTTCTAATTGAGGAGAGAATTCGTCAGCATTTAATGAAGATTAGGTTTAAGAAATGATAATTTATTATTTTTTAAGAATTGGTCTTTGTTTGTATTTAAAAAGTGGAATATGTTGTGTTTTATATTAAAATTAACTTTAAGTTCCACATTCTGAACAATAACAGCTTCTTCTTCTATTTTTGTTAATCTTGATAAAGTTTTAGAGATCTGATTTATATGTTGATTTTGGTGTATTATCTCTTTATTATTAAGTAACGATAGGTTTGTATGATTTGAGATAGAAATATAAAGAGCCTTTTTGATCATTACATTTAGAATTAGTATGATGATTGTGTCTACTCATCATTATTTATTAAATATGATATTAAATGTTAATACAAATTGTATATGCAAAATTATTAGTTCTTTTTTAAATGTTATATCTCATATAATAATAATATTGATACAGAAATCCTAATATATTTTTATTTGAAATATATTTAATAACATGATTAAATATATTCATTTATTTCTATTTATCAAAATAAAGATTAAAGTTATCAAATCAAGTTCTGAATTGTTATCTATCCAATTAATATGATATTATTAGTTAATCTTTATTTTTACTATTTTCTCAAATATTATATGTTTTTAACATATTTTAAATAGGTAAAACCAATTCTAATAGATTTAATAAATTCTAATATTTTAAATCAATTCTCTCACAATAATCATAAATTAATGATTATATGTTTCCTTAAATCTATATTAAAGAAATTATTGCACATCTATATATTGTAATTATATACACCAAGAATTAAATAAGGAAGAGGATTAATTCAATGTTAAATTTATGTAATCATTATTTGATTATATTAGATCTGATTTTATTTAATATCTTGTGTTATATAGGGACTATGATATTTTTATGATTTACCTCTTTAGATATCTGAATGTTGGTATGAATGTTGAAAAGATAATTGAATTCAATTATATTTAAAAATAACAATTAAAGTATGTTATTTGAGAAACTAAAAATATATAACACAAAAGAAAAGCTTTTAGAAAGATTAAAAGAAATTAAGAAAGAAGAGGAAACTAAAAAAAATAAAAATACCCCAATTAAAGATAAAGTAAAACGAACTTGTAAGTAACATTTGGAGTCAATAATTTAGTTTCAACATCTTAATCATAAAGAACAACATTAAATAGTTTAAATAGATTGTCAACATCACCTAAAGTTTAATGTATTTTGGATATTGAGAAAATAAAAATGCCTCTTACTTTTGAAAGATATCAGAATATAACAAGGATGACTGAAATACCAATCAGATAGCAGTTTTATTATTGTTAATTATTAATAGATTATCCACTCCATAAACTCCATAAAAGAGTATTCTTGAAAGATTAAATGAATAAGAAGAAGAAAAAATGATCAGAGAATTAATTGATAATTATAAACCAGAATTGTATGATGATATGATGGAAAATGATTAATTAGAAATTGAAAGATAAAATGAAGAAGCACATACTAATTCAATGAAATAGTTTTCATATCAAGATTATAGTCCTTAAAGGATGAATATGATTAAAAAACATTAACATCATCATCATAAATCAAATCCATCTAAAAATAATTAGAGATATGAGGATTAAAAATAATAATACTTATAATAATTATAATATAAGGGAGACATTAATTCAGAATTCAATACTGATAGAGGTAAATATATGAGGAAATTTAGATTGGCTAAGTAAATAATACATTCTATTATTCTAGTAAAAATTTGAATAAAGTTTCATAAGAAGACTATAGAAAAACCATGAAACAATTTAACAAATTAGAAGATTATGCATCCTTTTATAAATAAACTCCGAATTTGTATATGTAATTAAATAAAAGTTCTCATTAATAATAAATATTTTAAAGTGGTTTAGGATTAGTTTAGTAATGTAATCACATTTAAGTTGCTAATGCATAAGCATAAATTAGATCTCCATAATAAGTTAAAGTATTCTCTGATGCCCTTAAAACTTAGCAATGCAAAACTTTAACACATCTTAAATTGAATCATAATAAGCTTAATTCATTCAAGTATACTATTCTCTTATTTCTACTAGAATTCAACAATTAACAAAGTCATTCCCATAACACTTATAAGAATTAGATTTAATGAATAATGGATTAGATTCTAAATCTTGTCTCTTATTATCAAAATACATTCAAAAATCATAAATAAAAAAAGTTAATCTAGAAAATAATCGAATAGGAGATATTGGGAGTAATGCTTTATGTTAAGCAGTGTAAGATCACGACTATTTATTATACTTAAATTTATCAAAAAACAATTTAACTGAACATTGTTGCATTGAACTTTCAAACTACATAAAAAAAACACAGGTTCTATTTGAATTATATCTTCATTTTAATTCAATAAATAGTGTTGGAGCTATTAATATATGGAAAGCATTGTATAAGAATTCAAGTGTAAAAGTTTTTGACATCTCTTATAACAGAACAGCTTCTTTAGAATGTTCTTAATAAATGGCCAAAGTAATTATTAAATAGTATCCAGAACTGATGCATATAGACATTTCATATAATGGTTTTAATGAGGAATAATCTATTGAAATAAAAAAAGCATTAGATTAAAATTAAAATATTTATGGATTTCATTACTAAGGAAATTGTCCAAAATATTCAGTAGATTCAACTGGTCATTTAAGAGATAGAATATAAGAGGCAATAGAGATATAAAGAAAGATAGAGGAATGTAAAAAGAATCCATAAACAACATTAAAATTAGTAGATGATAATTTAAATCCTGAAATGTTAATATAAGAGTAATAGTAACATTAAAAATATTAACAAAAAAGAATAAAAGATTTATAAACAGATTATGAATTATATAGAAATTTTAGATTTAGAAGAATATGTGGAATGAAACCAATAAAATAAAATTATGACACAGATAGTGAATTAGATGCATGTTGGATATGTGATGGTTGGTAAGAAGTTAAATTTACATGGACTCCTGGTAAATCTGGTGGAATGAACAATGATCCTATATTTGTACATTTAAACTTTGAGAATTATAAACCAGTATTAATGACATTACATAATGGAGAATATTATGCACATAAAATGTGTCCTCCAAATTTTAAAGTTACATATTTTTATAGTAATCCTGTTCTTGGAATATAAACAACAGCTAAAAATTAATTAATTACATAAACTCCTTAAGATGATCCTTTATATTCTACTAAATAATCATTCTTATATAATGGAGATATACTTATAGAAGGAAATAAAATGGGATTTGTTAATGAATTATTTACTGAAGATAAATAATCAATTATGGATAGATATTTTGCTAAAATATTTAGTAAACCTAGAGAAGAAGAAAAAACATTTGATTTAACTTAATTTTTAACTAAAACAGAGAAATTTTGGAGTTATGAAATATCTATATTTAAAAATTATTAACCAGATAATGATGAATTAATTGATGAATGTTTTGAATATGATTATGGTAGTTCTAAAATTAATAAAATAATTAAAGATCCTATTGAATATAATGAAGTTAAAGAAATAATGAGAGAATATTATCCATTTATTTTTGCAGCATATAAATTTTTAGCATCTACACTTATTGGTGCAACTATTCCATGTATTTCATCTAATGCTTTTTCTGATTTCTTATCTACGACATAAGTTGTTTCAGAGAAATTTAGATCTGGAGATATTGATTTAAATTTTATTGCTACTTCTAATGTAAAAGATATTAATTATCCTAATGTTTATGAAAAAGCACTTGTAAGATACCAATTAATGGAAGTTTTAGTTAGAATAGCCATTGATAAATATTTAAGAACATAAATTTGTAAATCTATTAAAGAAAGTTTAAGAAGAATGTTTGAAGAAGATGGAATCAAATTAAAATTATAAGAAATTGATCGTAGTCAAGATTGGAGAGATATGAGATATTGGAATGAATAATGTGACATTTTATTAAGTAATTTATATCATTAAATATTCTAATAGAAGATAGATTACCTATGTTAAAACTACTTTTCAAATTTACATCTAAATTAAATGCTAAATAAAAATATTATAAACACATTTGGTTATAATTTAAAGATTTCAGAGATTTATTAAATAAATGTGATTTATATTGTGATATTTTTGTTGAAAGAGATGCTTATCTTGCTTATTTATTAGCTATGTAAACATCAGTTGATGAACTATATTTACTCAAACATTTTTAAATGGAATTTTATGAATTCTTAGAAGCATTAGCAAGATGTGCTGAAAAATTATCAATTATTAGAACTAATGATTAATTGACTATTGATGATAGAAGATAATAACCACTCTTTAAAAAATTAGATGCACTTACATATCTTATTTACATTAGATTAGGAGAAATTATCAAAGCATAATTTCGAGAATCTGATGATCTTTCTGATTTTGATAAGTGTATGTCAAAAACTTATGGTCAAATACTTAAATAACCAAATCCTGATGAAGATGATTAAAACATTGAAAAAATAACACCTTAATAAGAAGAAAAAATATTAGAAGAATAACTTAAAACTATTGTTGTTCAAACTATCATTACTATGGTAATCATTTTTATTTATTTTATATAGCCTTAATAACAAAGCAAAAAATCTACTGGAATGACTTTCTTATAAGTTATTAAATAAGCACAATAATAAAAATAATTAAAAAATACATTTAATCTAACTAATGTTGTTTAATATTTTAGAAATAAAGAAGAAGAGTAATAATTAAAATGATTATAATTTTGATTAATATTATTAAAATCAATCTTATATATATATTAAATTTACTAAAATTTCATATCTATTTATTTACTATTATTTAAAAGTTTATTTATTTTCTTACTATGTTGAATTAACTAAATAAACTATAGAGAAACTGAAATATTTACAAAAAATTCATGAATAAAAAATAAATCGAAAAATTTTGAAAAAACCACTTAAAATAAATGGTTCATTTAAACAAACTAGATGGATCACAAACTTAAATTTCAAATGATTATTTAAGAATAATTAAATTTGACTTAAAATACAATTTAATAATTTTTCAATGAATCTGCACCTACAATTTAGGAATGATATACTTATCTTAATTCCTTATTTTATTTTCTGAATTAATAGTTCCATAACTTAAACATTTGTAATCTAGACATTCTTCTTGATTACTTTATAAAATTAATTCATCCATTTCCTATTTACTTATCATTTTAATTTATCTAGAGCTTAGGATATCCATTTTCTTTACAGATTCCTATAAATCCTCTATTTTTTATGAAAATTGAAGGGGATGTATTAAAATTTATCTTACATCCAAATATTTATTTATCAATTAAGATTATTGATTAAAAAAGCCTCTTTATCCTGAAGAAATAATTAGTTAAAATATATTAATTTCTTTCTTTTTACCTTCTTACAGTTAATGATCTTTTTAATGACCTTTAGTCTAATGATTGACTAAAAAATTGATTAGAAAAAGCCTATATAGAATAGATTATAATGGAAATATTGCTATGTCTATTAAAGCTCTAATAATTGTAAATAAGCCTCCTATTTTGGCAGCTACATCCATTAAAGTTTAATATGTAATAGAACAAACTTTTTTTTTAGCATCTAAATGAACTTCAATTCTAGCTAATGTAGTAGCATCTTAGAAATAAAGCACACTATCAGTGATTGTTTTTTAATATTCAACTCCTTCATGATATTCTATTTAAGGAAAAAAATAGAATGGATTGTATTCAAGAAAACTTTATGAATATTGCAAATAAATTTTAATGTATTTACCAACATTGTAATAAAGAGATGTTAAATCTATATTTTCAGTCTTTTAATATGGAGAATCTTCTGATTCTTTATTTAGTTAATGGAAAGAATATGAATAATAAAGGTTGCCATTTGTTATATATTTATCAATTTCTTCTTGAGATGCACAATCTAAAATTATTAAATATAATACTTGAAACTTCAGAGTTGTTTGCACATCTTTCAATTAATGCTCCAAATAAAGTAAAATTATCATAACGATTTGATCCTTAAATTCTGATGATAGGATTCTCTTGAATGTACTAATCACTCAAACAATAAGTCATATTTTCATATACGCTGGCTATATTTAATTTCTAATTTAATTTATATATTTGTTACTTTAGATGCTTCTCTTATTCTTTCACCACAAATAGTACCTGGTATGACTACACATTCTGTTTCATTTAATGATTTATTGCAAACATAAAATCCAATCTTAAATATTCTGTTGTCTTCATTTGGAATAGGTTAACCCAAAATATCAAGCAATCCAGCTGAAAAAATCAATTCAGTGGAATTAAAACTAAAGCCCTAAATATTAATATTTTAAACAAATACCTCATTATTTTGTATGACAGCATCTTAAGAATTCATAATTGCATTTTTCCCTTTGTTCATTTCAATAATAAATAAACTACCTGAATAGATAAGAATACTAAATAATAATAAAGTCATTAATGCTCCAATCTAAGTTTGAAAAACAGATTAGCCTGATGCTTTCAGCCGTATTTATTAACCAAAAATATCAAATTTTCGAAAGTTTTTTGTAATCTACATCAGCATTCTATAAATAAGATTAATTATTTTTTATTCATTAACTTTTTTATGTTGTAAATGTATGAAAATTTAATTCATTCAATTATTCTTATAAAGCTATAGAAATTGGTTTCAGATAAAATATAATTAAATAAAAAGTTATTAAATCTTGTAAAATTTAAATATAAGACAAGATCAAAATCTTACTTTATTTATATTATGTCCTTCCAATATATATAATAAAAATTTTGATAATTTTTCATCTATCTATATAAAAAAATAATAATATCTTAATAATAGAATACGACTAGCAATTTATTGCAATTGATAATTTAATATAATCATTTTTTTTAATTATTTTATTTACAGATAATTATATTATGATTGAGAAGAGAGTTGTTAAATTTTAATTTCTTTTTTTATAGTGAATCTTCATAAAGTCATTTCATTCATTTAAAATAAATATTTCACAATTTAAAAAGAAAATGTTTAACTAGCCTAAGATGTTATGCTGGTTGTATTATGATAGGTCTTATGAAATGCCCTTAGAGGAGAGATAAAGAAAAGTTAAGCACTATCAAAATTAAAATTATGGTTTGCTTAAATTCTGTTTAGGGTTATAATGAATATTATTGATTTATTAAGTTTATATTATTATAACTAAAAAATCTTAAAATTCATGAAAAAGCCATTATCAGTTTTAGATTTTTATATATTTTCAGAAATTTTGAAGTAGTTTTCACAGAACTGAATACACCCCCTTTTTTTAATTATAATTTTCAGATTTTAAAGTTAATAAGATATTAATCATTTTTTATTTAAATTTTTGATAAAGTGCAAAAAGTGAGAATAAATAATTTTTTATAAAAGCTTTATGATATTTATCTAGCAAAGATCATTCTTTAGCAAAAATTTAACTATTCTTTAAACAATCATTAAAAAAATTTAATAAATTCATCAATAATGAATTATATTGTATTCAAGGTAATTTTGGCATAAATTTTTTTAATTAGTTTTTTATAAAATTACAGGCGCTAACTAATTATCAATTTTAAATATTTAATATAATTTTTACATAATTTTTATAAATCATATATAAAATATTAATTTTTTGATAATTTTGATGAAAAATATTTAAATTTTTGTTTATGAAAATATATTTGTTCTAGTCATTTGCTTATTTAATAACCAATTAAATTACCTTTTGCAGGTAAATTAATATTTTGGATTAAATAATATCTTGAAACTATATTGATGATTTATAAATGCCAGGAAGTTGAGTGATATTTTCTTATTCAAATAATTGCTATAAATAAAATCTTAAAGTATCTTATAAAAATGAATTTTACTTGATTAAATGTCACATCCTCTTTATTTTAAAAATTTCTATATTTATTCAATTCAGTGGGCAATTTATTTATATAATTACCGTGTTAATTATTTATTATTTAAGATGGTAATTATAAATACGAATCTGTTTTATAAAAGAATCTTTGAAAACATCATTTTTGTCAATTTATTTTAAATTGAGTAAAACAATATTCTCATTAGATCTAAGAAATTTATTAATTAAAACAAACTTTTAAATAATAATTATGCATATATTTATGTGATATGTATGAAATTATTTTTTTTTAAAAGTTTGATATTATATTTATTTAAGTGGTATTAAATTATTTTATATTTAGAGTTTGATATAGTCAATTTAAAAAGTAAATAATAGAGATCAAATTTCAAAATAAATTTGAAAGTTGAAGAAGGCGAATCTAATTAGTAATTTCAATATGAAAATAAAAATAAATACAGGTTCAAGCTTCAAATTTAAATCTTACAGCTCAAATTTTTGGATGATCAAATTATTACCATACCTGTTACTCATATTATTTAATATAAACTAAATTTTTGGGATAGTTTTAAATCCTTAATATACTTGTTGAAATTAAGCTATCAACATTTTCTAAAATTTCAATAGAATATGAAGAAATTTTGAATGTATTAGATTTGAGTACTTCCAAAACTAAATTAACCATCTCATCAAAATTTGCTCTTATAAATTAGCAAAATCTATTATTTAATTCTTAAGAAATTTATTTATAGTATGAAGCCAAATCAATCTTTCAATTCTAAAATTATATAATCTAAACTTAAACATATTTATATAAATATTTCTTTAAATATTGCTTCTAAATAATAGTATTACTAGGCATAATTGATTATGTATAATAAACGATCCTTTTGCTTAGTGTTGTAATAATATTTTCAATAAAAAAATTATTCAGAATTGTAATTTTAATTAATTATTAATACAGTTTTTAAATATAAATGAACTCTAAAGCTTTAAGTAATTTGCAAGGTTATTAAGAAACAGAGCGTAAATGCCGAGAAAAATTTCCTTTAATTGATGTAATTATTTTTCAACTATAAGTAATGTCAAAGCATTTGGAATAACCAAATTGATGTTAAAGAATGCTAAAATTAATTATCAATGTTTAGGGAATGTTTTAGTAAATATAAGCCAGCTGCTTACTAACACAAAGGAAGAGAACCAGATAAAGATTGAATTATATAATTATATAATTCAAAAAATAAGTAAATAATAAATTCAAATGACAAATACATTACAAAAAACTTTTAATTTATTAATATTAGACAATTTCTTTCTTGTTATAATATTATACATTTTAAAGAAGGAAAAATTATTGGTTTATCATGATAATCCTATTATTTCAATCTTATGCAGGATTATGATGACTATAATAATTTTGATTTTAAAATAAAAGTTCATCAAGTTTATTGTGATTTAATTTACTCGATAAGATTGCCATAAACACTTTTTCTTCTTAAAAATAAAATTAAGATATAAAAATATTTTCTTTTCTCTTGTTTCCAATTAATTATTAGCTTTTGACTTTCTTTACATATCCTCTTATTTAACTATTTTTATTTCTAGTAAAATCATTCATAAATTTTTGTATATTTTTATGTAATTGATATTTTTCTATTAATAATTTTCTACTTTTGATGGAATCCCGTCTATCAATTCATGAACAACCTTGATATTGAATTTAGTTTAGAAAAATCAAATATTAATATTTGCAAAATTATTTTTTACAAATTCTATCAAAAATAATGACGTACTAATAAATTATGTATAAATTAGAAAGTTTTCTTTTTCTATTAAATAACTATGGATAAATAATCATCATAAGATAAATAATCATCATAACCCCTATCTGAGGATTCAATTATAAATAAAATAAATTAAATTATTGAGGAAATAGAAGATAATTTCTATTTTTCTGATGAAGATATCGAAAAAGATCTAAAAGAATAATTAGATAAGTTAAATGATGAGAAAAGATAACAATAATTCTAAAGCTTACATTAAAAGTTTTTTGGAAAGACTTTTTTAAATCGACCTTATTTTTCCAGAATATAAAGCAACCAAAACAACTCTTTGCCTGTATCTAGGGATGAATAGTAAAAATAGTATTTAGATAATTTAAATAAAAAAAAATTTGATTTGATTCTTAAAGAATTAAAAAATGATCAATTCTGCCAAATTAATTAGATACCTTCTCAAATTAAAGATTACCTTGAACAATTAGAATAAATAAATAATGACATTTGTTTTGTTTTTGATTTAATAGAAATAGTAAAATAGAACTAATATAATGTTATAGAAATTTTAAAATTACTTATTCATTTGTTCTTCATTTAATGTGACAATCACATAAAACAATAGATTCATTAATTTATAGGTTCTCTATTAGAAAATTTAATTTATTAGTTTGAAAATTATTTAGTAAAAGTCCTGAGGTAACATGATTAAGATCAAGATTTTAAACAATAAATTTAAAAAATTTAATCTAAAGAGATTTCTGTGTAACAAGGAAAATGTCATTTATAGAAAAAACTTTAAAATCAATTTGTTTATTTTTTATTTGAAACATTTACAACACCACTTGGATTTCATTAGGATAATTTAATTGATTTTATGTAAAATCTCATCAATGTGAAAAATTTTAATAAAATTGACTTTATTCATTATGTTTCTTTGACAGAAAATTATAATGAAAATTTAGTTTTTCTCTACTTTAAGTTGATATTTTATTTTTGGATTAAATTTATAGAAAAGTATGGTTTAACAAAAGATTTAAAAAATATTGAAGATAGATTATGTAAATCTGATAAAAAGCAATAAATGTTGATGAAAGGTATTAATCATTTGAAATCCTAACAGTCAAATATGATTTATAGATATCTCATACACAAAATAATATATTATAGTGAATTCGAAGATGGACATTTTATCCAAACTTATAAATAGTTCGAAGTCTAAGAATAAGAGTTAGTGAAAATATATGAAAATTTCAAATCTAAAGATAAATAAGAAATAATAAAATCTTAAGATTTTTAAAAAATTGTAAAAAGGTTAATAATGCCTTATTAATATTAAAATATTAACGATAAAGAATTTATTAATATTTCAAAATTTTTAGCTACAAATAATTTGAATAATCAATCACAATAAATTCTACTACAAATAATAAATAACAACAAATAATTAGAATTATACAGTAAATTAAATTAATTTAATAAATTAGAAAAGATTAACTTTCTTCATTTTGATTCAGTCCTTAAGAATAATTCGTAAATTTAAATGTCAAAATTTGTTTATCAAAAGGAAATTTTTGATCGCTATCCTAAAAAATTAAATATTAAAATGAAAGATTTTAATATTTCGTTGATTTCATAAGAAAAAATAGAGAAAAATGTATCAGAATGGTTAAAAAATACAATTAATGAAGTGAACTATAAGGGATTGCTTCCTTATTATTTTAATATTATTAAAAGAAGAGAATCACCAGAATTTTTATTAGGTTTAATTAACAAAGATGTAATTTAAAATAAGGTTAACAAAAAAGAAACTTTAAATTTTAAATCTCTGTTTTAATTACTTTACAACAATTCAGATAAAGAACTTTAAGTGATGTTATTAAAATTACATTCCCAGAATCATCCAGTTCCACTTCTGTATCAAAATCCATAATTAGATTAGCCAACTTCAATTTTAGATTTTTATGTATTGAATTCAAATATATTTTACCTTTTATCAAACGATTTTACAATAATCAATTTTTCATTTAGTAAAAAAGTAAATCAATTCGGAAAAACTGAGTTAATCAATATGATATTTTATAATGATTATTAAGATCAAAAATTTGAAATTAGTGATTTGTCTGAAATTAATAATCATTCTATAGATTGTTAATTTGATTTTTCATTTAATGGAACTAGAAACTATTTAATAGCTGATGTACATGGATAATTAGAGGATTAAATATTTGAAAATTTACTCCCTTTTTTTAAACTTTGGATAATCTAAATGTAAACAGAAAATGAATTAGAAGAAAATGTAAAAAAGTTAATTGAATTATTAAATAAAAATAAAAAATAATTTGATTTTAAGCCTTCAATTATTTTAATCATTCGAGATTCAGAAAAAAAGGAATTAAACCAAGAAATAATTAATATCCTAAAATAAAATGATATTAATCACTATATTTATCAGATTCCTAATCTTCATCTATAAGAGAATAGAGCTATTGAAAAAGATGAAAGAACCAAAATTAAAGAATACATTTTAAAAGTTATAGACAATCTTAATTAAAATATTAATGAAGACAAATTACAAGCCTCTTTTTTAAAAATATGTAAAGCTTTTAATTAGAATTTAGATTAAAATCAAGTTATATTTAAAAATATTTTAACTGAATTAGAAAGAATAAAATAATAATCTGATGGATTTTTTTCTTATGAAGCATTTCCTTTAAGAAATCTAGCTTGGCGAATGAAGTCATGCAAAAAGTAAAGATAGGAATTGAATTATAAAATTTTTTAATATGAATAAGAATTAGAAAAAAAAAAAAAAGCCATTAAAGATCTTAAAAATGATAAAACTGTTGATTAATCAAATTAAATTAAATAAAAAGATTAAGAAGGAAAAGAAATTGATAACAAAATATAAAAATCATAATAAGAATTAAATTAAATATCAGATTAAATTGAAAAAATTGAAAATTCATAAAGGTCTCGCAATTTTGGAGAATCATAATTAATTAAATAATTTACTGATATTTTTAGATAAGACAATTTCTATGTTATTTATTTAAGAATTGTTGAGTTGATTGCTAAGTTTAACTAAAAAAACCTTAATATTTTAAACTCTGCTAAAGAAGAATTAAAATAGCAGCTTAAATCTAATAAATTAGAATCAGAAAAAGATAATCTAAAAAATTAATTGAAAGATTTAGAAATAAAATTTTCTGCTTAAAATATCAGTATAGAAGTGTTTTGGAGGGAAATAATTAAAGGAAACAGCTCCCTTATGAGTAATCCAGTAAAAATAGTTGGTGAATTGATATAAAAAGGAGAATCATTTGAATTTTTAAGTGGAGATGATCTAACAATTGAAATAGACTTCTTAAAATAATTAAAAGAATAGCTATTTACTAATTATTAAAATAAAATTTTAATCTTAAGTGTTTTAGGACCTTAAAGTTCTGGAAAGTCAACTTTATTAAATAGAATTTTTGGATGTCATTTTTTAACTAGTATGGGAAGATGTACAAAAGGATTATATCTATAATTAATAAAAATTTCTAATAAAGAATAATTTGGTTCTGGTTTATTTGATTATGTTTTATTATTAGATTCTGAAGGACTTTAAAATCCTAATTAATAAGATCAGGAATTTGATAAAAAATTATCACTTTTCATAATTTCAATAAGTGATATTCTTATATTCAATGTTAAAGGCGAAATTAATTCATCTTTTCATAATTTAATTGAAATGTGTTTTTATACACTTGCTAAATTTTCCAAATTAAAATTTATAAAATAATTTGCTTGGTGTTTCAATCAAAATAGTTAGACTAATGAAGATCAAAAGTATGAGTTATTAAAACAAATTGAAGACATTGGTGTTAAATTAAATTCAGAATTGAAAGAATCAGAACAGAATGTTGATTATAATTAATATTTAGATATAACTAAAGAGAATATTTATTTATTAGGAATTGCGAGTCATTCAAAATAATGGTAAAAATATCACTAAGAATAATAGAAATCATAAAAAAATCCCTCTCAAGAAATTAAATAAGAAATTAATCAATAAGATTATTCAGAAAATGCCTTATCTTTTGGAATTGAAATCATTAAAAAGTTTATAAAGAAGTATAAATCAACAAATGAATTAAATGATGAAATTTTGGCTTGGAATGCTTTTATTACTAAAGTTGAAAATTAATGGGAAATAGTTTCAAAACTCCCTGATTTAGTGGAGTTTTCAGATTTAAAACAGTAAAAAGATTATGAAACAATAAACAGTATAGCAAAAAGAAATATGTACAATGCAAATAAATAATTATAAGATTTTGATAAAATCATTTAATAGATAGAAGCTGAAAGCTAGTTATATAATTCTTTAGAATAATATGATAAATTATAAGATCAAATTTAAGAAATTTTTTTATTATCGTGTAAGATTAAAAAAGAGGAGATATTAAACAACTTAAAAAAAGAATATTCTTATTAAATAATTTCAAAAGTAATAAGAGAAAAAGTAGAAGGCAATATAGAGTAAGTATATTAAGCTATCTCCTTGGAAGGGTTATTAATAATTTTATAAAAGATTCATTAATAAAAAAGATAGTTTTAATATAGTCTTGTTCAAGCAGAAATTTAAAAAAAAGTAAAGGAAATATTAAATGATAATAGCCTATTCTTGTTGCTTAAAAATAATGAAACTTAAAAACAGAAATATTTTATCGAACTTTGGAATGATTAGGTTTAATCATCAAATCAGGAGATTGAAAATCTACATAAAGAATTTTAAAAAAAATTATTTAATTGTTTTTAAAGGTACTAGCAGTAATATTATTATAAAATACATGATTTCGAAAATTAATTTGACATTTTTTTAAACTAAATCAATAAATGTGACCCAAATGCTAATAAGTAAAATGAAATACCTTAAATTTGTCAAATGTTTTTAAAAGATTTTTAAAAGTAGCCTTTTCATCCTTTGAGTAAATAGAGTAAATAAGAATTGAATGAAATCTTTGATTAAGATATTTTAAAAAGACTTGATTAAATGCCAAAATCTTCTTTTATTAATCCTTGGAAATACTTGTAATAGAAAACAATATATTCAGTTTTAGAAAATAACCAAATCGTATTTGAAGTCAAAAATAATTTAAAAAAGATTTTTACAGATTTTATGAATGAAAACATAGGGTTGTAATCTAATAAGCAACAAATTAGAGATTTATTTTCGATTTTGAAATAATTGGATCTTAATTTTAATGAATAAATTTTGGATTATCTTCTTAGTGATGATGGTTTAAGATAAATGTTTCACTCAAAACCTTTATAATCCCCTATGGTTGAACAAAAAATTAATTATAAACCTATGATAAATGAAAACATATAATTCTCAACATATATTGCTAATAATTATTTAATTCCACATAGATCACCTCATTTTTTAGTTTAACCGAATGATCCCAATCAAAATAATAATAATTAAATTTAAAAACCCACTTAAAACATATAATAATTGAACGATTCCAATCAAAATAATAATAATTACATTTAAAAACCAACTTAAAACATATAATAATTGAATGATTCCAATCAAAATAATAATAATTAAATGTTAACACTAGCGTAAAAAAACAATTAATAATTAAATAATATCAATCAAAATTATAATAATTAAATTAAAAACCCCTTTGGAACAATTTAATTATAAAATAATTTCAATCAAAATAATAATAATTAAGATTTAAGACACACTCAAAATAATAATAATTACATTTAAAAACCCACTTAAAATATTTAATAATTGAATGATTACAATCAAAATAATAATAATTACATTTAAAAACCAACTTAAAACATATAATAATTGAATGATTCCAATCAAAATAATAATAATTAAATGTTAACACTAGCGTAAAAAAACAATTAATAATTAAATAATATCAATCAAAATTATAATAATTAAATTAAAAACCCCTTTGGAACAATTTAATTATAAAATAATTTCAATCAAAATAATAATAATTAAGATTTAAGACACACTCAAAATAATAATAATTACATTTAAAAACCCACTTAAAATATTTAATAATTGAATGATTACAATCAAAATAATAATAATTACATTTAAAAACCAACTTAAAACATATAATAATTGAATGATTCCAATCAAAATAATAATAATTAAATGTTAACACTAGCGTAAAAAAACAATTAATAATTAAATAATATCAATCAAAATTATAATAATTAAATTAAAAACCCCTTTGGAACAATTTAATTATAAAATAATTTCAATCAAAATAATAATAATTAAGATTTAAGACACACTCAAAATAATAATAATTACATTTAAAAACCCACTTAAAATATTTAATAATTGAATGATTACAATCAAAATAATAATAATTACATTTAAAAACCAACTTAAAACATATAATAATTGAATGATTCCAATCAAAATAATAATAATTAAATGTTAACACTAGCGTAAAAAAACAATTAATAATTAAATAATATCAATCAAAATTATAATAATTAAATTAAAAACCCCTTTGGAACAATTTAATTATAAAATAATTTCAATCAAAATAATAATAATTAAGATTTAAGACACACTCAAAATAATAATAATTACATTTAAAAACCCACTTAAAATATTTAATAATTGAATGATTCCAATCAAAATAATAATAATTACATTTAAAAACCAACTTAAAACATATAATAATTGAATGATTCCAATCAAAATAATAATAATTAAATGTTAAGACTCACCTAAAAAAACAATTAATAATTAAATAATATCAATCAAAATAATAATGATTAAATTTAAAAACCCATTCGAACAATTTAATAATAAAATAATTTCAATCAAAATAATAATTATTTCAATTAATTTTCCACTCAAAACATTTAATAATCATAAATCAATTCCTAATAATAAAAAAATTAAAAATCTTAAAATTATACAATAGATGATCTAATAGAATCAATATAAATATCAAAAACAAAATTATTGAATCCTCCAAGCGTTTATTAATGGAATTACATATAAAAGTTTTTTCCTAAATTAAGATAATAATAATTAGATTAAAGCTGTATGCATGATAACAATAAAACAAAATATTATGTTCTTTCGGAAGAGAAATAGATCAAATATAAATAAATAGATAATAATTCTAAGTATTAAAATTTTTTTTGTTATATTATTGAATAAAAAACAAATTAAATGAATACAGAAGATTTTAATTAAAAATTTCCAGAGCTTTTTATAGAGATAATGAATGAAAATAATGGATGGAATGAATTATGTTCAAAGATATATAATATAGTCTAAGAAAAATTTGAAAAATAATAATCATTGGGAAGACCTTAATAAAATTGCTCAAATGTTTTTTAAATTATATAAAAAGATGAAGATATGACATAATACAATCAACAATTTATTTAACCAATATACAATAATGTTGAAAATTATTTAGAAACAATTAATAAGTAATTAGCCTTCTTTGGTGTTGAATTTAATCCATTGCTTATTCGCATGCTGAAATTTAATACATTTGTTATTATTTGGAGATTTATATGCTATGATAAATATAAAATGTATATTAAAGAGCAAGAAACTATATAAACAAAAAAGGGCATAATGGAAAAAAGATTTAATGAGGGAATATAATAAAATAAAATATAATAAATCAAAACATTAGCATAGGAATAAGCTGAATTGTTATAATAGAAAATTACATCATAATTTTACAATGAAAATAAAATAAGTGTAAAGAGTAGAATTAATGAACATTAAAAGACTTCATATTAGCTAATTAAATAATTAGATTAGTAATTACTGATTGGTAGTCAAAATAATTAACTTAATGGGGACGAAGGAATAAAAGAAATAACTATGTATCTTTCTGATTAAAAAAAATATATTGAAAAATATGTTGAAAAGTTTATTAATCAGCTTTAATAAAATATTGAAAAAGAATTTTTAGTTTAAAATTATGTGTAAAGCTGTTTGACATAAATTCAGTAAAATTGTTCCCTTTTACTAGAAAGTGTTGCATCAATATCTAGCAAGAAAGAGTTTAATAATTAAGATTATTTCTATGGTTATGATGATATGGATTAAAATAAAACAGAAACACTATCATTAGATACAATTTTATAATTTGTTTTAGGAAAAGATGTAGGGGAATTAGGATAATTTAAATATAATTGGATATTTCAAAACAATACAAAGACTTAATCAATTAATTTGGAAATCTCAAATAAGGAAAATATTTCAATCTATTTATTAGAATAATTTTTGATAGAATTCAGAAATTAAATATCAAGTTTCAATAAATAATGTCAAGAACTAAAAACTTCAATTGATCAGTTTTAATTAAAAGGACAATTCTTAGATTTATAAAATACTATGAATGGTTGTGATAAATCATGTCCAATGTGTAATAGAAAATGTGATTATGAACATTATCAAGAAAGGAATCATAAGCACAAATGCTCAAATGGTCATCAATTGAGAGGTATATAGTTTATTTAATCATAGGAATGAATGGAGTATTAATTCGATCATCTCCATCTCTTTATACTTGTGAGGAAATTCTTGATGAAACAGAAATTTAAATTTAAGAAACTAGTAAACTTAAAACTTGGAGAGAAATAAAATAAATTTATAAAGATTGGAGTTTTAAGGATATTTTATCATCAGAAAAGCTCTTAGAAAATAAATAAAAATTCATAGAAATTTGGAATGGAGGAATAGGTTAATTGATTTGTCTTAAATTATCAAAAGAGTTAAAAAAAGAAATCTTATTTTTAAAAAAACATGACCTTCCCATGCATTTGTAACATTGCTCAATCCACTACATATTCATCTTAGATTATAGTGGATCTATGATAAATAATTGGCATTTTGTAATTGAATGCGTTAAATCATAATTCTAATAAATAAGTTAAAAATAGAACGCTAGAGTAAGTGTGATACTATTTAACAGTGAGGCCAATATAGTTATCAATTGTTAAGAATTAAATATTGAAGAATAATTAAAATTACTTATTTACAAAGGAGGCTGTACTAATTTTGACCCAGCTCTGATTTCTGCATTAAAGTTAATAAAATCTAATTCAGAATTTACTTAGTAATAGAAATATTAAATATTATAGCTCAGTAATTCTCTTTTACACTGATGGATTAGCTGAATATCCTTAGAAAGCAATTGAATAGTTCAGCACACTTTCAAATAGAATTTTAGATACCATTTACTTTTTGGCTTGTTCTTAACCTGATAATTCTGTATCACTAGAAAAAATCATAAAATATTTTAAAAGCTACTGTGTATATGCTGAATGGAGGGAAAATATTCAGCCAGCTAACCTAAATAAAAATTGGACAGAAATGATTTCTGAAACCCATTTTTCAAAATATAAAGCATGAAAATTTTATTTAAAGAAAAATTTTCAAAATTTATTTTAGTTTATTTGTAATTTTTCTATTATTTTCATTCAATATATATTCCTTATTTGAATAAAAATATCATAGCTTTAATAATATTTTAAAGAGATATTTTTATTTCCAAGTAAAATTAAATTTAACTATTTTATATTTAAATATAATAATAATATGCAATTTTGTTTTATTTTTAAGTTTGCTTTGATCGCTTCAAAACAGATAGTCTTCATTAAATATAAGAGAAGATTAAAATTTTTTAAATTATACTTTAGATTATTTAACAAAATATATTAAATGCCTTGATATTTCTGAAATTTACATACTTTTCTAATAGAAGCTGAGTATTAAGAAAATAATTTATTTTATTAAAATAAATTATTTTCTTAATACTTATATCATAGATATAGATAGAGAGTATAAAAATTCCAAAATAATTTTCTTAATTCATTTTATGATACAAAAGTTTTTATTTTAAAATTTAAATGGTAACTAAACTTAAAGTTAACAAGTTGAAACTATAATTAATTATACTTATCAATATAAAATCTTATGTTGTTTTAATGATAAAATTCAAAATGATGGAATGAAATTGATATTACAATGATTTTGACGAAAAGAACCAATAAAATAGTTTTATCACTGCAAAGAATTTCAAAAATCTGTAAAACGAGCTTTTTCTGTCTGTATGTAGATAAAATGAAATTCATTATAACTGTCTTGAAATCTTTTTTTGAATATATTAACTTAATCCTTTGGTTACATCAAAATTTATAAAAGATTTATATGTAGTATTTTTTCTATACTATTTTAAGTTTGGATTCAAGAACAATTAGATTTGAAATTGTTTTGATATCATAAATTGAGCAAAATCTTACTCGTCATTTGGGATTCTACATTAGATTAAATATTTATTATCATCTGGAAATTAACCCATTGCAATATTAAATATTTTATGACACATTTTAAGCTCAATTTTCTTGCTAATCTAAAGCAAATTTAAAGATCATGTTAAAAAGTTTTAAAGATTCAAAAATCATAAATTTACAATTTGATTCTCCATTTACTATCTATTGTATCTATTGATATGAATTCCACAATATTTCTCTTCATGAGAAAATTAAATACAAATAAGTTAGTATGTCTATATTTAATAAAACTAATAAATTATTGAATAGTTATTAGTTAAATAATAATAGTTATTAGATAAAAAATTATTAAAATTATGAAAGTAATTGTTATATGTTTGTTAATAGAAATTGGTAAATAGATTAGGAAAAATGGAAATGAAAAACCTAAAAAAAGAATTCTTCAATTCTTCAAAAAAAATCAAATCAAATTATGAAATCAATTTAATCTAAAAAATGCTAGCAAATATAAATAAAATCTAAAAAAAGCTAAAAATTTGATAAATTTAATAAGTCTTTGAATTAATTAATTTAAAATATTTTTTTGGTTGTTTAAATTAATGGGAGTAAACTTTGAGTATTAAGATCTTTAAAGATTTGTAAGTTTGGAAATACAAAAAGTCAACAAATTTAATTGTATACACTGTTTCTATAAATATACATAATTATGTATATGAATGTTTTATATAAACTTTAATTATGAATACCAAACCTCATCAATTATTGGATCTTCTGTAATAATGGCTTCTCTAAATCTACTTTTTTTTTCTGCAACAATGGCATCAGCCTATTCTATTCTCCTGTGAGATTGTAATAATTTAATTTAAAATTAATCTAGGTTCTTTATAATTATTAATAAGCCTCCAAATATTTCAGAAGCTAAACCTTCTTAAAGCTTAAAATTATTAATAGTTTTTTCAAACTAAGAAAGATTTCAAATCTATATCTTTTTATTAAGCTTAACCTTGTTATTTGGCATATTCTAGGATATTATTTAAATAATGAGGCAGTATTTAATGTGGACATACTTGTAGCAATTTCAAAAGCTTTATTAATTTCTTTTTAATTTGTCATTTCTTTAATTGCATTTTATTTCTTCGAAATAGTTTTCATGTATTAAATCATCTGTGTTATTTAATGGTATTCCTAAATCTCATGCAATAACCTAAATTTATTTTCTAGATACTATGGTTAAGGACTCTAAAACCTTAATCTCAAGTTTTTATGTCTGTCGCAATAATTTAAACCTAAAAGCATTAAAATTGTGGAAATTCGTTATCTTCCTCGTTCGTTTTTGTGTAAACATCCAATACCATTATGATTATCAATTTAAGTTATACCCATAACTTCAAGGGGTCACTCAAAATACTACAACAAGTTATTCCGAATGGATTGGCTATAAAAGTATAAAAGTAATCTATTGTTGAAATTGTATAAACCCAGTTGTATTGTTTTATTCGATAAACTGAAAAATCTGACGTTTCTTTAATTATACCGATCTACTATTTAGCCAAAATATATTGCCTATTATTTTTAAGACACATTAAATCCATATCCTTCAAATTTTAGAAAGTTTATCCTTTTGAAAAACCAGGATTTTCAAGTTGCCTATTAAATAAAATAATCAGGGGAGAAATGAGATTGCTGAATAATTTTTTTATTAATTAATTAATTTATTGATAAATTGTTTATATAAAATATATTTAGATCCAAAAACATGTTATTAGAATTAAATGTATTAAATATTTTTAATACATTAATAAAGTTATTGGAAATACTTTTTAAATTAAATTATCAAACTTTATGGAATTAATTAGAGATTATTCTCTAAAATTATAATTTCTTCTCGTAAATACAAAATATTGAACTTCTACTAAAATATCAAGTTAGACTTATTTATTCTTCTTCTTATTTATTCACTTTAGTCATCTTAACATGAAATTTATAAATAATATGTATTAAATAAGTACATTCTAACCATTGGTAAATAAACTTCAATTATTTAAAAAGAGCAATACTTTGTTTATCATTTTAATGATAACTATTGTTAGACCTATTAGATTTACATATTTATATAATATAAAAATCACTTGAACTTTTGTCTAAATTCCTTATGTAAATTAGAGTTGCAAATATTATTTTTTACCAGCGCTCTAGTTACATATCAAGTGATAGATGAACTGGATTCTCGAAATAAAGGCACTATATACAATAATATATTCAAATATAGAAAATTAAATAAGAATTAGAATATCAGAATTGAGTAGAAAAATAGAATTTAAAAGTGGCTTTGTGCTTTTGCAAATTTATCAGTGAATGCTAGAGAATATTGGAGGAAGAGAAAGAAGCATTTTAATAAAATATTTGATTTGTGGAATTAAGTTGATATAAATGCAAATTCATGGAAAATTGTTATCAAATAAAAGTAATGATGCATTATGCATTATATAAAGGGGGAATAGATTGCTTCTAGGTTAAATATTAAAATAATGAATTATCTATTCTTATTGATTGGATGTTTGTGCTTGATAACACATTCAAAAGTGGAATCAGTCAAAGAGCTATTGGAATAAACTAAAGAGTAATATCATTTAGTAGAAGATATTAATGAACTTAGATCAATGTTTGAGACTGAATTAGGGATGAAGAAGGAGAAAGAGAATAATAAATAGGACGAACTCTAAAAGAAAGGTATTTTCTTTGAATATATAAAGATGATTCCATATTCTAGTCTATATAGTTGAATAAAGTAAACAAATCTGGATATAACATAAGTGATATGATTTCTCCCAATTCAACATACAACTAAACATAATAATAATACAAGACTAATAATCCTATATATAGTAATACATCAAATATATCAAATATAACAAATAATACAAATGGATCGTATCCTTATAATAATTCAACTTATAATTATACATACCCTTCTAGTCTTAATATTTCTAGTAATTCTTCGACCTATAACACAACCAATTAGACATCAAGTCTTAATTATACAAATGGCTCAATTTATACTAATAATACTAGAAATAATAGATTAAAGCAATCTAAACTTCAATTAAAATTTAGAAATAATCTTAATTTAGGTCAAGGATTGGTCAAAAATAACACTTAAAATGTTACCTTTTATAATACTTCAAGTGGAACCTATGAATATGTTGTTATTTATAATAACAGTGAAGTTTATTAGAATTAAACTGATTCTTACTATTTTTATTTTTAGAATAACACTTTGATTACATTAGAAAGGGAATATGATTCTTATGGTAATATTATTTACAGAAACTTCAACCTTACTCACTCTTTAATTGTAGCAGGAAATTCTTCAAACACAAATTTCAATAATTAATAATAAGCATTTGGAACACTTATTCTCACTAATCATACTTTTTAAGGATAGTACAATCAATAAGAGTAGAATAGTGGATATTTATATTAAAATGAAACTAATAATTATAATTCTTATAATTAAAACAATCAAAATAATGGATAAGCTCAATATTCAAATTAAACTGGAGGTTATTAATTAAGTTCATCAGGTAATGGTGGTACAAGTTCTTATTCATAAAATGGATCCTAATCCAATAGTGATTATTAGAACTATAATAATAATAGATATACTTATGGTTACATAGACACTAATTAAAGTACTTCTTCAAGATACTCAAATAATTATTCAGGCAACACAGATCAATTTTAATCTGTAAATTCTATTCAAGGTAATAATACATCTGTCTTCTAAAATCAAAATTTATATACCAATAACTAAGTATCATAAAGTACTTATGTAACAAGAGGAAATGGTACCACTTCAAATATGTAATCTATTTCTAATTCTTCAACTTAAGCAGAATCAAATAGCACCAATTTTAATCGTGAATCATATTCAGCAGGAACAACTAATTCTCATAATACCTACTTAGATACTACTTTTTCCAATTAATCTTCAAATAATTCAGACTATCTTTAAGTGAATTACAATTATAATGTTACAGATACAAATGCAAACTACATAAATAATTCCACTAATTATGCTGGAAATACAAATACAACTTCTCTAAATTTGTCAGGTAATCAGTAAGCAAATAATTATACCTATGATAATTCTACCTTTTCATACACTTATGGAAACAATCAAGCAACTCTAAATGATACTCTCTCAGAATTTACTAGTACACCTAATACAACAGTTACAACCATCAATTAATATATAACTACTGCTAATTCCAATAATTATATAACAGAAGATGAACCTGCTCTTATTAGTGGTTAGAATTAGACTTCACATACTTAATCAACAATTGAATAATAAACAACATAATTCAATTAATTAAGAGGATCAAAGAAGTAAACCTCAGGTTCATGGAAATAAATTCAAGTTGAAGAGCTATAATCATCTAATTCTATCATTTTAGATTAAGCCATTAATGAAATTAAAACTAAATTCAATCCTGAAGAATTTGGATATCATTTTGATTCAATCATAAGTGTTTAAGAATAAATTGTTTCAGGAATCAATTATAAAATTTACTTATCTTATTCTAATGCTGAATAAGAATAATAAGTATATGAAGTTATCATCTATTCAATGTAAATATTTTTATTGAATTTTTAGTCCCTGGTAAAATAAACCTAATCAAGTTTTTAAATCAATTAGATTTGATTAATTTGAGAATTGACATAATGATCATATAAATAAAATAACAAATAATTTAAAAATCTCATATATTGTTTTCTATAAAAGCTAACATTCAATATGAATTTTTGCAATTATTTACAAAAGGCTCTTTCTATATTTATCTTAAATTAAAAATCATTCTTCTTCTACCTGATAATTAGTTTTCAAAAGCAATAGTTTTATCTTAAAATTCATCTTTAAAATTTCCAACATTCTTCAGTCTGATTTGTAGTATATAACAATAGCTAAAAATCCAAGAGAGTCGCAAATAATGCTTCTTTCCATGTTAAAAAATTAATTATCTGTTAAACCAAAAAAGTTTTTATTCTCTTATTGTTATCCTAATACTTTTGAACTAAAATTAAAAGTTGAATCAGTGCTTTAAAATAAAAATTATTTTAGTAAATGATTATGATCCGAAATAATTCAAGATCATTGTTTCTTATAACTTAAATAGACTGCTTTCTTCCTTGATTTTTTTATGAAAGATTTCATAACTTGAGCTGCTCTAACTTCTTCTACTAATCTCTGAAATAATTCTTTAGTAATCAGAAATAAAACTTAACAACTATTTATAATACTTTTACTTTCATTTTTAAAAGACTCTCTTAATATATAAATTTAGTATAATTAATTCTATCTATTGCTAGCATTCAAAACTCTGATATCATTCAAAGAACTATAGAAAACACATCAGAATAATAATGAAAAAAGGCTAAATAATATTGACAAGAATTTCTGAATTTGAGTATCAATTTTTAATATCCAAAAAATATAAGTTGCATTGAATTTTTCCTGTGGAAAAGTCTAATCACGTGTAAATAAATTAGATATCTAATCTCTCATAATTATTTATTTGTAACTATTTACATTTTGCTTTTATGCTCTCTACACCAATAATAATAATATTTTTTTTTTTAAATCTCGAAAAGTTAAATCCTGAAAAAAACAGATAATTTAAAGGAGCTAATCTTTTTATGCAGCCATACCCAAATATATTAATCACCATTTTTTGTTACTTAATTAAAAATTTCATCATTTTTATCAATCATAACAAAATGAAAAGTTCTTTCGATATTTCCAAAATTAACATCTCTAAATTAAATTTTGTTTCATCAAACATCATACCTTTTTATTTTGTTTTTCTAAAGTTAAAATCTAAACTTTAGTAGTTAAAATATCAACTTACCACTTTTCATGTGATTAGTTGTAACACTAGATTTAATTAATTGAAAATATATTTGAAGTTCCATTAAAAGCCTTCTAAATATCCCAAATAATAATCCTTTTTATCATTAATCCCTCTTATTAACAACAAATATTATTCATTCTCTGAGAATACTTTGTGCAATTACCTAAATTATTATTATGTCTTGGTATTCCAGAAAAGTTTTAAGTTTGAGAAACTCTTATTATAGGGATTTAATGATCATGTTCCTCTAATAATATAAAGTTTCCATACCTTTAAAATGTTGATTATCTAGTAATTATATGTTTAATTACTATAGTAGAATCTAATAGATAAAGAATAGCTCTGACTTTTGTGTTATATCATACTTCGTTATCTAGATGTAATATTAAAACTTGAATAATTTTCTCTTTTATTATATAAATTTTATATTCCTGCAGTTGCCTAAATCTTAAGTTCTGATTAACTTATTTTATTTATTTTCAATTCTACTCAATTCAATTTTCTTATCTTTTTTAATAAACCATATAAAACTTTATGTTATATTACTTAGCATATTATTGTAAGCATGATAATTATAAATAAGCATAATACATTTTGATCTAGAACTTCAAAGGGGATTTATACATTAAAAGTGAGACCTGTAAAAAGAATTGAATAATTATTTATTATTCTCAAATCAAGTAATTAAGATGACTCAGCGCATACATTATATATTATAATTGGGATCATGACTGTAATTTTTAAAAAACAATATACTGATATATAATTTTTTCTGATGAAAAATAAATTTTAATTTTATTAATTAGTAAGAAGCTATTAATTTTTAAAATGAGTATGAAGGTTCTTCTCGTCTAAAGCGCTCATAAGTAATTTAGTAGGAATAAAAAGTTACTTGGAAAATATTAATAGTCTTACAACCAGTTTAGATAATACTACTCAAGAGATATTGAAGAGATATTGATTTCAAGTAATCAAATTTCACCTAATTTCAATTATAAGACAAATAATGTTTCAGGAGAAGATTAGAAATTTGTGGATAAATATTTATCATTTTATTTAAAATTGATCTATAAGATAAATCTGAATAAATAATAAAACTAAGTAAATTCTTGAGTAACAGTCTGCCAGGCATAATTTTAGAAAATTAAAGTATTTATAAACTAGATTATATTAATTATAATAAACAAGGAAATTGATATATTATAACATTAACTTCAAAATCGTTTATGGAATTATTATACTTAGCCAGGTATTTCTCAATGATAATGATAGGGATTAATCAGTTTTTAATTCCTTTATATAGTTGAATCAGATCATATCCATGATTTATTATAGAGAGGAATTAATATTGTAAGGTTATATGGAAAAGATAAAATTATTCCTATTTGGACTAATTTCATTTATGGCAAAATTTATTCTATAAAAAACAAAATTTATGAAATTAGTGAACTCTCATTATCTATTAGGTAAGAAAAAACAATAATTGAGCATTTTAGGTTTTACTCATTTGTCTTAATAAAAGAAATAATAATCTATTTCTATATTTTTTACAATTGCCTTTAGAATTATCTGCAGAAATAATTATCCAACATTGTAAAACAAATAGATTATTCTTTTAAGATATATATCATTTGGTAAAGTTATTGAAGTGGGAGAAATAGATTTTTTTGAAACAGAATCAACAATAAGACTATCAAATCAGATTATCAATTAAAAAGAAATTTTATTATAAGGAATTGCAATATCTATAAATTTATTTTATAAAAATGATATAACTTATTTTATATTAAATAGAATTATCTTTAAAATTTTAGAAAATTAAGAGAAATTCTTAGAAGTTATTGAGTGTTAGGATTTAGCTATTTTAATTAATCCTCAACATTATAGTACATATGTTTAAAAGGGTAATTAACTTTTAATTACTTTAGTGGTCATTATCCGTTCAGTTATCTTTTTTTAGAGTTGTAAACTAATAAAATAAATATAAAGTAACTATGAAGTGTAAGACAAAGTTATCATGTTAATAAAGATAAAAAATATATT